ACCTCTGGAACGAATTAAGTACTTAACCTGAGGTACCACTGTACTGTGTCAGATCTAAGCTTCCACACCCAATTCTTTCCAGGCCTGGGCACGAAATGTGATGTCATGGGAAAGAACCAGGGTTTTCTCTGGTTGTATCGAAATGCCATCTGCCATTCTTCCTGGCCCTCCCCCCTCCTCTCCCCTCATCGCAGACATTCAGCCTCCTCTGCTATCAAAGAACAATGCGTGGGAATTTTTTTGCAAAAACGCTACGTATCACATTGGTGCTAATAATAATATTTTCAATTGAAAATGTTAACTTATTTTTAGCCCCTTCCAAACATCGTACAATGCACTGACCTCCCTGCCCGCTCCCTTTCTAAATATGATGTCTAGGTTACATATCCACTCCTATTTTTTTGTAACTGTCTACTAATCCCTTTTAATTGAGACTGACAGACATAATCCCCTTAAGGCAAGGATTTTAATTGTTCTTTCAGTTGAAAGAGCTCCTCCTGCCCTCCCCTTTCGTAATCGGTCCGCCTGTGATGTCTGAAGCACGACACGTTTGGTTGTGATGCGGCTGGATCCCAGAATAGCCATGCTGGTATATTTAAATTTTTCTTCCTCTCATGTGAGAAGGTATCTATCTATTTTTAACTGTCTGGTTTCTTTAGCTCTTCCTTTGGTTCCTGAGACGTCTTTTGACTTATTTAGCCAGTGTGGTTAGAGTCCAGCACTCTATCCCAGAGTCATTCACTGTCTCTGAGCCTAACCTACCTCCCAGGGTTGTTGCGAGGATAAGATGAGAAGGGTTGTGTGCGGGGCGGCGGGGCGGGGAGCATATATGCCACCTTGAACTCCTCGGATAGAAATCAAATAAATTTATTATATGAACACGTTGCGGTGGGATTCTTTTCTAGCTACTTGTTAAGAGTTTTGACTTCAGGCTGAGGAGACCTGTGTTTAAATCTCCTGTCGGCTCCGAAAATCTGGTAGAGCTCATGGTTTTGCACACAGAACAGTGTGGGAACCTCTCAGAACTTGAGGTCCGCATTCCTCTCTGGGCCACCTTCTGGGGGCCGCATGCCAGAGGTGGGCAGGGCGAGAGGCAAAAGTTGGTGGGGCAACAAATGTCAATGTTGCTTTTTGTACAGGAGGGTACTTCTACACATGTAGGTGCATGCACCTCCCTATCCAGGCAACCAAGAGGCATGATCTGAGTTCAAGGGCACATTCCAGCCAGGCAAAAACACACAAGGAGGGAGCGAAGCAAGTCTGGTGAGGGGTGTGTCTGGGTGACAGATGGTGTGGGCCGGACAGAGAGAGCTACTAGCTACACCCCCAAATCTCCTTGAAGGGTTCATTGATATATTTTTTGAAGTGTATATGGCCACATTCACACCATACTTTTAGAGCTCTATGGTACCACTTTAAACTATCATGGCTTCCCTCAAGGAATTCTAGGAGCTGTAGTTTTTTTTTTAAAGGGGGGTTCTAACAACTACCAGCACCTCTGGTTGGACACGGTAAGAAGACTCCATGGAGTCCTGGACCGATCCAACAGGACTCTCCTTATGTAACGTCATATTCCCCTGTTGCTAGGCAACCGCAAAGCGCATCTTCCAGGGCCAATGAAAGCATCCATCACCCATGGCTGTATCTAGACTCCACCACATGTGGAGGTGGGACATCTCTCTAGGTGGGTGCCTTTTCACCTGAAGTGTAGAAGTCATGCGCTTAAACTCCAGGGAAGATGCCCTTTCTTAACCATGAGAGGACATTATCTATGGAGCAAGAGGCCTAGGGGAGCCATGGAATCGCTTTTCTGGGCGGCTTTCGAGAAAAGGTTAGGAAGCCGGGCTTGAGACGGAACGTATTTCGCTTTCTGTTTTCTCCTCTTCTAAGAACCTTGTTGTCTCTGAACGCACAGGCGTTTGCCAAAGGACTCGCCAAAATAAGTGTCGTTCAGCACTGAAACTGAGTTCTGATATCTGCTCATCAATGGTGTTTTTTTTTTACTAGAATAACCTAAAAGGAGCCTTTGCTAGATCAGGCCAAAGGTCCATTTAGACACACCCCCCCATCCTGTTCTCACAGCAGCCAACCTGAGGCCTACGCAGAAAGCCCGTGAAGCAGGGACCTGCAATGTTCTGTGGTATCTTTCATTTTGATAACTGGCATACCATTAGTGGTATCTAACGTTTTGATAGCTCCAGAGACAGAAAACATCCACACCATACATTTAAAGCACTGTGGTACCACTTTAAACAGTTGTGGTTTACCACAAAGAATCCTGGGAGCTGGTGTTTGTTTATTTGTAAAGGGTGGTGAGATTTGTTGGGAAGACCCCCTATTCCCCCTTCACAGAGCTAGTCCTACGCAGAGTAGATCCACTGAAGTCAAGCCTGAGAGTTGACCTGCTGATATTGATGGGGCCAAGTTAGCTGAGTCCATTATCTTCAATGAATCTGCTCTGAGCAGGGCTAGCACTGGACGCAACATACAAAGAAAGGGCTGTGCTGTTAATCTTTCCAGCATTTGCCACACAATTTTGACAGGCATCAAATATTAAGGCCACATTTGCACCAGAGAACTGTGGCACCACTTTAAACAGCCATGGCTACCCCTCAAAGAATTCTGGGAATTATAGTTTAAGGGTGCTGAGGGTTGTTAGGCGACCCAGTTCCCCTCACAGAGCTACAATTCCCGTAGCTCCCTGTTGACTGCTGAACCACTTTTAAGAGCTGTTAACTTTCTGAGGGGTATAGGGGGTCCCCGGTACCTCAGCACCTTTAACTACAACTCCCAGAATCCTTTTGGGGAAGGCATGACTGTTTAAAGTAGTATGATTAGTCCCCTTTATTACTGTACATTTAAAGAACTATCATACCACTTTACAAAGTCAAGGCTTCCCCCAAATCATCCTGAGAACTGCAGTCTGTTGAACCACTCAGGGAATTACTGTGCTATGATTCTGCTTTAAATATATAGTACAAATGGGGCCTCAGTTGGAGACAACCCTGTGTTTTTGCCCAGAAATTAAAGCTGCTGTTTTCAATGAGGCTTGCTTGCTAAGTAAGTGTGCTTTGTGTTGCAGACTTTTTTGCATGTATAAAATTGGAGTCTTTTGTCAAAAGCTTATTTATTTTGTACTATTGTTACATTCATTATTCCATCTTACATCCCTCTCTTTACTACAGTGAGCTCAAGGCAGCGTATATGGTTCCCCCCTCCCCATTTTATCCTCACAACAGCCCTGTGAGGTGGGTTAGATTAAGGGGCAGTGACTGGCCCAATATTGGCCTTGTGAGCTTCATGGCTGACTGGAGAATTTGGACCCTGGTCTCCCAGGTCCTAGTCCATTCAAAGTGTGAGTGGCAGAGCTGGACATGTCATCCTGTGTTAAATATTTGTGAATATTTGTTTGAGCAATATAACATAAAGGGGAGTATGTCTGTTTGAAGCCAATAGGAGACTGGCTTGAGCTCTGAATGCGACAGCAGCTTTGATCTTAAAATAAATAAATTTGTGACCTTTCCTAATTTATTTCGGAGTCCTTGAACCAATGAATTTCCCATTGCTTTTAATTCATGGCGCTCTACTTGTGTGTTTAAAAGAGCATCCATTTTCTACTTCATCTGTCATGGGCTGCCCTTGACTTGTTAAGTGTTTGATGGTGTGTTTGAGATGTGGCTTTGTGTTCTTTTCATTAATGCAAATGGGGTGAGAAGCGTTCATTGTCTCCTGTGCAAGTATTTTTAGTTCCTGGTCTAATTTTAGGCCTTGTCATCAGAAAGAGAAGAGAGAGGGACTGTGTCAGAAATTCATATGTGCTTTTTTTTTAAGCTTCCTTCTGTTTTGAAACTTCTCTGTAAAAGGGTGGGTGGAGGGGGTGATCAGAACTGTGTGTGAGGGCTGCTGCTTCCTGGGTTGCCCAAGTGTCATCTGAGATTTATATTGACCACATAAACCTGAAACCAGCAGTTTGGGGCCTACTGGTGATCTTCTTATGCTCTTAGTCATTCTGTTCCCCTTGACTGGTTTTAAATGAAGCAAATTTCAGAGGAGGAGGAGGAGACTGTCCATAGCTACTAGCCACATTGGCTGTGTTCTGCCTCCACTATCAGATACACTGTGCATCTGAAAACCAGTTTCTGAGAATTGCAAGTGTGGAGAATTGCTGTTGCACTCAGGTCCTTTTAACATGCTTCCCATTGGGGCTTCTGTCTGGCCACTGTGAGAACAGGATGCTGGACTAGTTAGTCCACTTGACTTGATCTTATGACATCTGGAGAATGATGCCCTTGTTAGAATACATGAGAGCAAAGAAGAACAATATATGCCCGCTTGGTGCATAGTAAGGTAAAGGTAAAGGGACCCCTGACCATTAGGTCCAGTTGTGGCCAACTCTGGGGTTGCGGCACTCATCTCGCTTTATTGGCCAAGGGAGCCGGTGTACAGCTTCCGGTTCAGGTGGCCAGCATGACTAAGCCACTTCTGGCGAACCAGAGCAGTGCACGGAAATGACGTTTACCTTCCCGCCGGAGCAGTACCTATTTATCTACTTGCACTTTGACATGCTTTCGAACTGCTAGGTTGGCAGGAGCAGGGACCGAGCAACGGGAGCTCACCCCGTTGTGGGGATTCAAACTGCCGACCTTCTGATCGGCAAGTCCTAGGCTCTGTGGTTTAACCCACAGCGCCACCCATGTCCCACCATTTGTCTTATGCCACTTGGTGCATAAGAGGCACCAATTGGCCTTCCAGATGTTGCTGAACCACAATTCCCTATTGCCCATGTTTGCCGGGCCAGATGGGAGTTGTAGTTCAGCAAATAGTTTCACCCACACACCTGGTGCATAGCAGCCACACTGCCTCAATCTTCCCAGCATGCTTTTTGAACCCATGCGTGGCTTTTTTTCCATCCCCCCACTCCCCAGGTTTCATCAATGCTTTGCCCTCTGTGCTGTGAGCCGGCCGTCCGGCCGTCAACTTGAGGTTGCCTGCGCCGGGCGATGGACTTTGACCCCTACGCAAGCATGCAGGTTGGAATGCGGGTGGTCCGTGGGGTGGACTGGAAATGGAGCAACCAAGACAACGGCGAAGGGAATGTCGGGACGGTGGTAGAGATCGGTCGGCAGGGCAGCCCAACCACCCCAGATAAGACCGTGGTGGTCCAGTGGGACCAAGGAACTCGCACCAACTACCGGACTGGGTTTCAGGGAGCGTACGATCTTCTTCTGTACGATAATGCTCAAATAGGTAAGTAAATAACACAGGAAGTTGCCTTATAATGAATTAAGCCACTTGTCCATCTGTGTCAGTACTATCTACACCAGTGGGCCTCCAGCTTTTTTCCTCTGGGCCACATTTCCAGAATAAAAATTTCCTTGCCCTGACTTTTTTTTTATTGATAAGAAATACATTGGAAAACAAAAAGTAGCAGCTCCTGGCAGGCTTTGATTTGTAATGGAACACAGGTACTTTATCATATGATAACGGGACATCCAGAAAGTAAAAAACAAGGCAGATACATAAGAACATGAATCATTCCCAACATGTAATATTGATTGCCCTTGAACCTTTCTGCCACACTTGCCATCCTCTCCTGCCACACGCTTTTGAGAACCGCTGGTCTACACTGACTTGCTCTCCAGAGTTTCAGGCAGGTGACATTTCCACCTCTCCCTGGAGATGCCGGGATTGGAACCTGGGACTTTCTGCACTCAAGGCAGATGCTCTTGCACAGAGCTGCGGCCTTTTCTCGGAACCTAGGAATCTGCATCGCTGAGCCACACCAAGCATTCATCCAGCATTGTCTGCACCAGTCAGAGTAAAGAACCTGTGGCCTTCCCCTGGTTGTTGGACTGTTGTAACTCCCAACTGTCCTCTGGCGATGTTGCTGGCTGGTGACTTGAAAAGCCACAGTTTACCCCCCGGCTGATCTACACTGGCTGGCTTTGGAGAAGGGTCCTTCCCTGGAATGATTTGAGGATCCTGGGTGCCCATGCATTATTTCAGACACCTCTAACATAGGGTTACCAGACATCCCCCGTTTCCAGGGAACAGTCCCCGGATTTGCGAATAAGTCCTTGGACAAATTCCATCCCCAGAATGTCCCCAGATTTCATTTAATGTTCCTAGGAAACGCAGTAGCAGCAGTCTCAGCAGCCCGGAGCAGTTGGCTCTGGCTGGCTTCCGGGCTGCCTCCACCTTCCCTGACCCCAGCAACTAAGCTGTGAAGGGAGGCTTCATGCTGCCTATCAGAACAGCCTCCCAACTCCTACTTGCATGCAAGCAGGAGCGGGGCGGGGATGTCTCAGCTGTGAAGGGAGGCTTCACGGTGCCTATCCGAGCTTGTGTGCAAGCAGGAGGGGGAAGGGATCTCTCAGTTAGGCAATAGGAAGCCTTGCTTCCCAGCTGAGGGATCCCACCCCCTCCTGCTTGCACGCAAGTAGGAAGGGGATTGGGGCTGTTTTGATGGGAAGGGAGGCATCGTGCTGCCCGAGCCTTGCCACCGCCACTCTCCGCCCTCCTTCTCCACCTTCCTGCCTGACCCACTGTGCACCGCTTCCCCACCACCGAAGAACTAACAACTCAGGGGCTGCCCAGGTTCATGGAGAAAGGAGATAGAAGCCTCGGAGGAAGGGGAAACATGGCGGTTGAGGTCAAGGCGGCGGCCGCCCCTCTGCCACCACCATCGCTGCAGCATCAATGTCCCAAACATGTAGTATGTATATATGTATGTAATTAAAGTGTCCCCAGATTCATTGAAAAAAATCTGATAACCTTACTCTAACATACACACTCTCCTGCTTACTGAAAGCCACACGTGTTAATAACCTTTCTTCCATAAGGGAGTTTCTCTAACCCCTTTGATCTCTTTGGTTGCTGAAGCTGCTGATGGTGACTCTCGCCTCTTTCTTTCTCTCTCAATTAGGCGTCCGCCACCCCAACATCATCTGCGACTGCTGCAAGAAACACGGGATCCGCGGGATGCGGTGGAAATGCAAGGTCTGCTTCGATTACGACTTGTGTATGCAGTGCTACATGAACAACAAGCATGACCTCTCCCACGCCTTTGAGCGCTACGAGACTGCTCACTCGCAGCCGTAAGTGATAGAATCAGAGATTTGTTGGGTTGGAAAGGGGTGCCAAGGGTCATCTAGTCCAACCCCCTGACACTTGCACATACCCCCGGTGTACATTGTCTGTAAGCAAAAGAAATGTTAATATATAGAGAGATAGATAACAAGAGGGTGACGTGTTCTTTCTTTTTAGGGCTCGATTCTATCCGTACTTGTTTTGCTTCAAGGGGTGGGAAACTGGAAACTGGCAAGCCAAGTATGGCATGTGGTATGATGCTGGAAATCCCTTGGGCACATGTCCAGTGATATATATTACTTTTGGTTTAAGTTGTTGTCCTCCTCAATTTTGTAGCTATCAGATCCTTGATATATGCAGTTTGCTCATGTACTTTTAAGTGATATTCCTTTAGTATGGGGATTAATGGAAGAACAAGAAAACTGTATTTTGCTCTAGATCTCTAAGAGACTTATACTTGGAGCCTGGAAGGATAAACACCTATTGTCTAATATGCAGCAGTCTGAGGACCCTGCAGCCTTGGCTACATCTTGAACATATTTCTTATAAACACCACTTTTATGTGGATACCTGTTGGGACATTTGTACGGCTTCTATCCAGTGGCATGTGGTGAAGTTTTTCGTAGGGGAACAGTTAGGGCCAGAGGTACAAGCTTAGCTTGCGAGGGCGATTTGGGGTGGGTGGGTGATGTCGTGCCCGTGAGCATTGCTCCTCCTTCGCTAAGCCAGGCAGAAACCAAAATGGAAAAGATTTGTCCGTCCCCAGGTGTGATGCTTTTGCTTTTAAGAGAACCGAGCTTCTCCAAAACTGAAGCAAGTAGAAAAAGGATGGGGGGTTGCTTAAGCAAAGGGCTTCCAGGGGTTTTTTCAGTAGACGATTGCAATGGTAACTAGGCAACCTACCCTGTTCCCTTTTTAAAAAAACACCCCCCTCCTCTAATGTTGCTTCCTAAATTGTAGAGGAGCTGCCAGTGCCACTGTGTGAAGTCCTCGGAGGAGAATGAAACTCGGGGGTGACTAATAGTGACTTTTAAGCTTTCTATGCGTGGAGCAGGAGAGCCGGATTTGGGCGTGGGGGCGTGGAATGAAAGAGAGTCAGGGGGCAGGTGCTCAGTGCCGTTGACAGGTTGTCTTCGGAGGGAGGCGTGCAAAATGTCTGGGGGGAAAGGAAGGAGATGGGAGTTATGCGTCCCTAGTTAGGGGCAGGTACCCACTTCCTCCAGCCTCTCACCCCCATGTCTTGCTCCCATTCCCCCTCTTGTTCCACCTCGGCCCGCTACCCCACTCCTGAGCCTGGCAACGCCTCAGGACTCATGATAGCCACTGTGGTTAGTAGCTATCGAGATTCTGGTTTCCTTTAAGCCCGGGTTCCCTGTTACATCTGAACCACAAATCTTTAGCTTTTGTGGGTTTGACAAGCCAGGGTAATAAGGGACAATCTCTCCACACACACACACACACACACACACACACACACATTATCCTGGCTTGTGATATGATGTTATGCAAGAGTTCTCTGGTCCTGGAGGGGGAAATGTAGAAGTTTGGCTTAACACAAGCCAGGATCTGTGTCTCAAAGCTGCTTCCACACCGGGGGGGGGGGAGCGGTGCAGAAAGACAAAAGAGGAGCGCCAAGGGAGGATTGTGCCACTCATCTGTGACTTCATAAACCATGCTTTATGAGGCTGTGGACAGACAGTGCGTCACTTTCCCACTGGGGCTTCCAAGGTGAAAAGGAGGAGAAATCACTTGAAGCGCCTAAGTTTGGAATCTCTGGTGACTTTTTTGTGCACAATCATAAATCCAACGCATGGTTTCTTGGTTTCATTCAGATAATGGATACCTTCCTGTTGAAAATCCCAACATGGCCTGCAGAATGTATTGATTCCTTGCAGTGTTGGTTGCCTCCAAGGTGAAAACACTGTGAAGTGTCTCTCTCTCTCTCTCTCTCTCTCTCTCTCTCTCTCTCTCTCGTGTCTTACAATGAGTAAGAGGTCTGGAAAGCAGTTTTGACGAAGAACAGTTGTGAAAAGCGGGATAAAGTTAGCACCGGGCAGTAAAGATTCTGAAGGCAATAGCTGCCTTCAGAGATGCCAAAAGTGAAGCAGAATTGTTCTCTGTTACCACATGTGGCGAGGGCTTTTAACATGTTGGCTAGACCGCTATTCAGGGTTGTATGTTCTGGGATTTGAATCGGCCTCGGACCATTTGGAGATTCAGCAGGCGCCTTCTGTCTCAAATTTTAAATGCCTGCTGAAAACTTCTCTATCCCACCAGGGCTATGCAGGCAATTCAGAACGTATCTTTTGACAATAGGTAGCTGATGTCTGCTTTTAGTTTTTTATATGATTTTTCATTGTATGGTTTTATACACTGTCGTCTTAAACACCTTTTTTTAATGAATAGCGGTATATAAATATTTTTATAAGTAAAATATAGGCCAGGGCACTTGCAAGACAATTCCATATGCGCGAGAACCCAATGAAACTGTTGAAGGAGGCAAACTATAAGGCTCTCAATAGAGGCAGGAAATAACTGAAGGCATCGAAGAAAAAAATCAAAAGGCAGAGAAATTAGTAAGATCGGTACCATAACTGAGGAATACTGATATTTAATTAAGAAGGCACCTGGGTGTGAGAACGGCCTTGTCCTTGCATTTGAGGGTTTTCAAAAGTGTAAATCATTTCTAAGTGGCCATGCCGGTGGGAGCTCTCAATTCAGTCCGGAGGATCCAGATAACAGCTCAAGGCTGCATGACTTGAAAGGCTAACAAGCTGGATAATTTTTGAATCCTTGTTTTGAGGCCCCTTTAGAGGAGGAGAGGTTTTTTTATATCCTTGCATGTTTAAGGGATTCCATCTGGAAGTGACCCTGGGGCCAGATGAACATCATCACTAAAAGTTCAAACCGGTGATGCCGCTTGGCGATTTGCACATCCAGTATTTTTTACCTATTGTTTGCCGGCCAAATAGCTATTTCATTAGGGAGGACCTCGGTCCAAAGGTGTTTGGTTACGTTTAAGGCTGTTGATTTTATCTGTTTTGTTTTGACTCTTGTGTATTTTATGAGCCATAAAAAGGGGCTTGTGGTCATTTGGTTGTTCCGCCTCATCCTGATTTGAAACCTTTTTGCTTTGGAAGTTATTAATTGTTTTTAACTGGTATTATATTTTTAAAAGATACTTCTCATATACTATATAGACATATCATAACTAGAACTGCAAAGTCTACCAAACTAAAGCCAGGAGCAAAATCGTGGCTGTGGGCAGATGGAAGAGGCTGTTGTCTGAAACCAAAGAGAGCACCTGCCTGTTGCTGTAGAAAATATTGAGCTAGATGGATGAATGATGCAACTCGGTATATAGAAGAATGGTATAGAATCCTAAGAGCTGGAAGGGACCACGAGGGTCATCTAGTCCTTGCAGTGCAGGAATCTTTAGCCCAACATGGGTCTTGAACCCACAACCCTGAGATTAAGAGCCTTGTGATCTACTGACTCAGCTGTCCTATGGGAAGGGCTGTAGCTCTGCCTTGCATGCAGAAGGTTCCCAGGCTGAACCCTGGGCATCACCAACTAGGGCTTTGAGAGACTCCTGCTGTGAATCCTGGAGAGGTACTGCAAATGTAAATCATCCTATATATAGATCCTTCCCACAAGGAATCCTGGGAGCTAGCTTGGATTTGTAGCTCTTTGAGGGGTGAACTACAGTTCCCAGGATACTTTAGGGGAGAGCCACATGTTTTGAACATATGGTGTGGATGTGACCCCAGTATCCCTAGGTTCTTTGGAGCAAAGCTGTTGCGCTCCCTGCAAGAAGAATTCCATCCCCGGTTTCTGCAATTGAGATGAGCCTTTGTTTTAATTTTAACCTGCTAGGTGGCAAGGTGCTGGATACTAGAGGCAGATTGCTTGCTGATGAGAAGTACAGTATTTTAATTTAATGCAGACCACTTCCACTGTGGGGGATCAGAGATGGTCCAGAGAGGTACCAGTGGGGAATTCCTCCCCGCCCCAAGAAAATAGCAGCATCAAGGAGGGACTTTCCTCTGGAGAGGAAAATGTGAAATTTTCCCTCTGTGCTGGCTCCAATCCGGTTAATTGAGAGCAATTTGCATTTTGCAAACCTACAGCCTAGATGTGAAGACATAGCTAATGTCACAGAAACCAGGGGAAAAAATCTGTTCTCTTTTTTCCATTCTGAAGAGCCATTTCACCTTTCTCCAAATTGCTTGCTCAACGTATAGCAGCAAACTTTTTCTTCTCCGAACAAGATCAATAGTTGCATTTCTATCTCTTTTTTCAACCGTTCTAGGCAAAGCACAAATGATGCCCCTGGAGACACTAATGCCGATTTTCCAGAGACGATAAAAAGTTTATTATCTATGGCAAACTAGGCTTGCATCCATCTAAGTCTGAAATTGGACCCCACGCACCCTCTTTTCCCCTGAAGACATTGCAAGTTCATCTAATGTCAACCTAACTTTTTGCTGCGCAGTTTTTACAATCTCTTTATTCCTTTTGCTGACTGATATTGCTCAGGCACTCTCTCTTCTTCTTTATTTATTTAACAGAGTTTGTAAATTGCTAACTGTAGAATCATCTGTGTTGTTTCTATAAAATAAAATACATATTAAAATGATTGGTGAAAGTTCAGATTACAAGTATGATGAGCAATTTTTGTAAAAAAAAGGGGGGGTTGTATGCAACAAAGTTCTACTTGGAGTAAACTCATTCACATTAATGGCCCTAATGTCCATTACTTTCAGCAGGTCTACTCTGAGTAGGATTAGTACAGGATACAACCCTTACAAGGCAAAAATGCACGTCAACTTTACATATCGGGGTAGGCTTGTTTGAACAAGCGCTAAAAGATGGGTTGCTTAGAAGCGCAGAACAAACATTATGTGGCACTTGCTATCAATATGTTTAAAAATCACTTTTTTCTTCCTGTACCTCCTTACCTACAAAACAGGCATCTTAAACAATTGCCAAGAGAAATGCAATTCAGTGGTTGGAAACGGAAGGGATTGCACATGATAAAGAGACTGCTACAAAAAAATAAAACCCTCTGATAGGAGTCTTAACTAAAAGATAAATTCAGAGATCTGGAAACAAGCTGGCTGCTCATATCTCAAAAGATATATTTCTCAGCTAATCAGATAGTTATATCTCAAGCAAACAGACCTTTAAAGCCCATTGAGCAATTAATTTTTCATTCCATATACACACCCAGGGAACTATTTTCCAATACAGTCGTACCTTGGCTCCTGAATGCCTTGGGAGTCGAATGTTCCGGTTCCTGAACAATCGAAAACCGGAAGTGAGTGTTCCGGTTTTCGAATGTTCTTTTGGAAGCTGAACATCCGACGGGGCTTCCTCAGCTTTTGATTGGCTGCAGGAGCTTCCTGCATTAAAACCCTATACAGATGCCAGTATGCACATGTGAAATGTCATAGGATAAATCCTCAAATTAGTCTGATGTGCTGGAGAGGTTCTAAACAGATTGGATCATACTACGGCAGGTGATGGGACTGCAAACGTACACAACCGTTTTTGGAACCAGGTTTTTATGAGGGTTTCCACTATTACAAGACACATATTGCACCCTGATTCTTAAGCTTGCTCTCCTAAATTATAAGGATTTTAATGTTCAAAGACTTGTAATATTCCTCACAGCTGTAAGTAGACCTCTATTAACCCAACACTGGAAAATGGCTAGGATATACAGCACACTGCCCTTATGGAAAAAAATTGCAGAACATCTTGGATCCTTAAAAAAATATGGAAAGTAAAGATTACTTTTAAACTGTTTGGAACAACTCTTTACCTGGGCTTCTGACACACGAGATGGTATATTTTGGGACCCCCCATTTCTTTTTAATTGTTAGTTGCTTTAGTTTTTAATACTGTGTTTTAATGTAATAACCTGCCCTTGACCTTAGGGTAAAGGGTGGGTAAATAATAAGTAATAATAAGTTGAGAAGATGCATTCTTGTTGGTATTTGTCTGTCTGGAGAGACAATGGAGTGCGCCTCCAGGGGTGAAGTCAAACCACTGTGTTAGCAGCAACTAAGTGACCCCTTGAGGCACAAGCCTGGGCAGTGTGTATGGAGGTCCAGGGCTGCCCGGATGACAAGATCCCCCCTCTTGGCCTTGCAGATGTGGTCCAAAGGAAATCAGAACAATACATTTGGCACCAGCTTGACTGCAGGAAACCCACAAGGTGCCATCCAACCACTTTAGGGACTCCACGCCAGATTTGTGTAGGGTTTACTTAGGCTTTTCCTTCTCCCAATTATGTCCCACAAGGCAGAGGAGGTTTAGGATCAGAGTTTTCCTTCTCCTAGATGGGCTATCTTTCCAGGTTGCTGGACACTGCTTGAACCCTTCTGAAGACGTGTGCATGCACACAAAAGCTCATACCAAGAACAAACTTAGTTGGTCTCTAAGGAGGTAAAGGTAAAGGGACTCCTGACCATTAGGTCCAGTCGTGACCGACTCTGGGGTTGCGGTGCTCATCTCGCTTTATTGGCCAAGAGAGCCAATGTTTGTCCGCAGACAGTTTTTCCAGGTAATGTGGCCAGCATGACTAAGCCGCTTCTGGCGAAACCAGAGCAGCGCACGGAAATGCCATTTACCTTCCCGCCACACCGGTACCTATTTATCTACTTGCACTTTGATGTGCTTTCGAACTGCTAGATTGGCAGGAGCAAGGACTGAGCAACGGGAGCTCACCCCGTCTCGGGGATTCGAACCGCCGACCTTCTGATCGGCAAGTCCTAGTGCTACTAGACTATTTTTTTATTTCTATATACAGTCATACCTCGGGTTGAAGTAGCTTCGGGATGAGTATTTTCGGGTTGTACGCTGCGGCAACCCGGAAGTAACGGAGCGCGTGCGCAGATGGTCAAAATGACGGCATGTACGGATGTGGCGAATCGCGAGCCGCGCAAATGCGGATCATGTTCGCATCCAGAGGTACCACTGTATATATTTCTACTGCGTCAGACCAACACGGCTACCTACCTGAATCTTGAACCCTTCCAGACAGAGCAGGGTATGTAAGCTGTGATCCCTCCAATGACTGGAGCTGATGGGAGTTGTAGTCCACCGGCATTTGAAGGGCCAGAGCTCCCCCACCCCTGCAACAGAGAATTAATGACACTTTCCCTGCTACGTGCTGTTCTTTCCCGCCTGCAGGAGCCAAGGGACTTCCTTCCCTAATTTTACAATGGCATCGTGGCTGGAGACCAGGCCAGATCAATCAGTTAGAAACGGCTGGACTCTGGGCAGAGAACTCCCCAAGTGAGAACTCTCTCGCCTTTTCTTTTGTTTCCTTCTCTGAAATTTGGCCGGCCTCATCGCTGCCTCGGTGATGATAATTGGGGAACGCGAACCCAGCCGGGCCTGTCGACCTGATTCCCAAGCGGAAACATAGCCAGTGTTGCGTGTTGTGACACTTCTCGAGTATGTGCCTGGTAGGACTTTATTTAAAAAAGAAATGCTTTGAGAAACAGCGTATGAGCTGGTGAGGTGGAGACTTTAGCTTGTGCCGTGCCCGTTTTGCCAGCAGAAATCAACATGCCAAAGAATCTGTTCTGCCGCCCTGGGCTCCTTCAGCAGGAAGGGTGGGATATTAGTCGAGATAATAAGAATAATAATGCAAATAAATAAACAAACAAACAAGTAAATAAATAAGAGGGTCTGAAAGACTCTGAAGTTGGTGTGATCTTGATCTTTTAATGTAAGGTAAAGGTAAAGGGACCCCTGACCATTAGGTCCAGGCGTGGCCGACTCTGGGGTTGTGACGCTCATCTCGATTTATTGGCAAAGGGAGCCGGCATACAGCTTCCGGGTCATGTGGCCAGCATGACTAAGCCGCTTCTGGCGAACCAGAGCAGTGCACGGAAACACCGTTTACCTTCCCACCAGAGTGATACCTATTTATCTACTTGCACTTTGACGTGCTTTCGAACTGCTAGGTTGGCAGGAGCAGGGACTGAGCAACGGGAGCTCACCCCGTCGTAGGGATTCGAACCGCCAACCTTCTGATCAGCAAGTCCTAGGCTCTGTGGTTTAACCCACAGCGCCACCCGCATCCCTTTTAATCTTTTAATGTAGTTCCTTACCTTCTTTTTTCTTGGCTTAGAGCAGAGTTCGGGAATGTCAAGTTTGAAAACTGCCCTCGAGGCCTTTCTCTCTGGTCCTCAGGACTGTTGCCAGGTGGCACTCCTCACTGGGCCCTTGTTTGCATCCCCCTGGAGTGTTTTTGCCAGGCTAGTCTTTGCCCTTGAATACCGATGATGCCTCTCGCTTGTCTGGATGGAGCTGTGTGTGCAACGGTCTCTTAGTGCAGCTATGTTGGGTAGGGTGGGGTGTGAGACAAGGACCGTGGAATGGCAGAGTTAAAAGTATAGAGGCATTAGTGTGGTAGTATTGGAGAAGCATTACTGAACAACTGATAAAGCGTGGTGGTCCAGGGTAAATCCACTTCAAATGTGCTGCTCATGGATGAATGACAGGCTGCTGCATACACGATAAAACAGCGGTCTTGATGAGACCCAGTTCTGTTGATCTTCTGCTGTGTGTTTTTCATTGGCCACGGTGGTGTGGAGAGCAGCGTGGATTTAACAAGGATCTGCCACAGGTTGCATTGGGACCTTCCCATTGCCTCGTCTCCAAGATCAGTGGGTGGAGGCTTATTCAGTCTGCCTGCTTGAGATGATCCTTTTATTCTCTCTTGTGGCTGGCCTGAGCCTCCTGGCTCCAAGGTCCCTCTCTTGCCCTTCCTTCTCTCCTTTGGCTGTTAAATCTGAATAAAGCTTAAAGGACTGCATCGGGTGGATTGCCAAATTCTATCCCCCCCCCCCCCCACCGGCATGGATACCAGACTTTTCCATTGAGGCATCCTCTCCAGAAAGTCAAGGTTATTGGTTTTTTTGCTCCATATGGCAATGTGTTGATTAGGAAGCTCTCAGCTGGCTCAAGTAATAAAACCTGGCTACCTCGGGAGCCAAGGGGACTCAGCTTGCAGAGGCAAGAGGAAGGGAGTTCTGGCCTGTGTTGACTGCTAGATCAGGGGTGGGCACCCTTTTTGATGCCCTCTTGCAATGGGCTGTGTTCAGCAGTTGGTGACCATACTCCCAGAGCCAGCAGCATGTGGAGCCATTCATTCCCCACTCTGATTTCTCTCTCTCTCTCTCTCTCTCTCTCTCTCTCTCTCTTTCTCTTCGTCTCTTGCGCTCTCACTCTTGATGCTGATTTGTGATGGAGATGAAAGTGTGGAGGCATCCCTGCAAACACTCATGCTCTCCTCAGCCTGCCAAGCAGCTTTTCGGCCTGAGAGGAAGGTGGTTTTACTTGGAGAGGAAGGTGCACAGGGGTGGACCCTCCCTGAGTTACACTCTCCACCCAGGCAGCAAAGTTCAGTAGGGAGGAGAGAGAAATTTAGTGGAGGGGTGGGGCGGTGTCTGCAGGTGGTCTTCCATTGTCCTTCAAGTGCTGTCTGTATCCTGTGACAGCTAGAGGAACGCAGAATGTGATAGTTACAACCGTAGAATTCACTCCCACAAGATGCTTGACGGCCGCCGGTTTAGATGGTTTTGAAAGAGGCGTGGGGCAATTTCACAGAGCAATAGAGCTGTGTTTGAGTACCTCCACTCTCAGAGGCAGAAACTCTTCTGAATACCAGTTGCTGGAAACCACAGGAAGGGAGACCTCTTTTGTGGTCCTCCAGGCTTGCTTGCAGGCTTCCCACAAGCGTTTGGTTGCACACTTTGAGAACAGGATGCTGGACTCGATGAGCCACTGGCCTGATCCTGCAGCCAGGCTCTTCTGATGTCCTTATTTGTCCCGACAAGCTTCCACAGAAGCAGGACAGGGCTACTTTTTCTTCCAAGCCCCCGAGAACCAAACATTAACCTTGAACTGAACCGTCTCTGCTATCTACCCAGCCACGAAGAAGCCAAGTGATGCAGCAGGAGCCAAGCGCCTCCTGGATTTTAATCTAATTTGAGTTGTTTTGCTTCCAAATACCGGATAACAACCAAGGCTATTAAAGAGTGCCGCAGACCTCACCCCCCGGGGGGTGCATTTAATCGCTGCAATATTGCTTTTAATAACCATTTTAATTAAGGCCTTCATTTTCGAGATCGGTGCTGACCCAGGGATTCCAGCTCTGTCAAATTTCCAGCTGGCCCTTTTGCTGGTCGAGGATTTAGGAGGAAATTGCTGTGAATAAAACGGCATTGACTGAGGCGGGCAGGGACCCTCCAGGACAAATTTTGATCGAGGGGAATGGGTAGGCCAGAGGCGTTTTTCCTCTCGACTGTGAATTCTTCTGTGCAATTTGTTTCTCCACTTGCTTAGGGGGATGCTGTGTCAGAGGAGAAAATATCTTTGGGCAGGGAAGGGCTGAATTAAAAAAACAACAACCCCAAATTGCACGCAGAATTATGTCTAGTAGCATGCCCTACTTTACAGAGGACGGTCCTCTGGTTTTGAACCAGTCCAATACCACAATGACACTATACATTTAAAGCACTATGATGCTATTTTAAAATAAGTTGGAGGGGATTGTGTATGTCCCTGAGCTTCTTGTAGGGAAAATGTTATCAGTTTATTCCAATTGCGGAATCCTTTTCATTTCTTTCTTTTTTTTGATTGCTGAATTGATGTGGCCCTGGTACAGACTTTTAGTACTGGAGACAGGCTGAGCAGGATTGCCCTCCTTCCTCGCTCTTGGCTCCTATCACGTTACAATCTGGATCACGGAAAGATACCGATTAGCCATCGTGTGTGCAGATAAACCTGCCCCCTGGTCCTCTCCCCTAAGCACCTTTCCCCAGGCATGCCACGCCACCGAAGCAATCCATTACTGAGCCAAAGTGAGAGCCAAAGGTTAATTTTAGTGGCACAGTGGGCTGGGTGGCTGCTGGTTCCCAGGCTGCGTCACGGGTTTATCCGCCCAAGTCTCTGCCGTCTGCTGCCGGGTATTAAGCAACAGGCTAAGTCAGGGGCTTGGAAGTGTTATGCCTCTTCTTCCCCCATTACGGAAGCCACGCAAATGTGGAAGCGGTTTCATTATGGCGGCGGGAGAGTTTTTTGCTTCCTCAACCCCCAGCTGGAATTCTTGAAGGGCTTGGCCCGAAGTTTCTGCTTAATCAAATGCACTTGGTTTGATTTTGGGACGCGAGGAATACCGATCCCGTTATGGGCATTGGGAGCTGCTTCAACCGGACGTCAGATCCCATCTTCACCATTGTGTGGGTACCGCGCAGAGACGTATCCTTGTTGCTTGCCCTCAGCCTCTTGTAGATTTTAGCTTGACTTTCTGGGGAGGAGGAAGCGTTGGGTTGTAAGTCTCAGTAGTGCAAGCGTTGTTTTGTTTCGGGAAGAAACATAAAGGTTTGTGTCCTGTTCTATCCTGCCATTGAAATTATTGGTCATGGCTAACTTAGGTCCATTAATTTTTGTGGGTTAACTCTCAGTAAAACCTAGTGTGGTGTGGTTTGAGTGCACATTTTAAGAATATGCATTCATCGTAGTTATGCTTAGACTAGACCCAGCTGAGTCATGTCCATTAGCTTCAGAGGACGCACTTTGCATAGGACTGTCATTGGATTCAACCTGAAACCTTTGCCTCTTGGCTGAATCTGATAGTGTGGCGAGACTGAGATCCGGCCAAACAAGGCTGGTAAGGGGAGTGCCTCCAAGGAGGTCCAACTATTCTTTCTCATCTCCCCCAGTGCTGCATACTCTGACCGGCAGCACCTCTCCAGGGTCTTGGGGAGAGAAAGGTTGTTTTCCATCAACTGCTTTCTGAGATCCTTCTAAGCAAGGAAACCAGGAACTGTTGTTGTTGTTGTTGTATCCTTGATTTTTAACAACGTGTGTCAATGACTGTTTCTCCTTTTTATACTACTTGACTTTTTGTTTGCTGTTCTAAATGTTTCAGTTACTCTGATTTTTTAAATATACATTTTGCCGAGAGTGGTTGTAAGCAGAGAAGCAAACTGGCTTTGTTTGTATGAGCAGCAGGGGAAATGACATGGTGTTTTTTCCCCTTTCTTTCCCTCTTGCAGAGTCACTGTGAGCCCACGACAGAACTTGCCACGCATCGCGTTAAAGGGGACTTTCCAGGGCGCGAAAGTGGTTCGGGGCCCCGACTGGGAATGGGGTAACCAGGACGGTGAGGTGCTTTTTGCCTTTTAGGGGAGTGGGAGTTGGCTCCTTGTGATGTGGGCAGAGAAGTTCTATATTCCAGACAAGAAGCGAGATGCTCTTTCCCTCATGGATCTGTAGGGAGGGCCTTGGGCAAATACATTTCCTTTAATCTGCATGGTGGCTTGCGCTCAGCCAAGTTTTACTCAGCGTAGACCTGCTGAAAATCAATGGGCCTCAGTATGTCAGGTCCATCGATTCGAATGGGTCCGCTCTGAATGAGCGAAAGTTGCACTAGTTCTGTGGAGCCTTGCAAAATAAAACAAAAATAACAAACCCTTGAAACTTTGGGCTCTCACACACGTCCCGTTTGCCCCGCCTCTTTCCCCTGGGAAAACCCACGTTTTCCATGGATTACTGCCTTCCAGGCGAAAGCAGCAGGGCAAAGGCAAGACTGCAATTACCCATGTCTAGAAAGCATGAGACAAGCAGAAAATGGTTTGGTCTTGTGCTTTCTAGGCATGAGAGAAGCAGAACACACCCTGTTGCCTGCAACCCAAAAGGCATAATTTAGATGCAAATAATAATAGCACAGTTAATACAGGCGCCGAAGAGGAGAGAAACTGGAAGTTGACAATATCAGTATGACGGGGGATGTCAACACAACCATGTTCTAAGGCGTGCGGCAGGTACAGTTTGGCCTGCAAGGTCTTTGTTTGTGTGTTGGATGCTTTTAGTATTGTGTACCTGTTTGCACCCTGTTATTATTTATTCAGTTTAAATAACACCCTTTATCAGAAGATCCCAGGGCAGTGTACAACATTAAAAACACATTACAGAACATCAATAATAAAAACATAATTAAAAAAAACATAATAACAGATGGCCTAATAATAAAATAATCATCATAATAACAGTCCAATCCCCCACATTTTCACAGGCCATAGGCCATAGGCCTGGGTAAAGAGGATTTGAATTATTAAATTAAATAACAAACCAAACAAATGGTGCACATAGCTTTAGACATAACCTGAAAATAAATGAAGAAAATGATGTCAGGATACATTTTCTACTCTGCGTAGGACTAGTATTGGAGACTAGTGCCCTAAATTTCGTAAACCCGGTGTGTGATTGATTAAATCTAAGGGCCCGAGCTACAGGGTTGAATTATTTCCTCTGCTTAAGGGGGGTGGTGCTGTAAGAAGTGAGTAGCGTGTCAAGAAAAAGACCACACTTTGTCTCTGGAACCTTCTTGCAACTGCTTGCAGTGGGACAATCTAAGTGAGGGCTACTCAGTGGGCTTTAGAAGAACAGCAGGAGAGTCCCAGTGGATCAGGCTGAGGGTCTATCCAGTCCAATATCCTATTTTTGCCCATTATGGGAATCTCATCAGCAAGGCCAGAATGCTTGTGGATCAATCCCCACTCTCAGCAAACAGTTTCGCTTGGTTCAGGACCCGGTAAACGGTATAAAAACAGACGGGGTGACGTATCCAACAAGATCATATCCAGCAAAATAAATGGACTTGAGGCAGTCATGCCCATTGATCTCAGTAGGTCTACTCCTGAGTATGGCTTGGTTGGTTTAACACCCAAATGTGTTAATATTTGCACAACTTAGGCCACTTCCGCACCACACATTCAAATCACTGCGATACCACTTTAACCATCACGGCTTCCCCCAAAGAATCTTGGGAGTTGTAGTTTGTTAAGGGTGCTCTGAGCTGTTAGGAGACCCCTATTTCCTTTACAGACCCGCACTTCTCAGAGTGGTTTGGCAATTAAACCCTCTTCTCAGGGACGGCTGTGGGCAGAATTCCTGCATTGCAGGGATTGGACGAGATGATCCTTGGGGGTCTCATTCAACTCATACAATTCTGTGATTCTATTACAGTGGTACCTCGGGTTACATACAATTCAGGTTACATACGCTTCAGTTACAGACTCCGCTAACCCAGAAATAGTACCTCGGGTTAAGAACTTTGCTTCAGAATGAGAACAGAAATCGTGCAGCGGCAGCGCAGCAGCAGCAGGAGGCCCCATTAGCTAAAGTGGTACCTCAGGCTAAGAACAGTTTCAGGTTAAGAACAGACCTCTGGAACAAATTAAGTTCTTAACCCAAGGTACCATTGTATTCTAACTCTGGGAATTGTAGTTTTGCGAGTCGTGTAACAACTCTCCACACCCTTAAACTATAGCTCCCGGGATTCTTTGGAGGGAGTGTAAGCCATGACTATTAAAGGGATGGAGCACTTTAAACATATTTTGCAAATGCAGCCCGTGTTTGTTTTATTGCGCGGTTGGAATTTTGAGAATCCTCTGCCACGCAAGGAGGCTGGATTCGAACAGGTTCCCTTTGTGTATGTGGCCTTATTACTCCACTCCCCGCACCCCCGAAGGCAGGCGACCTGACAGGACTGGAGACGTGCAGCCACTGGGTCAGACAGGCTCCACTCTTGACCTCTTAAGCTCCCCTTCTCCGGCGAGGGATTCTTCCTGCCTGCCGTTTCCCAGGGAACTTCTTTCTAATCTTTGGGGCTTTGTTGCAGTTAGAGCCACGGAAGGTCGTGATCTGCAGATGGCCTCACATAAGCCGTCTCAACCTCCTGGCAAAGAGCTTGAGATGAAAACCTGCGTGTGTGTGTTACGGATGGGGGAGAATGGCTGAATTGGCACGTTTCAACTGTGCTCTGTTCTTATCCCTGCGGACAGGTGGCGAAGGCAAAGCCGGGCGTGTGGTTGACATCCGTGGCTGGGATGTGGAAACCGGGCGGAGCGTGGCCAGCGTGACGTGGGCCGACGGCACCACAAACGTGTACCGAGTCGGGCACAAGGGGAAAGTGGACCTGAAGTGCGTTGCAGAAGTGACGGGGGGCTTTTACTACAAGGAACATCTCCCCAGATTAGGTACGTGTGTGAAACCCTCTCAGGGAAGGGGTGTGTGAAATTTACGCATTGAGTACAATGTAATTTGCACTGCGGTTGTGCTAAATGCTGGTCTCTAATAGCACACTTTGGGGGGTTTTTTGCACCAACTTAGGGATGTGTTGGGGGAACAAGCTTTCTTTAAAAGCAAAAACAAAACCCACGCACTGATTTATGAGCTGAAGAGAAAATCGGGCTGTTGTTCATTCTAATTCCTTTTTTTTAAATATAATTTTTTATTAGTTTTTTAACATATCATTTTCAACAGTAATTAAACATACTTTTACATCTTATTCAAATTTTTTTGATTTCCAACAATCCTGTCTGAAAATTTTCCAATCTAATCTCTCAGTATGCATTTCTTATCTTCCCTATTACATTTCAAACTCATAACCAACATCTCTATCTTTTTATACTTTGTAACACTTCGTATATTTCTCCTTACAAAACTTCTTGTAGTCCTACTAGCGTAATTTGTTGATTACAGTTGTTCATTCTAATTCCAATGCTCCAAACTGTGAGTGCCATTCATTTTGTAGCCCGAATGGCACCACGTGCAGGTTTTGGGGAATCCAGGGTTTGCAGGAAAAAGGAAAAAGTTCTGAAAAGAGGAGGGTCTCCCTAAAAAATTAAAATAACACCCTCTCAAGTAAACATGGATTGCTGAGTGATTTGAGAGTGGGTCAGAGAGGAGGGGAGTGGAATTGAACAGCAGCAGCTCCTACATGCAGCATTTTTTGCCTCTGGTCTTGCTTTTAGAGATTGCCCATCTACCCCAGGATTTAGTTTGTTGTCTGAACGCACTCAAGATGTAAAATTGTGCATTCCGCTGTCGGCAGCTGCTCTTTCTCTCTCTTTCTGCAGGTAAGCCGGCCGAGTTGCAGAAGAAAGAGAGCACTGAAAGGCACCCGTTCCAGCATGGGGACAAAGTGAAATGCCTTTTGGACATCGACATCTTACGAGAGATGCAGGAAGGGCACGGGGGATGGAACCCGAAAATGGCTGAGGTAGGGGACCGCATTTTTTTAAAAAAAAGAATTTGGGGGGGTGGGGCTTTAAACTGGGAGGAGGTCCAAAAACTCCAGGGGGATTGAGCATGCTCAGTGGCCACAGAATTGTGATTGACTGTTGGTTGGCGAAGAATGGAACAGAATCCTAGACAGGGAGGTCTCCACGCTGCAACATTTTGTTGCCGTTCTCATTTGTGCTATCCATTTTTTAAATAATATATTTTCTACTGCTGCAGGAGTTTGTATTCAGCTAAGCCAGTGCAGTATAGTGGTTAGAGTCCTGGATTGGATCTAGGAGGAGACAAGGGTTCATATCCCCACTCCACCATGAAACCTGCTGGATAAACTTGGGCTAGTCAGTCTCTCTCAGCCTAACCTATCTATAGAATGTAAATCTGAAGAAGAAGAAGAAGAAGAAGAAGAAGAAGAAGAAGAAGAAGAAGAAGAAGTTGTTGCACATGGGGTAGACCCATTGAAAGCATTGGACCCAAGTTAATTTCAGTGGACCTGATCTGAGTAGGATTAACATTGCATACAACTGAAGGAGTGATCCGATGTGCCAGTGTGGTGTAGTGGTTAAGAGCGGTAGTCTCGTAATCTGGGGAACCGGGTTCGCGTCTCCGCTCCTCCACATGCAGCTGCTGGGTGACCTTGGGCTAGTCACACTTCACTGAAGTCTCTCGGCCCCACTCACCTCACAGAGTGTTTGTTGTGGGAGAGGAAGGGAAAGGAGAATGTTAGCCGCTTTGAGACTCCTTAAAGGGAGTGAAAGGCGGGATATCAAATCCAAACTCTTCTTCTTCTTCTTCTTCTTCTCCTGTTAGTGTGCTACCAAAGCTTACTGTTCCCGTTGTGCGTGCGGGTGTAAGAGAAAATTATATGTGCTTATATGAGAATATTAATGTTTCATGTTACTTTTTAATGGAATAATATGCAGGCGAGACTCAATGTACATGGGGGTTACATTCAAAATCCAAATCGTGTATAGTCAAAATCCATTGGGTTCAATGGCAGGCAGGATTCATAGAGTCATAGAATCATAGAGTTGGAAGAGACCACAAGGGCCATCGAGTCCAACCCCCTGCCAAGCAGGAAACACCATTAGAGCACTCCTGACATATGGTTGTCAAGCCTCTGCTTAAAGACCTCCAAAGAAGGAGACTCCACCACACTCCTTGGCAGCAAATTCCACTGTCGAACAGCTCTTACTGTCAGGAAGTTCTTCCTAATGTTTAGGTGGAATCTTCTTTCTTGTAGTTTGGATCCATTGCTCCGTGTCCGCTTCTCTGGAGCAGCAGAAAACAACCTTTCTCCCTCCTCTATGTGACATCCTTTTATATATTTGAACATGGCTATCATGCCAAAGTCTTTTTTCCCAGAAGCTTGCCCCCTGTCCACCCCCTTGGTTTTTTGGTTTTTGTGTGTGTGTCGAGTGTTTAAAGGTGAATGCACGCAAGTTAAATGCGGGTAAGTCACTTGGAGACTTTGATCACCATTCGCCAGCAAAAGATAAATCTTAAGAAATAATAATAACTGTTTGTGTTTTATAATAATAATAATAATAACTTGTGTTTTAAACATCTGTTGCTTTGATCCATGAATATTATTCTGGCCATGGACTTTAGCAATGAATATTTCAGCAGTTTGAAAATGTATTTGTGAGCGAGGAGGGGCTACTGGCTTGCTGCAGGGGAGGCGTCCGATGGTAAAAGCTCGCATTTCTTGCTTTCAAATGACAACCTTTAATTTTCTCTCTCCTCATCTCCCCGCTCCTCCCCAATACTTCTCCGTTCCTTTCCTTCCAAAGTTCATTGGCCAAACAGGAACTGTCCACAGAATCACAGACAGAGGAGACGTCAGAGTCCAGTTCAATAGCGATACCCGTTGGACGTTCCATCCAGGTGCTCTGACCAAGGTGAGTGCGGCTGACGCATCCTGGCGATGGATCTAAAAATTGTGCCGTAGTTCATAGACGGATTGGGGGGAGGGGAAGGAGAGGGAATAGAAGAAGACCCTATTAGCAGGAGAATAACATTTGTTGGTTGATGTATTATTAGGGGTTGCTGCAACATGTCACTGACGCAATAGCAGTACATTAGTGGTGAATTTATACTGGACTGTCCACATGTCCTTTTGCTTTATTAGTTGTTCCATGATGCTTCCCCAAAGTCACTATGTTATTGCCCCCGCAGATCTTTGTTTTGTCCCAGCAAGTGTATATCTCAGTGAGTTATCAAGAATTGGTCATTGTCACATTCGTGGACAGTTGTCAACAAATCCTTCCCCCTGCCCAAGTGACACATGTGAAGCTGTGTAGAGATACACCGATAAGATGTTGGCAGTTGCTGAATTCTGACGTTCAGCGTTTGCTTGCTGTTGTGTGGAAGGAGTGGGGAGAAAGGCGATCTGCTTTCTCTCTGGCTGTCCTTGGCTCCAGCACAAGTTCTGACAAGCAACTCTCTTTGTCAGCGGCAGTTCTGAGTGCCTTGCTCTTGATAAGGGGTACTCCCGAAGCACTCTCTCCCGCACACCAGATCCAGGAACATCGTAAGTGACAATGTCCTGGCCAGGGCAGCTCCTGGCACACAGCTTGAGTCTTGATGGCAGATTCCTAGTGAGAGGGTGCTCGATGGCATTACCCTCCTCCCTTGCCAATGTCAGTGGCAGTTGTGGCTGTCTCACCCTCCCCACCAGAAGCCCTTTGTTAATCAAAGTGAAGTTTAATCAGTTGCTCGATTAAAGGAACAAGAAACACATGATCGAAGGAAAAAGCTGGCTACCTGTTGTTGTTTTGTAAGCAATGGAGATGTTCATGGAAGAGCAGCCCCGTTCCTGTTTGAACAAGGGTAGTCTCTATTTTGCTTTAGTTTCTATTGAGTATATTGCTCAAGAACTTGGATGGGGGGGCCACAACCCCCCTATCTGTTGCTGTAAACTCCAGCTCCCATGACCCATCATTAGTTCTGACCATTGGTCATGCTGGCTGGGGCTGGCTGATGCTGGGAATCCAACAGCATCTGGAGGGCCAAATCTTGTTCCCAATCCCTGGTCTTTAAGAGAACCTAAACACATGTCCATTTAAAGCACACAGCGTAAAGAGAAAACAGGAGGTCCCCTCACGCAGAAATCAACTAACTTCACTTCCTTTAATTTAAAGGGCATATGTTTGTCTGAGATGGGGGGGGGATGGGACCCACATACAGGGATCTATAAACAATGTTAAGAAATGGTAGATACTAGGAGCCTCTCACCTAGCGTTCCTTGGGAATTATAAGAAACCACCAGATCTGTGCAGTTTTGAAAACGGTGGTTGAAACTGAGGCAGCTTTGAAAGGTTCAGTGAGTCCGCCATCTTGATTCAAAATGGTGTCCACAAAAAACCCACTGTGGAGGCAAGTCTGGAGGGCCCGTGACTGGGTTAAAAGGCCCTACGAATGTTTGCCAAAATCTTACCCAGGGACGGTCACCGCCACCATCCTGCATCTCCGCGGTTAATGCTTGATGAATTTAGCTGTCTATAAAATATAATAACAATAATTAATAATAGTACTTACATAATTATTTGTACCCCATCCATCTGGGTTGCTCCAGCCGCTTTGGGCAGCTGTGTATATTATATTATTTTATAATATAAAATATATTCTATATCTCTCTCTCTCTCTTTCTTTCCTATGATTCCTTTCTCCCCCACGCACCGAAAAGAAAAAAGCTTCTGATTTTCTTTTTCCTTGTAGCTCAACACCTTTTGGGTTGATGATGTTGTCCGGGTGATAGATGATATGGAAAGAATCAAGCAGTTGCAAGCTGGTCACGGGGAGTGGACTGATGAAATGACCCCTGTGAGTGTCCTTCTATTCCAAGACAGCGCAGTTACTTAAAACAATCCAGTCCATGCTTTTCCGCTCTCCCCTCTCCCCTGGTGTGTTAAAATTCGAATGCAGCTCTCTGAAATTTTAACAGCTGCCACCATGTTTTAAACAAGAGCAGTGAGGGCTGATGGACCAGTAGGGGAAGGGCTCACTGGTAGATCATCCGCTTTGCATGCAGGAGGTCCCAAGTTCAGTCCCTGGCATCACTGGGAGAGGCAGCTGTCTGAAACCCTGGAGAGCTGCTGCCAGACAGTGCAGACAGTACTGAGTTAGGCAGCTTCCAGAGTTCCTAACATCAGCTCTGCCCACTGATTGGCTTCTGCCCAAGCTGACCCCGGCAAAGGGGTCTTCAATCCCATCTTGCCCACTACAAAATCTTTGCCTTATTATGTCCCCCGGCCAGTGCGGTATAGTGGTTAGAGCAGTGGGGGCCAAACTTGGCCCTCCAGCTGTTTTTGGACTACAACTCCCATCATCCCTAGCCAACAGGACCAGTGGTCAGGGATGATGGGAATTGTAGTCCCAAAACAGCTGTAGGGCCAAGTTTTGCCACTACGGGGTTAGAGGGTCAGGCTAACACCTGGGAGATCAGGGTTCAAATCCCCACTCAGCCATGAAGCTCACTTGGGCCAGTCACTGCTTCTCAGCCTATCCTACCTCACAGGGTTGTTGTGGGGATTAAATGAGGAGGTGGGGGGAACCTCATATGCCAGCTTGAGCATCTTGGAGAAATTAGGTGGGATATAAATGAAACGAAATAAATAAAACACTGTTTCCCAGCTGACACACAAGCAAAGGAGAAGAAGCATTCAGTGCTCACTTCCTGCACACAAAATATTTTTGGATGCAACATTTTATTTTGTTAATTCAGGAGACATGTTCATATTTCCTCAGAGGTATGTCCCACTTTGTTCAGTGAGGCTTACTCCCTAGTGAGTGGGTTTCTTTTTTTCTTTTTTAGGATTGCAGCCTGACTTGATTAATTGGTTTGATAAATGAATTTTTTAAAAAACCTCCAAAGTATACATTGCATACAATTTCTTTACTTTGTTTAGCAAGGCTTGCTCCCTAGTCAACAGTCTCATGGTCAAGTGAACAATATATACATTTTGTAAATGAATCATAAAATGTCAATGTGGTGGTGTCGTTTTTTAAAAAAGGATTACAGCCTTGCTCAAATGATTAGAATAAATCCATTTTTTTTAAAAACTCCAAAGCCTTCATTAGGACATCTAAAATCAAAGAATGATTTCTCCCCCCTCTCTCTTTTCATTTGTATGCAGGATTTTGAGTTGTGTGCAGATTCACTGCATTCGTTTTTAATTGATTGGATCGCTGATTCATTCAGCAAGACATTTTAGAAACCTGGTAACAGCCCTAAAGGGGGAAGCATTCAAAAATATGACCAGTATCTCACATTCAACCCACAAATCGTGACTTGTTCCACCCTTCTTGAGTTTTTGCACAGCCAGTATATTATTCCATAGCGCTTCATGGTTTTGTTTTTTTCTGAGAAGGAGCTGAATGACACACATACCCTTTTTAAAAGCACCTGACTTCTCCTTGCATTAAGGCTTTGCTGTCTTGGAATCCCATGTCCCAGGTGTGGGGGACCTTTGGCCCTCCATATTGCTGAACTGCCAGCTCCCATCATCCCTCTGACCATTGTTCAAGCTTGCTAGGGCTGATGGGAGTTGTAGTTCAGCAGCAACTGAAGGTTCCCCACACCTGCTATATATTGCTCAGTGGCTATGGAATTTTGACTTGACAGTTGTGGGGAGGGGCGATGGAATGGTATATCCTGGAAAGGGGCATGGCTGGCCAGCCAGTGAAATGGATGACACATTCTTCAAAAGGACATGGCTGGCTGGAGACAGGAGTACTCCACAATGTAATGTTCTGCTGCTTTTCTTACTTAGACAGAACAACAAGGAGTTTTTCCCCTCACCCCTCACGTTTCAATTTTCCCTTTCCCTTTGCAGACCCTGGGACACATTGGCAAGGTGATCAAAGTGTTTGGAGATGGGGACTTGCGGGTGTCTTTTGCAGGCCAGTCCTGGACCTTCAACCCCGCTTGCCTGACGGCCTACCAGAGGGAGGAAGATGCAAACCTCATGACCACCGAAGATGCCAAGGAATCTAAAAGTGAGGAGTCTGAAAGGAAAGCCGTAGCCAGCTTAGGAGGGAGGGGGAAAGCCTTTTAATAATCTGTACAGTGGTACCTCGGGTTACATACGCTTCAGGTTACAGACTCCTCTAACCCAGAAATAGTACCTCGGGTTAAGAACTTTGCTTCAGGATGAGAACAGAAATCGTGCTCTGGTGGCGCGGCGGCGGCAGCAGGAGGCCCCATAGGCTAAAGTGGTGCTTCAGGTTAAGAACAGTTTCACGTTAAGAACGGACCTCCGGAATGAATTAAGTACGTAACCAGAGGTACCACTGTACTTTTCTGTCTATAAAACGCCCCCTAATTGAGGGGCTCAAATTTAAGAAAATGGGGGGGAGATGGCACAGAGTTGTTGAGCTTTTTGGGGGGAGGGAATATCCACGGTTGTTGAGCAATTGGGGGGGAGGGGATGTGGAACTGAATATCACTCACCCAGCTGGCAAACGCCTACAATTGCAAGCGACGCACGCCAAATTGCCAAAGCGGAAGCCAATCCAAAGCAGCCCTTGCTGCATGGAAAAGTACGTTAATTGGAGGAGTATTTCCCATCTCTCCAAACAGGCACGCTGCTCTCTGTGCTGGGAAGGCTGCTGACCCAAAAGATGGAAGCGGACAGCCCGGGGCGGCTGGTCATAGAGGCTGCACATGGAAATGCATCCAAGGTCCGGGAACTGGTTCAGAAATATCCTGACAAGGCAAGTCGTCTCTGGCAACGGGGCAGATATTGTATTTTTTAAATGTCTTAAAACTTTGTGTGTGTGTGTGTGTTCAAATTTGTTTTCAAAGTATTTATTTATTAAAAAATAATCGCTGGGTTACAGCAAAACCTAGCCCTACTCATAGCAGAACCCATTGAAATCAGAGTGGCTCCTAGGATCAGAAGCGGCAATGCCTCTTCGTTACCATTCGCTCAAAACAGCAGGAGGAGGAGAGAGGTCTTTTCCTATCGCAAAATTTATGTACCACTTTATTGTGTTTAAAAAAAAAAGAGTTTTGAAGCAGTTTACAAAAGGATAAAGCAATAAAAATTATTGGTGAAAACAATTAAAATAACAATTAAAAAAATGCAGGTAGGCAAATTAAGGCCCGGGGGCCAGATCCGGCCAATTGCCTTCTAAATCTGGTCCACGGACAATCCGGGAATCAGTGTGTTTTTACATGAGTAGAATGTGTGCTTTTATTTAAAATTCATCTCTGGGTTATTTGTGGGGCATAGGAATTCGTTCATTCCCCCCCCCCAAAAAAAATAGTCCAGCCCCCCACAAGGTTTGAGGGACAGTGGACCGGCCCCCTGCTGAAAAAGTTTGCTGACCCCTGGACATTAAAAAAACAACAACCCAATAATGGGTTGAATCCAGTTATGAGATGTAAATACAAACAACAGTAAGAACCTAAGTAGAGCCCTGCCGGTAGATTAGGCTAAAGGTCCACCTGGTCCAGCATCCTTTTCTCACAGATACCAGCCGGATGCCTTCAGGGAAGCCTGCAAATGCCACAGCCACACTCTCCCCAGTTGATTCCCAGGAACTGTGGTAGTCAGGGGAACTTGCGGAGACTTTTTAGCAAAGCAGCACCAGCAATTTAGAACACCGTTCCCCTTGAAACCAGACAGAGACACCTGCACTTCTGCTATTTCGTCACCTGCAGTAAACTTCTAATTACCGTATTTTTTGCTCTATAAGACTCACTTTTTCCCTCCTAAAAAGTAAGGGGAAATGCATCTTATGGAGTGAATGCAGGCTGCGCAGCTAGCCCAGAAGCCAGAACAGCAAGAGGGATTGCTGCTTTCATTGCACAGCGATCCCGCTTGCTGTTCTGGCTTCTGAGATTCAGAATATTTTTTTTCTTGTTTTCCTCCTCCAAAAACTAGGTGCGTCTTGTGGTCTGGTGCGTCTTATAGAGCGAAAAATACGGTAAATTTTAGGGAATTACGGTAATTTGATTCAGGGTCATTCACCTTGTTTTGTAAATTTATTGGTCTTCATAATTTTGTGGTTTTTATGTTGCTGTTGCTTTGAGTTGGCTGTTTATCGACCTTCTTTTTGAATAAATGAAACGATGACCCTACCTTTTCTCATCAGGTCGATGTCAAAAACCAAGGCAGGACAGCCTTGCAAGTGGCCTCTTACCTGGGACAGGTGGAAGTGGTGAAGATGCTGTTGCAGGCCCATGCCAACATCAACCTGTGGGACGAGGAAGGAGACACGGCTCTACATTACGCAGCATTTGGGTAGGTGGGGACCCCTGAGAACAGCTGTCACTCTTCCCCCCCCCTTTTTTTTCATTTTATTTATTTATTAACATTCTTATATTACATCGGTAAACATTGTCATATTACATTACAGGACTTACTATAATATACCGTATTTTTTGCTCTATAAGACTCACTTTTTCCCTCCTAAAAAGTAAGGGGAAATGTGTGTGCGTCTTATGGAGTGAATGCAGGCTGCACAGCTATCCCAGAAGCCAGAACAGCAAGAGGGATTGCTGCTTTCACTGCGCAGCGATCCCTCTTGCTGTTCTGGCTTCCGAGATTCAGAATATTTTTTTTCTTGTTTTCCTCCTCCAAAAAGTAGGTGCGTCTTGCGGTCTGGTGCGTCTTATAGAGCGAAAAATACGGTAATTTCCAACATGTATACAAAAATTATATACAAATTTTATATACCTAAAAAGAAAATGAAACAAAAAAAAAAGAACAAGGGAAAAAACCAAAAACATTTTTTCCCAAAAATCATATACATACCAACACACTAGACTTCCCGTCTTTCCCGTTGTATATTCCTTTTATACAAATAAATGTACTCTTATTGTTGTATATTTCTTTACATATTATCTAATACATTCCTATATCAATATGTGCTCTTAGTCGTATTTCTCAACTCAGTCTCACTCCAACGTCAATCAAATGCTAGCATAGATAGCGAACCTTTACTGTATTTTTGAACATATGTTTTATATCTATCCCACTTTTCCATAAATTTTTGTTTTGAATTGCCTCTCAGGGTATTTGTTAACTGCGCCATTTCAGCAAATTCTTGTAGCTTGCACTGCCAGTCCGTTATTGTCGGGGCTTCTTGTTCCTTCCACCCCTTTGCCACCAAAGTCCGAGCTGCGGCCGTTGCGTATAAGAATACCTCCCTAAAGGCCTTTGGAATGTCCCTGCCAACAATGCTTAACAGAAATGCCTCTGGTCTTTTTAAAAAAGTTATTCCAAACATTTTTTTCAACTCCTCGTAAATTAAGCCCCAGAACACTTTGATCTTCCTACATGGCCACCACATATGATACATGTCACCATTACTCCCACCACACCTCCAACAAGTATTCGCTAATTTTTTATACATCTTCGATAGTCTTGAGGGGGTGAGATACCATCTGTGCTGCCTAGTCCAATGGAAGTTGGTCCACCATGTGGCACTGCCTGCCTTCTTACTTACAACCAATCAGGGTGCAGCTCTGTCTGGCTTTGCTCTGGCTCTGGCTCCCATTGGTCTACCTGCCTTCCTCCCTGTCAACTTCAGAGGGAACCAGCCACCACTGACTTAAGACCCCTGGACTTAACCCCTGAGGAATAAATGTTTGTAATAGGAATCTAGGAACAGCTCCAAAAAGTTCTTCTAAGTCCTCCTTGCCGATCACAGCAGGCCTAGTTCTAATAATAGCCTGTTCTATTTATATACACCCTGTTTTCCTCAAATCGGAAAAAGCCTAAATATGGCAGTACAATTTATTTATTTGAAACTGCTTTTGTAGGGTGATTCAGAGTAGACCCACTGAAGTTAATAGGTGCAACCAACATGGGTTCAGCCATTTCAATGGGTCTGCTCCAAGGAGTACTTCAATGTACGCTTTTTTCTTGCATTGTAAAATTGCTTTGAGATGCTTCAGAGTGTGAGACAGCTTTCTGTGTCTTAAGGCAGAGGTTTTCAAAGGTTGTGGCAGGAGGGAATGCCAAGCGTGGCAGGAGGGAATGCCAAGCGTGGCAGGAAGATTCAAGGACAATCAAAGAAACATTTAAACATTTCAGTGTTGCTACACTGATAGGTATCAAAATAATTCTTTTTAATTTGCAGAATATGGATAGCTATATTTTCAAAATGAGAGCGGGGGCATTGGCTACTCTTTTACAGTTCTCCACGACATACAGTGGTGCCTCGCAAGACAAAATTAATCCGTTCCGCGAGTGTCTTCGTCTAGTGGTTTTTTCGTCTTGCGAAGCAACCCTATTAGCGGCTTAACGGATTAGCGCTATTAGCGGTTTAGCGGCTATTAAAGGCTTAGCGGATTAGCTGCTAAAAGGCTATTAAAGGCTTAGCAGCTTAGATAAAAGGGGGGGGAAGTGAAAAAAAAATCTTAAGACTCGCAAGACATTTTCGTCTTGCGAAGCAAGCCCATAGGGGAATTCGTCCTGCGAAGCAACTCCAAAACGGAAAACCCTTTCGTCTAGCGGTTTTTCCGTCTTGCGAGGCATTCGTCTTGCGGGGCACCACTGTACTGTTGTGAACAGGGATTTTCAACTCTGATCAATAGGAAAGATCAGAAAAGAGAGAGGCTTCTTCGTGTTGATAAGGAGATGAGAGTTTGTCTCAAATTAGACCTAATATAAATGAGCAAAACAAGCTTACACCTCTTCTTGATTTTGTATACATATTTAAGGTACAGACTCGTTTAGAATTATACTTTGGGAATGATTTGTGCTCTTGTTTTATACTTTCTGGATGCCCCATGTTCATATTATAAAGTAGTTGTGTTCTGTGTTATAAATAATGCACTGCTAGGAGTTTTCTTGTTTTCCAATGTATTCCTTATCAATTAAAAATAAGTGCGGTGGGAGCAAATTTTTATTCTGAAACTGTGACCCAGAGAAAAAAGTTTGAGAACCACCGTCTTTTTATATATATATTATTTATGATTTTCAATTTCATACATTTCAATAAATTTACCATCCTTTTAACATTTCAAAACTTGAGTTCCCCCTCTTTATGCTTTTCCTTAAATTTATTCTTAATATTTTCTGCATATCCAAATTAACTTAGTTTGCTCATTTATTCATCAACTTTAAATATATACTCTTATAAAACTGCAGGTTATTACAATAATCCTGCAATGTTCTTATCTGTTTACAGTCTGTCTGTAAATATTCCACAAACCATTTCCATTGTTTTATAAAACGTTTGTTATCTTGATTTCTTATTTTTCCGGTAAGTTTTGCCATTGCTGCATCTTCCATAAGTTTTTGTATCCATCTGAGAACCACTGTCTTAAGGGAAGGGCTGTATCTCAGAGCAAGGGTGTTTGACGGTCCCACGTTCAGTCCCAGCAATTTCCCAGGGGGAGATGCCTGCATGAAACCCTAGAGAGCTGCTGCCCGTCAGTGCAGACAATATTGAACCGTATGGAACAATGATCTGCCTCAGCAGAAGGCAGCTTTCGGTGTTCCTCAACATCTGTGGTCTGCCACTCTTTCCTCTTGACTTTTCACCCCTCTCGCTGTCCAGGAACCAAGCAGACGTAGCCCGCTTCCTGGTCAGCAAAGGGGCCAACGGCGATCTCCGGAACAACGCCAAGTGCACAGCCCTGTACATTGCCGTCAACAAAGGCTTCACGGAGGTCGTACAGGCTCTGTGCGAGCACAACTGCGACGTCAACCTGCCGGTGGGTTTTGTTTTGTTTTTTTCATCTTTGCATTTGCATTCTGACTCATGGAATCATAGAATTATATTGAGTTGGAAGGGACCCTGGTGCAGGAAATTTGCAGCTGCCCCACGTGGGGATCGAACCTGTGACCTTGGTGTTATCAGTACCACGCTCTAGCCAACTGAGCTGGTTGGGGGGAGGCATGTTGTGTTGTGCCCATCAGTGAAGTGGAGATGATCTGAGAGCTAACAGGCAAGGGCATTATGGATTGAAAGTGGTTGGCACCTGCAGTGATAGTAGCTAGCTTAGAGGACATCAACAGGGGTTTAGGCACATTGATGGAGGGGAAGGCTGTCATTGGCTGCTGCTCAGGACATTAATGGTGTCCCTGAATTCAAGCTGCCGGGAATCTTGGAGTGTGGGAAGAGCTGTTGTGCCCGGGTCCTGCTTGCAGGCTTCCTGTTGGCGTCTGTTGAGAACAGGATGCTGGACTTAGATGGGCCTTTGACTGGATCCAGCAGCCGGGGGATCTTCTTGTGTTCTTCTTATTCACTGTACTCTCCCTGAGTGGCTTTGAAAAGGGGTGATGGGTAAATTCACAGAGGATCAGTCTATCAGCGGCTGCTAGCCACGATGTCTCTGTTTTACCCTCCCCTCTTGGAGACACCTGACAGAGATTTTGTGTACCATCCCACCTGTCCCCCTCAAGGATTCATACGGCGACACCCCCCTCCATTACGCCATCACGGCCGACTTCAAGTGCATCATCGAAGCCCTCACCGAAGTCCCCAACATCGATTTCACCATCCAGAACCAACAAGGATTCAATCTGTTGCAGCATTCGGCTCTGAAGGGGAACAAGCTGTAAGCAAAAGAGTGAAATGAACTGAAGCAATTTTAAAAAATTATTTATTCATTTCCCACAATTTTTATATACGTACGTAAAATGTTATCCATCGCAAGTCACTTAAGCATAGTGACAATGGGGAGCTATGAACAAACTGCATTAGGTGACATTTTTCCTCAAAGCGATATATATGCTTTAAATTACGGTCGTACCTCAGAAGTCGAACAAAATCTGTTCTGGAAGTCTGTTTGACTTCTAAAACATTCGGGAACCAAGGCGCAGCTTCCGATTGGCTGCAGGAAGTGCAGGGGTGGGCTCTGAGCTCTGATAAAACCTCTTCCTTGCCTGGAGGGAGGATAGAGAGTGTGTTCAAGCAGGCCTACCTCCCATGCACAGGTAAAATTGGCATTTGCTGCCCTGCCCATTTTTGCCTCTGGCCCCGCCCACCACTGCCATGTGGGCATCCAGGAAGGTTGTTCAGAGAGGAATGCAGCCGCTCAGGAAAGGTTTCCCCCATTAAGGCTGCTGAGCCACAGCAGTTCCTAAATCAGTGTTCCCTGAACTTGGGTCTCCAGCTGTTTTTGAACTTCAGTTCCCATCATCCCTGACCACTGGTCCAGCTAGCTAGAGATGATGGGAGTTGCAGTCCAGAAACAGCTGGAGACCCAAGTTTGGGAAACACTGTTTTAAATAATATTTCCCCTCCTTTTAGACTTGAGCGTAGGGAATATTTTCTCTTCCGGATGTTGCTGAACTACAACTCCCATCAGCCCCAGAAAACATGACCAATAATCAGGGGTTATGAGAGCTGTCATTCATGCTTTTCTGCCTCTCATTTTTCTGCTTGTTGGACTGTGTCACTTCCAGCAGCCACCATTTAGGCCACTAGTTAGGCCACCATTTAGTAACCACTGATTTGGCAATGCATGCTTGCCCTTTGAGACATCCGATGCCCTAGACATGCTCTCTCTTTTTTCTTTTCTCCTTCCCCTCCCACCCCGCTTGGCTCTGATCTTTCCCACCTCCCAGAGCCATCAAGAAGATCCTGGCAAGAGCCCGGCAGCTGGTAGACGCTAAGAAGGAAGATGGCTTCACCGCCCTGCATCTCGCCGCCTTGAACAACCACAAGGAGGTGGCGGAGATCTTAATCAAAGAGGTAAGCAGCAAGGAAATCAAGATAAGGGCGTAATAATAGCCCTGCCGGATCAGCCCAGTGGCCCATCTTAGTCCAGCAACCTGATCTCACAGTGGCCAAGCGGATGAAGCTTTCAAGCTGGACCTGAGAGCCTTCTCCTTGAATTTGTCTCATCCTTTTAAAGCTATCCAATTTGGTGGCCCACACTACATCTTGTGGGGGACGAATTCCCGAGCACTGAATTCCCCAGCGTTCAGCCTCATTGGGTGACTCGGAGCTCTAGTATTATGGGGTGGCGGTAGAGGTGGAACTTAGCCATCATAAGTTGGCCCTTATCATCTCATTCATTGTACTCTCGGGGGCTTTAAAAGGAGAGAGTGATGTTGCAATTCAAGTCTTCTGGGCTTCCCACTGCGGCATTTCATTAGCCTCTGTAAGAACAGGACGCTGGACTAGATGGGTCTTTGGCCTGATCCACCAGCCAGTCTCCTCTTGCAAGTAGCAACGAGGGAGAGCTGTTGTCTTCAAGGACTTCCTACTGGTCAGAACAGGAGGCTGTAGACTAGATGAGCCTTTGGCCTGATCCAGGTTCTGTCTCGCACACGCAAGCAGCAACCCATATTCCCCCGCTGGGGGCAGAGTCCAGAGCCTGCTTTCTTGCAGCGCTGCAGGCCCGGAAAGACAACCAATCGGAGCTGAGCAATGTGGAGAAGGAGCCAGGTTTTGCAAACTGGAACCGTGGCGTCGTCTTGGCAAGCCGAGCGCCGCTGCCGTCTTTCTCCCACCCTCAACCCGACCAGCGTGCCCACGGCCTCCGCATACCCCGTTCCCTTTTTCAGGGCCGTTGCGACATCAACCTCAAGAACAACCGCAACCAGACCCCGCTGCATTTGGCCGTCACGCAAGGCCACATGGAGATGGTGCAGCTGCTGGTGAGCGAGGGCTGCGATGTCAACGCTGAGGACGAGGACGGCGACACGGCCATGCACATCGTCCTGGAGAGGGAGCACCTGATGTCCATCATGGCCAAGGAGCAAGAGGAGGGAGAGGAAAGCCTCTTATCTAAGGTGTGTGTGTGTGTGTGAGAGAGAGAGAGAGAGGGAGGGAGATTCTGAACCAATCTCCTAGAACCAGTTGCCTAGATCTTAGATGTGTTTTACTGTATTGCATCTTTTGAAAAAGAGAACATTGGAGGTTCTTCCCCAAGTCCAGCCAGTGGTCCCTCGAGCTCAGTGTTGTCTACACTGGCTGGCAGCCGCTTTCCCCCAGCCCTCCCTGGAAACAGGGGTTGAACCTGGGTCCTTCTGCCTGCAAGGCAGAGGCTCTCTCACTGAGCTATAGCCCTTCCCTTAAGAGACAGGAAGCTGCCATGTATTGAATCAAACCACTGGTTCGGCTCAGTATTGTCTACACTGACCAGCAGCAGCTCTCCAGGGTTTTCAGGCAGAGAGTCTCTCCTTCCTCTGCCTGGAGATTCCAGGGATTGAACCTGGCTGCCTCTGCAAGGCAGATGCTCTGCCACTGAGCTACAGCCCATTAGATGTAGGAAGCTGCATTATGCTGAGTGAGACCATTGGCCCATTTTGCTCAGTGTTGTCTACACTGACTGGCAGCAGCTGTCCTGGATTTCAGACAGGGGATAATTCACAGCCCTACCTGGAAATTGAATCTGCAACCTTCAGCACGCCAGGCTTGATTGCTCTGCCACTGAGCTACAGCTCTTCCCCGATGCAGAGGACCGATTAACATGTAAAAGGGACAGTCACTCTGTATGAAACGCAAGTTGTGGTCCAGCAGGATCTGAAAGGCCTCAGATCCCCATCTACATCCTAATTGCGTCTAAATTGTGTTTTAGATACGAACGGCTGCGTTGTCTTTTTTTTTTTTGCGGGTGTCTTCTTCAGCATGTCATTGACACAACAGTTGTGTATTTGCGGTGGATATAAACTGGACCCATCCACATACCATTCTTGTGCACTATAGCACAACAAAAGTAGGAACCCCACCCGCAAAAAATCCAAACATTTGTGGTGTAAAAACTTGCAGGATTTTAGCAGTAAGTGACAGGGCATACACTGATTGGAAATAAAAGCAGCATGTCCTCCCCAAAACTTTTTCAGGTGCAAAATATATAGTAGATTGGTATATTTATTTTACGTTTTTATGGAAGCTGCTTTCTAAGGACACTTTCCCTAAAAGGGGGCTAATGAGTATTATAAATCTTTGACAACTATAATACAGTGGTGCCCCGCAAGATGAATGCCTCGCAAGACGGAAAACCCGCTAGACGAAAGGGTTTTCCGTTTTTGAGTTGCTTCGCAGGACGAATTTCCCTATGGGCTTGCTTCGCAAGACGAAAATGTCTTGCGAGTCTTGAGATTTTTTTCGCTCCCCCCCCCCTTTTTCTAAGCCGCTAAGCCACTAATAGCCTTTTAGCAGCTAAGCCGATAAGCCGATAAGCCTTTAATAGCCGCTAAACCGCTAATAGCGCTAATCCGCTAAGCCGCTAATAGGGTTGCTTTGCAAGACGAAAAAACCGCTAGACGAAGACACTCGCGGAACGGATTAATTTCGTCTTGCGAGGCACCACTGTATGTATAACAAATGATTAAAACCAATTTTTATTTTTTTTACTTCTCCACCCCTCATTTTAGCTCCAGGCCTCTGGCTTCCTTGGAAATCTTGAGCTGAACGTGGGGGCGGCCATCGCGTGCTACTTGGCTCAAGAAGGTGCCGATGTCAATTACGCCAACCACAGGGGGAAGTCCCCCCTTGATCTCGTTTCGGACGGAAGTATAGCGCAGCTCATCAAGAACTTCTCCCAAAAATTCAGGTAGGACCAACCCTATCCTCTCCTGGTTTGACTTCTCTCCTTGACTTCAGTCTTCGTTCCAGGGCCCCCTCTCCTCATTCTTTGTTGAAATGGTCCATGCCAGCTGTGACCCAACACATTGCCTGCAAAGTATATGTCCTCAAAAATCCGTGATGCACAGAACGCTGCTCTTCCTTCTCCATTCTTGTTTGCACTGTTCGCCCCCCCCCCTTGACTTGCCCATGAACACCAGGACTGGACACCTGCTCTCCCTCCTGTTCTGACAGAGGGTGGAGCATAAACTTCTCTCTGGGAGTGGCTGATTTAAGCGCCTTCCCCTTCTATTGATGGGATGGAGTTAACACACTTTGTGGCCCTCTCCCTCCCTTTCTGCCATAGGAGCCAACTCCCAAGGGCTGTAGGGCTCCTGCCCCCACAATAACATATTTGAGGGGGCTGTCCTCCCCCGCAAAATTGATGGGCTTTCCCATTCGAACGATGTGCGTGCTCTGTGTCATGTGATTGATTTTGCGTGGCAGGGCTCACCTGGGCCCCCACAGTATTTCATTCAAGTTGGCACCCCTGCTTTCTGCACTTGTACAGGCGGCAGCCATTTTGTGCCACGCCGCGCCCGCACGGCAGCCATCTTGTGTTGTGCTGTGCCGCCACGACGGCCATTTTGCGGCTGGCGCCCGCAGTGCTCTCTGTCAGCATTCATTACTGCGGACTCTCGCCCAGCTTCAGACCCGACGCCTAGTTCTTCTCTGTGTCTCTCCCGCTTTTGGCGTCTGCAGGGAGCAGCAGGACCCCTCAGAGAACTCCACGGTGGTGTGCAGCCAGAGGCGAGTGCACACAACCCCCAACACCATGACCAACCTCAGCGTGGCGAAGGTGGCAGCTCCCTCCGAGTGCTTGGTCTGCTCTGAGCTGGCCCTGCTCATCCACTTCTCCCCTTGTCAGCACAGCATCGTGTGTGAAGGTACAAAGGGAGCACGTCATCTTTGATCCCTGAGGGCATGCCTTTTCTTTTCCTGTTTGCACTTCCTCCCTGAGGTGCTGTAAAGCAAAATTGCACCGAAATGGGGAGAGGCCCAGGGTTCAAATCCCTGCCTCTCAGCCCTAACCTCCATCGCAGGGTTGGTGTAAGGATAAAATGGGGAGAGGGGAAAACCACGTAGGCTCCCTTGAGCTCCTTGGAGGAAAAAGGCGGGGTGTGGACGTACTAAATAAATAAATCGGCACCAGTTCCAACCATTTGCCCCTGTCCTCGTCCTTAGAATGTTCCAGAAGAATGAAGAAATGCATCAAATGCCAAACGACAATTACCAAGAAGCTAAAGCAAGGTGAGGACAGTTTGTTTTAAACTCTCACATTAAGGTGTGTTGAATTTTTCAAATCCTAAATTCCAGGAAAGAGGGGTGCTGAAAAGGTGTATTTTGGGAATTCAAAATATTTTTTGGCTAAATTAATATAATTTAGCTTTTCTTGGTAAGCAAAATGCGTGTAAAATTGCATAGAAATCATTAAAAATGATTGCCACATATTTGCAGTTATAATATATTCAATATTATTATCATTTGTTATTATTTAGCATCACCTGACATTTTCAGAGGGTAAAATTTGGGTTTTTTGAGAGCAGTTCATGTGCTTTTTAATCAGAGGTGGATTCACCAAGCTTAGAAGATGCCCACTCACAAAAAATAGTAGCAGATCTGATTTACCTCCTACCCAGAAGCATATTTTTAAGATCCCCTCACTGAAGAAATTTGCAAAAAATTAAGTCCTGCCCCCTAAAATGACAAACGCAAAGCATAGAGAATATAGACGGGGGAAGAGGGAAAGGCCTGTAGTTCAGTGGCAGAGCGTCTCCTTCGCATGCTGGGATGGGATAGATCAGTCGGTAGAGCATGAGACTGTTTGTCTCGGGGGTCATGGGTTCGAGTCCCACGTCGAGCAAAAGATTCCTGCACTGCAGGGGGGTTGGGCTAGATGACCCTCGCGGCCCCTTCCAACTCTACAATCCTACGATTCTACACGGAAGGCCACAAGCTCAATCCCCGGCGTCTCCGGATCAGGCAGGGAAATCTAAACCTGCCTGCAGTCATGGGGAGCTGCTGCCGGCCCATGCAGACATCACTGAACCCTGACTTCCTCTCCCTCTCTTCCCTCGAACAGACAGCACGGAGGTGGAGTGCGTTTCTGGTTCGGAATCCACCGGCCAACAGAAGCTGATGGAAGACCTCCAGAACCGCTACCGGCAGATGGAGGAGCGGATCACCTGCCCCATTTGCATCGACAACCAAATCAAACTGATCTTCCAGTGCGGGCACGGGTCATGCCAGGAGTGCAGCGCCGCCCTTTCCGTCTGCCCCATTTGCCGGCAGACCATCCGGGAAAGGATACACATCTTTGTTTGAAGACGGCTCGCTCTTCCTTCTCTGCCCTGCCGCAAACCCACCCTCCCTCTTAATTTCTTTGTCCCCTCCCCCCTTTTGGATGAGAATTGCGACTGGCCCGGCCTGTTTCTTAATAACCACGAAGGAATGTGAGAGAGGCTGTTGGTGATGGGAGAATCATGAGATTTGGGACCCCCTGAATTCCAAGGCCCAACGTGGCTTGCTTTTATCGTTCCCCCTCCCCTTTTTAAGAATAACTAGAATAAGCGTGGCCGTGGGCCACGAGAAAGACTGGACGCAACTGAGGGGTGCTGTGTACGGAAGCCCGCCAGGGCCAAAAACGGTGGTCTGCAGAGAGGAAGACCTCTTGGTGTCGCATGTGGACTCTTTTTCCTTCTTCGTAGCCTTATCCAGCTTCTGAAGGGACAAAAATACACGATCTTCCAAAAAAGAGAGAGAGAGAGAAAAGACAAGCACGTTTCTTTCAGTTCCGTGGAGGGTGGGAAACTGGGGAGGAGGGGGGCAAGGAAAGCAATATTCTTGCACTTTAAAAAAAAGTGGAGGGTAAATTGGGTTCCTCCTTTCCTGGAAAGAGGGGCAGGCCTCATTGGAGAGAGGACGCTCACAACCAAATATTCCACACATTCCCCTCCCCGCCGCCGCCTTCCAGTTTAGAGAATCCTCTATTTTAACAAAGCCATGATCCAATATGATAAATGGTGATGGACAGAGATTGTGTGTGTGTGTGTGTGTGTGTGTGTGTGTGTATGAGAGAGAGAGAGAGAGAGAGCGCACAAGAACTGGCTAAAAAAAACCCCCCCAAAACACTGAAACAGAAATATTCTTCTATGTTGAAGTGCAAATGTTTTTATTTCTTCAAAATGCCCAAAATGCCACACGCAGGTGTTTTCCAATGAGAGAGTTCTATTAAAAGTCGAGAAATTACAATAAAAAATGAAAAATGAATTGACAAACAATTTCCCCCCTCCATCCCACCCTTGATTTAAGACATTTTCCATATCCCACCTCCCGGCCATGCCTAGTGCAAATGATTCAGGTGTTTAACACTGTCCTTGTGGTTAAAGGGAGCCTAATCTGGGGTTTGGTGTGAACTGAACGTTGACAAGCCACAGCAAACGCAACAGTCCCTTTCCAGAGAAAGAAGGATAATTCATTATGCTTTGGGTAGGTTGGGATGGGGGCTGAGAATGAAAGCCAACTAGTTGCTCTGAGCCACAGTTCAGTTGTGTGTTGGGAAACCATGGTTTGCTGCAACGTACCAAATTGAGTCAGCCATGCTCGCCCGAACTCTTAATGTGACTGTGAGTGTTTTTGCTTTCAGGGTCAAGCAGATCCTGACACAGGTCTGGTGGAAATGTGCAAGGCATTTGCTGAACCTTGTTTCAAAACTTCCCAGGGACTCTCTTTGCTAGGCTTGCCTTGCTGTTCGTCTCTGCGTGTTGCAGAGGATTTTAGCAATGGGGGGGCCCTACTGTTTTTTTATTATGTATTTTAGTTGGAGCCCCAAAAGGTGCGCTCTCCTGATTTTTCCAGGTCGCTCTGAGACAGTCCCTGAACCCTGGAGCTTGCAATCTGAAATACATGACACACAAGGAAAAAGGACTGGTGAGGGAGGAGGAAACACAAGACACCAATGCCAAAAATTACTATGATGGCCGGCTGGGATAGAATCTGCTCAGGTAGCTTGATTGGACACTTGCCGTGAGGACAAAGTTGAAGGAGGTCCAAAGAGAGCTGGTGTCTCAGCAGAGGTAATGGAATAGCTGTGTTTCCCTTCTCTCCCTCTGCAGCCCAGTGTACATGCCCTCATCTCATGCACCTTTTGGGCTTCTTGTACACACCACACAAGCAGAATTACGTAGTCCAAAACACCCCAAAATCCCCTAACGGCTGTATATTTCACAAGCAGAGTAGGAGTGTTATACAGTGGTACCTCTGGTTAAGAACTTAATTCGTTCCAGAGGTCTGTTCTTAACCTGAAACTGTTATTTACCTGAAGCACCACTTTAGCTAATGGAGCCTCCTGCCGTGTGATTTCTGTTCTCATCCTGAGGTAAAGTTCTCAACCTGAGGAACTACTTCCGGGTTAGCAGAGTCTGTAACCTGAAGTGTCTGTAACCCGAGGTGTCTGTAACCTGAGGTACCATTGTATGTATTTTGATGAAAGGGGGCCTGCAGTAAAATGTGGTAGCGTAGGGTGCTCATTTCCTGGTGCCAGCCAGCCAGCCACCTGTCCATGCCCTCTTTGGGGATACTTCATTCACAAGAGGTTCCCCTATGGGGGCGTTAATTCATACTCTTATTCTGTGGAACTAACCACATGGCAATAGGTTTGGAAGTATGGGACCGTACATTGCTATTAACCAAGCAGAGGATCCTGAACCATACCCTCTGCCTCCAGAATGGCACAATAAACCATGGTTGGCATGACGTCCAGGTTTAACAAACACCAGTGCCTTTGCTCCTTTTGAAGCACTCCGGACAATATCAGTGAGATGGGTCAACTTGGACAGATGGCAAGGTGAGTGTTTTGTCTTATTTTCCCTACCACTGTGTATGGCATTTGGCTGCAGAATTCAGCTGCCTTGATGATATTGAGTTTGTGGGTTGTTGTTTTTAAGTTTCTAGCCCTCATGGCTGAAATCTCAGAAAGGTGGCTAATTAAGGTTTTCTGTGCTTTGGGTGGCAATGAGAGGCTTCTGTAGCCTGAGCAGCTCCTTGAGCCACCCGACAAAAAGCAAAACAAGGCAAAATCAGGAAGTGTTAATTATATTGTATGGAATTTGCCGTCGTGAGGTAGCTTTGAAAGGGGGCCAGGAGGACGGCCCACCACACTGAGCCTGGATAGCTCAGTTGGTTAGAGCGTGGTGATGATAATGCCAAGGTTGCAGGTTCAGTCCCTGCAGGGAGCACTGCATATTCCTGCACTGCAGGGGGTTGGACTAGAATCAGGTTGGCAAGGTTTACCTCGCCTGGGCCAGTTCACTCCAGTGGAGATCCCTCCATGGGCCAGATCGTGCACATGCCCCCACCATTTCCGACATCTGCGTCTGTGCAGACACGGTTTCCTGTGTCTCTGCAGACATGATTTCCAGCGCCGTGGAAGCGATTTCCAGCACTGTGGAAGCGAGTCCCTGTGCCACGCTGCAACAGTTTGGCGCAGCATGTGGGGACTCGCCGAGTGGGTCGCTCATTTCAGGTGCGGCTCATGGGTCAGTTAAACAACCCCCGTGGGCTGCTTGTGGCCCATGGGGCTTAGGTTGCCGACCCCTAGACTAGATGATCCTCAGGATCCCTCCCAATTTGATGATTCTATTACAGTATTTATTTGCCATTTACATGCTAAAAAGGCTTACTGCTGTTACATCATCATAATATCTAATAAATTACACATTTTCAGTAACATAAGTAAACGGCGACTCTTCAACCTTAGCATTTGACACCTGATGGACATACATTTTCAGCACCTGCTCTCTTCCTGTGACTGCAATTTGTTTTAATCTGAATTTTAAATGGTTGCAAGCAACCCTGGGGCCTTTTTGGCGTAGGGTGCGTAATAAACGTGATTATGGCAGAGCGCAAGAACGCCCCTGTTGTCCGCGATCATATCGGGAGAGCATCACCAAACAGGTAATGCAGCGGAACGATGTGTGGACGGGGCTGTATGAATCTGGCATTGCAGGGGGTTGGACTAGATGACCCTCGGAGAGCCCCTCCTATGAATCTGGTCAAATCCGCCACCAATGCACCATCACTGCGTCATTGACACGCTGCACGAAAAGACATTGGTCCGGGGGAGCCCTCGGGTGTCGGCTGCATCTAGTTTTGCAATCTCTTCCCTTTGCCGTCTCCACCCCTGGCCAAACCTGCAGCAAATTGTTCTTCCATCACTTAGCCCAATGCTAAGACGTGCGGCTTGAGTGAACAAGCGCAGAGTGTTCGGAGACCACGGACAAGTAGTTCCCTTTCTCTGCCCAGCTGTGAAGGGCAGCGAAGTCGGGGTTAGCCTGCTGTGAAGAGGAAGGCAGGGAGAATCTCCTCCCTGCTCGGTTTTTGTAGAACGGAAAAACCTGTGGTGCGATCAAGCAGGTCCTGCCCTGGAAGGCTCATTACAAAGCCCCGGGAACTCGATGTTTTGTGGGTTGGATGATTCCGGCTCTCGCTGCGTTTTCAAGTTTGCCAAACTTTTTAATGTCAAGGTGGACCGCATCTGGATTTTGGGGGAGCCTGGCTTATTTATCCAGTCAAGAGCAGGCTTCCGGGGCGGCCTACAAATGTCATTGATAAGTCTTACAAAGACTTAGAATCAGAAAAGATTGTTTCCTCCTCTGGGCACAGCCCATTCTCTTCTTATGTTTGGCTTTCCTAGGGGAAAGTCGTGCAGCGGCATCCCTTCGGAAGCACAAAATGCCACCTTTGAATAGTGACCATTTCCTCCAGATAGATGTTTGTTGGCTTTATTTTGCTGAAACAGATTTGAGAGTTCCGCCAACCTCTGGGTGAGCTGGCTTCTCGCCCTTTGCATTGTGATGAGCCGAGGAGGAGGAGGAAAGTCGTGGCCTACCTTGGAGGAATTAGTAGCAAAGAAGGGAATGAGGGTGCTAGCTTGGGCCCAATTCCCAGGTAAATGGAAGGGATGTTGGAGAAGTTCGATGAAAAACAGATGGTGGAGCAGAAATTCCCAATGTTCAGAATTGAGTTAGTGGTTAGAATGTCAGATTAGGACCTGGGAGACCAGGGTTCTAATCCTCACTACTGTACCTATAAAGTAACTTCTTAAAGACCACCAACCTTTTCCTTAGGAGGAAATATTTTTTGTGAATTGAGAGAAACGTATGCGAGTCTAATTGTGTCCTGCCTGGGTAGTTTTAAAATGGGATTGGAATAGAGAGAGAGAGAGAGAGAGAGAGAGAGAGAGAGACGCGGGTGGCGCTGTGGGTTAAACCACAGAGCCTAGGACTTGCCGATCAGAAGGTCGGCAGTTCGAATCCCCGTAACAGGGTGAGCTCCCGTTGCTCGGTCCCTGCTCCTGCCAACCTAGCAGTTCAAAAGCACGGCAAAGTGCAAGTAGATAAATAGGTACTGCTCCGGCGGGAAGGTAAACAGTGTTTCCGTGCGCTGCTCTGGTTCGCCAGAAGCGGCTTAGTCATGCTGGCCACATGACCCGGAAGCTGTACACCGGCTCCCTCGGCCAATAAAGCGAGATGAGCGCCGCAGCCCCAGAGTCAGCCACGACTGGACCTAATGGTCAGGGGTCCCTTTACCTTTATATATATATAAAGGTATATCTATATATATATATATCAGCATTTCTCTCTCGATTACTGCTAGCCATGATGACTAAATGGAACCTCCAGCATCAGAGGCAGTATATGGGTAAATAGCATGTGCTGCTAATGAACGATATGAGTATGTTGCTGCCTTCATGCCTTGGCTTGTGAATGTTTTCTGGGAACATCATTCTAGCAGAAAGGATGCTGTGCTGGTGAGGAAAAGCAAACCTCAGTGGTTGAATGCAGAAGGTTCCAGGTATCTCCAGGTAGGGCTAGCAATGATGAAATGAATCATGTAAACAAAGATTAAATACATTTTAATGGTGAGCAGGTCTGCCAGCAACTATTAACAGCTAAGCATATGGCTAAGAGTGGAACCTCCTTGTACAGGAGCAGGATACCTCTGAATGCCAGTTCCTAGGGAGAAACACCAGGGGGCAGCAGACTCTTGCCTCCTTGGCTGCATATGAGCTGCTAGAGGTGTCTAGATAGCTGTGGTTGCAAACAGGGCAGTGAATCAAAGACATAAACTGTTGCTGTTCCCCGCAAGCAGCTGGTTTAAGTCTCAATGTTTTTCTCTGTAATTTCTGTCTGCGTTTCCGTTCTAATCTCAGATATATTTTCGAGCTTGCTGCTATTGACGAGAGAGAGAAAGAGATTTGTTTGTGAGTTGTGGATCTGCATAATTGTCTGGGACATCTTGTCCCGCAAACAAATTTTAAAATTCTTGGAATTCTCTTGACGGAAGACGTTTTCTCCATTGCTCCTTAGATTTTTGTTCTTTATCTTTTGCAGCCCTTCCAGCCATATGCTTTCCTTGTGCATTCATGATTATTTGTGTTCGCAGTGGTGTCAGGGGCAGTTTCAGGGCTGCTTTCCACCTGCAAAGGTTTTGAGGTCAACACACCGCTTTGTTTCCAATCAGTGCGTGTGATGTGACTTCTACTGAAATCCTCTAACTTTTTGTACCACAAATTTTCCAGGGGTTCTTGTTCCCCTGCCCCCACTTTTGTTGTCCTGTAGTGAAATAGTGTGGCAACATTTGGGAAGTATTGCAGAACCAACTAATAAAGCAGAATTATGTGGGGACGGTCCAGTATATATCCACCACAAATGCACTGTTATTGCCGCTATGACAAGTTCCCTCTGTTTCCAATATTAAGTTTCATTTCCACATCAGTTTGCAGATTGATCGACTTCCTTAGTCCTCGTGCAAACCCATCAGCGTGTTAATGCAACTTTATCCTGACGTACACACAATTTTGTCTGCATTGTTGGCTAATGTGCTCATTTTGAGCGTGCAGTGTCCCTTAAAAATAACACATTTTTTGTATGTTGCGTTCACTGGCATATGCATTTTTGAATGCACACTTTACCATGGGGTGCACGGTTTTTTAAAAAACGTTACTTGGCATTGCAAAATTCGGAGAAGTGCAAATTTTGAAGAAGCGCTGCATTTCAGCTGGTTTATTGTTTCAGAAAGCGTGACTTAAGTAGGTTGACCTGTAAAGGGGAACTAACTCAAATTCCACCCACAAATGACCACAATGCCCAGGCCTTTCTCTTATAACTCCATATGACCTTCCCTCCCCACCGCCTTTTCTATCTCGCTTCTTGACACAGGACTGAAAAAGACATGCGAGGTTGCAAGGAATATTTTCCCCTCTCCTTGGGCCAAAATTAAATTGAGCTGGATTCAACAATCATTGAGAACTGGCCAAGTCAAACAGCCAGATGTGAAAACTGAAAGAAGGGGGGTAAAGGTAGAAACTCTCATTAAAGAGAAGGGAGAATTAAGAATAGCCTGTTGTGCAGCTTATGTAATACCATTTACCATGGCTGTGTGTCAAAGCATCTAAACACAGCCAGCCTCTCTTTATAAAAAAAATGGAGAAAGTAACAGCATGGTTCAGTTAAGGACAGGGCTATTTTCCATCTTTTGGGGCAAGCCCCGGCCTGGTATAGAATCAGGGGATAGAATGCAGTGCAAAGTGTTATCAATTTTCATTTTTAAAGAAAGCCCGCAGGTTCCTAGTCCTCATTATGGTTAGGAAGATAAGCCTAACCCCTACTTACGATCTGAAGCTGTAAACTTTTGACCTGGGGATTCTACCACCTCTCTCCGAAGCATGCTTAGGCCAGATCTAAGTTTCTTTTGTTTTAACTTGCTTATATTATAGGCTTTAAAAAGAAAAAAACGCCCATGATTCTTTAGCAGCTTAATTGCCCGAGCCTACAAAACACTGTGCATGTATGATGTTGCGGCTCATGACTTGGCTGAAACGGCCTCGTGATTTGGATCAGAAGGCCTGGGGGGCCACATCAGGCCTACACGATGGATGTTTTCCACGAGTGCTTCAGGCTTTGAACTCATCTCCTGTGCCCAGATCGCAGACTTAACCTTGACATCTTGCCCAGGCTTTGAACCCTGCTCAGGCATCTCTGCCCACTGGGGCTGCAAGCTGCACCTCATTCAAGTCTCATCATACCACCCTTTCGATTTTTATCAATTCCCTGCAAGGGAGGAGAATTGGGGCTTGTTTTCCCAGGCGCCCACCTATCTTTCTCAATTGCAAAACCTATGCAAGCTCCCCACAAAGTCCCGTTCTCCATCTGATTTTTCCCCTGGCACACACACCTCCCAGCTGCAATGCCCACTGCTCGGACACCAGAGGTTTTCTTTGGCTAATCGTGCCTTCAGAGCAAACATCTCACTTCTCCTGACTTTTTTTATTTTTGTAAAAAAGAGCCAGCATCCCTCAACTTCATATTAGGAGCTGTGTCTGTCTCCGCCTCAAAGCATGAGGGGAACGAGAGAGCTTTGCTTTCCAAGAAAGTGCTCTCTGGCTTGAAAGAAAACCGTTCCACCCTCGCCTTGGCGCGAGCATGACCCTAACCTGCCCAGGGATAGCAAGCCGTTTCTCTTGCTCCAGGGAAACTGCAGCCTTTTCTGCCTGTCTCAGATTGAAGGAGGCTCCAAGGGAGAGAACTGGGTAATGGTTTCTTACATCTCCTCATTGCTTCCTATAATCCTCTTTTTTATTTTTTACCCTGCTCTGGGGTGGCACCAGTTTAGGGCTCATCACTGATGGAGCAGAGAAAGGGAGGCAGATCAGCGAGTAGAGCCTTACACGCAGAGGTTCCAAGGTTCAATCTCTGCCATCTGCTGGTATACAAGAAGTTTGCCTTATAACGGGTCAGGCCATCTTGCTCTGTACTTCCTGCACTGGCTGGCAGCAGCTCTCCAGGCAGGGCTCTTTCCCAGCCCTACCTGGTGATGCCAGGGATCAAACCGGGGACCTTCTGGGTGCAAGGCAAACGCTCTGGCACTGAGCTACAAGCATTCCCTGGCCAGGCTGGGAGAGTCCTATCTGAAATCCTGGACAGCTACTGCCAGTCAGTGCAGACAGCACAGAGCTGGATGGACCCAGCGGTCTGACAATGGCAGAGGGCAGCTTCCTATGCCCCAGCCCCCTTTTTTTTCCAGCCCCTCCCTGCAAGCAGCTTGGAGGCACCATTTGCAATACCCACCAGGTCTCAGAGCTACACTCCGCTCTTCCAGGGCATCAGCTGGAAGTTCAATGAGTTTGGTGGTTCCCCTCAAACCAAGAGCTTGCTCCCAGCAGCTCAGGGCAGTGCACAAATCTCGCTCCCCGCTGTTTCTTGGGCTCACAACGCCCCTGTGAGGTAGGCAAGGCTGTGAGATGGCCACTGGCCTAGAGTCGCCCGTTGAGCTTCGTCAAGGCAAACCCAACCATTAGGTAGAGGCAACTGCAGTCAAGTTGTAGGTGCTACTCAGCAGCGGTGGCCGCCCTGCTTCCACCAAACTGTTCCTCTGGAGTTCCCTTCTGTCAGAGGACAGAGCTATGTGCACCCCCTGGCCTCACATGCCCTCCATACCTATGCTGCAACAGTGAAGGGCACTGCCCCCTTGCTAAGACTGACATAAGTTTCCTCTCCCTGTCCACTTTGCTTTATATGCATGCATTTTTGTGGAGGGGGGAGTGTCACCTTGAACTTTGCTTCAAGCAACAGACTGGCTAGCCCTGAACCTCCTGGCTGAGCAAATATCTGAACTCAGCTCTCCCTGTTCCTCATTCGAACATTCTAACCACTATATCACACTGTCACTCGGCACCACCCCAAAATTATTTGCTTTCAGTTCTTCATATTTCTACTTTGCTTTGCGGATTTTTAAACTTGCATTGTGTTAAGTTGTGGGCGAACATATCAGATGACACAGCGATTCTTCCAAAGCAGCTCTTTATTTGTAAGCTGGAACAGAACTGAACTGAGGAGCTCAGTCAGCCTGCTTATATAGAGCTCCAGAACAATGTAACTGTTGCAACTTTCTAAAACTATCCAATCACTGAACGTCACTTTCGATCCTTCATTTGCATAACTATCTACAGTATCCCCCTGCTGGCCCAGGGTGAGAACTTCAGTACATAACACATTGTCACCTTGTTGCGTAACCCGCCCTGGGACCTTCTGGTAAAAGGTGGGGCTGAAATCGAAGAGATCAAAATCTGCATCCGTATTTTGGACAGTTGTTGAATTTCTGTGCATTTGGACACCTCTTAAGGTCAACCACATTTTGCACGACGGTCCTGAGATCGAGGAGCCGGTTATCACTGATGTTTAGAAACAATGGGAAGCCATTTTGAAACAAGATGGCGGACCTAACCTTTTACAATCACATTGGTTTTATCCAAATTTTGCGTGATGCTTCCTGAGATCATGGAGCTGGTTTTCGGCTACGTTTGGAAGAGAGGGCTGTCGATGGCTACTAGACATGATGTTTACATTCTGCCTCTTCAGCTGGGGGCAGCAATGCTTCTGGCTGGAAACCCCAGGAGGGGAGAATCCTATAATCTTGCTTGCTGCTTTGCCACAAGCATCTTGTCGGCCACTATGAGAACAGGTATCTGGATGAGATGAGCCACTGGTCTGATCCGGCAGGCTCTTTTTGAGTTCTTAACTGGGCGCCATTTTGAATCAAGATGGCGGATTGAACCTTTCCAAAACCCTCCAATTTTAAGCAAAACTCCACTGTTTTTGTTCTGTTTCTTAGAACTCCCGAGTCACACTGGGCATGAGGCTTCTATATAATAAGAATAGTAAGAATAGCAGCGGTTGCTGGCATTGCCCTGGATCTCCTTGTTTTCTTTCTTTGATCCAGTGTTGTTTACCAGCTTGTGAAAGCAGAGCAACCAGATGAAACTGATGCTCCTACTGGTCTGCCCACCCTGCCTTCCTAGAAGATGCCGGTCAATGAACAACACATTTCCTAACATGGAACATCCCCCCGATGAAATATTCCAAAGGGAAACTTCTGAATCTGGATTCTGCTTCTGCTTTCCATCCCACCATTTTCTCCTCCCCTCCTATACTCCCCCCCCTTTTTTTTGGAGCAGGGTGTCATTGCATAAATCGCCTCCCTGCTCCAGCTGCTGAGACACAGCTGGCTGGGCTGCCTCTCTCTCTCTTTCTCTCCTTCTCTTCCCTGAGCACAGCTGTTGGGCTGTCCAGTGGTGCCCCCCCTTTCTCCCTCCTCTGTTAACAGAAAATCACAGAGTAATATGAAACGGCTTGGCAGGAGCTGATTTTATTTTTTATAAAAAAAGAAAATCCTCTTGGCTCATCAAACCAAAGTTTAATGTAAAGTCTACTCCTCTCTTCCCTCCTGCCCCCCACTCAACACTCCCCTCCAAATAGTTTTGTCAATTTCCAGCAAAGTTTGCCACTGCTGCAGACACGGCCTGCATTGATTTCTCTCTTTCTTCCTTCCTGCTGTGTTGCATTGTTGTTTTTTAAATTAAAGTCAGGCATGGAGCATATGGAAAAGTTTTCCGCCGGCTTTTCTCATGGCTTTCTACCAACGGAGAAGCAGAGAAGCCCTAAATGGCCTTGCATCTTGAGTTTCTTATGCATTATTCCGCTCCTGGGTCTACTGGCTGCTCGGGAAGGTTTGCTTGAGACGAAAGCAAGAGAGACTGAGGTAAGATGTGGCCAGTTTTCTTCCAAATATTGTGTGCTGTTTTAATATCCTGCCTTCCACCCCACCCCAAATTAGCTCAAGGCGGTTGTTTCATCCTAACGACAGCCCTGTGGGGTAGGTTAGACGGAGAGATTGTGACTGACCCAAGATTGTTCTACTGGACAGGGATTTGAACTCAGGTCTGCTGCATTTCACCATTTATTTTTCTTTGCTGTGTGGTCATATTCTATGGAATGGGAACTTTAATATTTGCTCATCTGTTATATTATATCTCATGGTGTTGTGAGTTTGTTTGTTTTTTTGCAAGGAGGTCAAAGATTTGAACTCGGGTCCTGCATCCCTGTCCACTGGGCAGAAGAGACGGCAAAGAGTTCCAAGTATTGCCTCTTCATATTTCATTTTTAGATTCCTGGCATGGCAGAAAAAGCTTCTGGTGGGGTTAACAGTGCATGCTTAACTAGAAGTAAGGCCCACCGATTGAATTTATTACTCCACACACCTCTCAATTTTTTAATGGTTTCAACTACCTTGCAAGGTAGGTTACGTCGACAGACAGCAGCTGGCCCAAGATTGCCAACTGAGCTTTCAGGGCTGAGTGATGGGTTGAACCTCAGTTTCCCCAGACAATTACCCTCCGTGAATTAATTAGTCTAATCTTTTATAGCCTTCCAGACTGATGACTATCAAAAATTCCACAGTTTAAAGGTACATTGTGTGAAGAAGTCCTTGCTTTTTGTCTGTCCTCAATCTTTTAACACCCAGCTCCTTGGGATGGCCCAAAAATCTAGTATTATGGAAGAAGGAATGGAGAAGCCTCTCCTAAACCACTTTCACCATACTTTGCAACATTTTTATACACCTCTATCCTGCCCACCTCTCCTTGTCCCAAAGTCCAAATGCTGCAACCTTTCCTCATGGTGTGTGTGTGTGTGTGTGTGTATGTGTGTCCACCCCCTTGATCCTTTTGGCTTCCTTTTTCAGAAGCTTTTCCATCTCTGCAAGATCCTTTTTTTTGTGGGGAAGGGACCAAAAATGGAAGTTTCACACACTCCTTTCTTTCTTTCTTTCCTAAAGATTTGGGCGTGAGATCAGACTTTTGACCTACTTACAGAGGCATTGGAAAAGCACATGTCTGTGTGCCCTATATAAGTTTCAGGACAGATCCTAAGCTAGAGAAGCGTCTTGTTTCAATACGGCATTTCCCCTTCCTCACTCCCGCAAGGGGTAGGACGTTTCAGAGCCGCCTGCTTTTGTGAAGAGAGTGCAGAATTGGGAGGGGAACTGAAGGATCATCTAGTCCAACCCCAGCTGCAACGCGTTGCTAATCAAGCCGGTTTATTACAACTACACAGAGGAGGCAAACAGACAAGGAGCTCAAGATAGCTCGCTCTCACTTCTCCACCCTCCATTTTTGCCTGACACCAACCCTGCAAGGTAGGGCAGGGCAGGGCTGAGAAGGAGCGACCGGCCCAAGATCACCCAGTGGGCTCTGTAGCCAAGTGGGGATTTGAATGGTGCAGGCTGGTCTATTAGGGCAAATGCGGTACTGCCCCACCAACCTCAGCCTGCCCTGGGGCAGCTCCTGATTGATATTTACTTCCATCCAATCCAGGGGGTGCCCCTGGCTGCCAGCTTCCTCCCCCTTGGTCTTGCCCCTTGTACAACTCAACAGGGAGGAAGAGGCTGGGGACAAGCATAGACTTAGTTGGCTCAGCCAGTAGTTGCTCTGGCGCCACCTAGTGTTGGCCTCCCTACCTTCCAACCTACCAGCCTCCAGTGGGCACCAACCACCCCTGGATTGCAAGCCTGGTATTTAGAGACAAGGGACGCGCATGGCGCTGTGGGTTAAACCACAGAGCCTAGGAGTTGCCGATCAGAAGGTCGGCAGTTCGAATCCCCGCAACAGGGTGATCTCCCGTTGCTCGGTCCCTGCTCCTGCCAACCTAGCAGTTCGAAAGCACGTCAAAGTGCAAGTAGATAAATAGGTACTGCTCTGGTGGGAAGATAAACGGCGTTTCCATGCGCTGCTCTGGTTCGCCAGAAGCAGCTTAGTCATGCTGGCCACATGACCCAGAAGCTGTACGCCGGCTCCCTCAGCCAATAAAGCGAGATGAGTGCCACAACTCCAGAGTCAGCCACGACTGGACCTAATGGTCAGGAGTCCCTTTACCTTTACCTTATTTAGAGACAGGCTGACAGCCTTGATGCTTAATATTTCCAGCTCCAGGCTCCTGAAAAAAGGACCCTGAAACACAAGAGTCTCTGGGGCTGCAACCAGAGAGCTGGCAGCCCTTAAAAAAGCCCATTTGTGCTTGGCTGCCTTCACTTTAAGGAACCAGCCAGCTCTTTCCCTGGCTCACAGACCTTTCCTGGAAAAAAACATGTGAGGCTGGGAGTTGGTTGGCATCATGTGGCAGAAGAGGCTGATGGGGCAGAAGGCAGGGAGCCCAACAGCAGGTGGCGCCAGAGACAGTAAGGGGCAGAGCCTACTTAATTTGAGTTTTGTCCCTGAGACTAAAGAGGAGGAGGACGTTGGCAGGCAGGGCCACCCCCTGGACTTGGTGTAATAAAAAAGGCAGGCAGAATGATGTTGGTGGGGCAGTGCCCCATTTGCCCTAATGGATCAGCCTCCACTGTGTGCAGCTCATGAGGGCTGTTCAGACCAAGAGCTGCGCACCTAGTGAAAGATCTTCTGAGTCCAACATCTCAACTAAGCCAGCTTGGCCTCAGCTCCAAGACCTACCATTCCTGACAAGAGCCAGGGGGGAATACAAGGCAGGATCTGGCAGTTCCTTGTTTCTTTCCCTGTTGAGATCCAGAGCCCACTTCTCATGCTAGTTTAACCTTCAGGATTCCCTTTGCCCTGCAGAAGAGAGGAATACAAGAAGCTGGCTTTGTAGCAAGCCGTTGGTCCACCTAGCTACACTGACCGGCAGCAGCTCTCCAGGGTTTCAGACTGGGGTCAGTTTACAAAAATGAAGTGCTGGTCAGAGTTAGTTTTGCCCTCAAACCACCTTGTTCTCTAGACTGTCACCTAGTGGCAGAATGGCAACATTAGCTTTTTCATAAAAGAAAGAGGCGTCCCTTATAGTCTTCTTTTAGCCTCCCAAATGAATGTTCTGCCTATTGGTATATCCGTAGCAGGGCATGTGTACATGGCTCGCCCTCCATTTTATCCTCGCAACAACCCTGTGAGGTAGGGTAGGGTGAGAGACAGTGACGGGCCCTCGGATGTGGAAGTAAAAAGGCTTTGTTTTCCTTTTCACTCTGTGTTCATCACAGGCAGCACAGTTTCCGTTCAGTTCATCTTCCACCAAAAGCCAGGTTATTAGTCTCACTGTCCACTGTGGCAAAATCACATGGCTTCCATAATTAATAGTGTAAAAGATGTTATTCCACCCCCATTCATTCAATTGCAAATTGGGCAGTGAGGGGGCGAGTAATAAATTACATATTGTTTGCAGATGGAACAACATATTGTTTGCAGACCGAGCAAAAACAGCGGATTCTGACTGTATTTGCTGGATTGATTTCCTTTCTGGCCACGGAACAATTTTTCCGTTTCAGTTTTCATCCGAACTCTGTGACATTCCTACCCACAGTCTTCCCAGTGTGAATCATGGCTGAGTTGGGTCCATCACTCTAACCGCTACACCACACTGCCTCTCACATAACGGGGACCCAACCCAGAGGCTTTGGTGCAAAGCTGACGTGCTGAGCTCTCCTCCTGACCTGCTTGGCTTGGCTTTTTTAAGGCAGAACCTGCTCTTCACGGTTTTCCTCCTGGAATTCCCCCTTCTCTCCGAGATGGCAAATTTCCACCCCATCCCCATAGCCGGAAGAAACGCTACACGCTCACGCCAGGTCACCTGAAGTGGGACCACTTCAATCTCACGTACAAGTAAGGCCAGGATTTGTAGAAATACCAATAGTTTTGGGGGGTGGGGTCAAATACTTAATTTTTGCAATGGATTTTCTCTCTTAAATTACATTTACGCCCGTTGTTTTTACAAATGTATATGCATTTTTCTGCATACCTCAAATACACATATTTTTGTACTTGGGGGGAGGGCTCGGCAAACTGCGTCAGAGGCATGGGAATTTCAACATACCGTATTTTTTGCTCTATAAGACTCACTTTTTCCATCCTAAAAAGTAAGGGGAAATGTGTGTGCGTCTTATGGAGCGAATGCAGGCTGCGCAGCTATCCCAGAAGCCAGAACAGCAAGAGGGATTGCTGCTTTCACTGTGCAGTGATCCCTCTTGTTCTGGCTTCTGAGATTCAGAATATTTTTTTTCTTGTTTTCCTCCTCCAAAAACTAGGTGCGTCTTATGGTCCTGTGCGTCTTATAGAGCGAAAAATACGGTATATGCATTTCAATTTGGCTAACACTGGAGGAAGTGCAAATTAGGGATTGTTTGGGGGAAATGCATTGCAATGTAAATTTCTCTCCCCTTTCCTGGTTTGAATACTGGTTTCTGGGAAGGGGTGGAAATGATAAAGGGGAGGGCTCTGTCTTCCATCCACACAGACAGTACAGACTTTCCATTTGGAAGGTGGGCGGACAAGGAAGCCTAGTGGGAGGGGAAATGGAATAGTGTGTGCTGCAAAGGGGCATGGCTGGCTGCAGTTCTGAAGACTTGGAGGGCCACAGTTTCCCAGCCCTGGTCTAGGCTGCAAGCCAAGGTTTCAAACAGGAGGTGTTGGGATTTAATCTGGCACCCTTTGCAGGGATTTGTGAGGGGCTCCCCCATCTCTCTCGGTTTTTTAATATGATTTTTATTTCTGATTTTCAATTTTATGCATTTCAATCATTTTACAGTCATTTTAACATTTCGAAACTCGACTTCCTTCCCCCTCTTTCTGTGGTTCCTTAAATTTATTTTTTTATATTTTCTATTATTCCAAATTAACTTACTCATTTATTCATCTATTTAAATATACATTCTTATAAAACTGCAGGTTATTACAATAATCCTGCCTGCGTCCTTATCTGTTTACGGTTTATTTGCAAATATCCAATAAACCATTTCCATTCGTTTATTAAAAAGTTTATCTTGATTTCTTATTTTTCCGGTAAGTTTTGCCATTTCTGCATATTCCGTATGTTTTTGTTATCCATTCTTCTTTTGTTGGGACGACTTCTTCTTCTTTCCATTTTTGGGCAAGTAACATTCTTTCCGCTGTCATCGCACACATGAATAGATTTCTATACGGTTTGGGTAGTTCTGTCCCTATAATTCCCAACCTCCATCTCTCTCTGTGTGTGATACGATGTGATCTTCCAAGCCTGGGTGGGGCTGAGCAGCCATTTCTGGTCGCAATCCCTCTGGTCTCTATTAGCTCAAACAGTTCCAAAGCTGCCTCTTATTTTCATTCTAATTCCATTTCCTTCCAGGATCCTGTCTTTTCCTAGGAACATCATCAACGAGAGCCAGACAAGGAAGGGCCTGTCTGCTGCTTTCCGCATGTGGAGCGAAGTCTCCCCCTTCAGCTTCCGAGAGGTGCCGCCAAGGGCAGCCAGTGACCTAAAAATTGGTAGGGGTTCCTCTTATAGTAGGTGGCACTGTGGGTTAAACCACAGAGCCTAGGACTTGCCGATCAAAAGGTCGGCGGTTCAAATCCCCACGACGTGGTGAGCTCCCGTCGCTCAGTCCCTGCTCCTGCCAACCTAGCAGTTCGAAAGCACTTCAAAAAGTGCAAGTAGATAAATAGGTACCGCTCCGGCGGGAAGGTAAATGGCGTTTCTGTGCGCTGCTCTGGTTCGCCAGAAGCAGCTTAGTCATGCTGGCCACATGACCCGGAAGCTGTACGCCAGCTCCCTCGGCCAATAAAGCAAGATGAGTGACGCAACCCCAGAGTCAGTCATGACTGGACCTAATGGTCAGGGGTCCCTTTACCTTTTACCTCTTATAGTGCTGGTTTCAGAAGAAAACTCTGAAAGAGTGATGGGGTGTGTGGAAACCCACAGCAACCCCGCTGAGGACTGAACATGCTCACTGGTTACAGAATGCTTTGTGTCAGGATGGAGGGAGGACAAGGAAGATGGAATGGAGTGCCCTAGCGGAGGGCATGGCTGGCTGGAACATACAAGGTGTGACCAGAACGTTCGGTGAATGGTCACAGAAATCGGACAGCGAGAAATATTCGAACCTTACAGGCCTTCAAAGTAGGCCCCCTCGGATACAATGCGCTGTTGACAACGTTCGTAGAACTGTTGGGGACTTCTGGAAAGTCCTCTTTTCGTACTGCTTTCGGTTCCCTCGTCACAGCAGCTTGGATGTGTGAAATGTTGGAAAATCTGTGCCCTTTCAGTGCAGATTTCAGTTTTGGAAAAAGAAAGAAATCTGGTGGGGTCAGATCGGAAGAATATGGGGGGTGGGAGAACTCAGTAACATCAGTAACGATTTCACGTGGACTATGCAAATCTTCCGCCATCATTCAGCTGGACAAACTCAATAACTCACAAACTCTGTCGACATTTGCTGCCATTCTGCTCGTCGATGGTCTGCCTGACTGAGGGTCATCTTCGAAGGTTTGCCGCCCATCACGGAAATGGTTAAATGCTTAAAGTTACAGCTTCATTTCCGTACACAATTGTGAGCATTTCGTGGGTTTCCGAGGATGACTGTATGTTTGAATACTTCTCGCTGTCCGATATCTGTAACCATTCACTGAACTTTCCGGTCACACCTTGTAGAACAGCACTGCAACATTTTGTTGAAGTTACCACTTCGATATGGGGAAAGGGCACAGCTCAGTGGTTTTGCATGAGGAAGGTCCCAGGGTCTATCTTGGGGATTCTCCAGGTATAGCAGGGAAGACTCCCTGTCTCAAACCCTAGAGAGCCATTGGCGGTCCGTGTGGATGATGCTGAGCCAAATAGACCAATGGTCTGACTCGGACCATTAGCGCTTACTCTGGCTCCCACTGCAGGCGTTTGAAACCAAGGGCCCATGACACCAGCCACAATCTGTGTCCATCCCATAGTTTCTTGAAAAATGCTCCTGTTTGATGCGCTTTCCCTCAAAACAGCTTCTGCATTTTAAGACATGGATGTGTGTACAACCTCAGTATTGGGCAGCCATCTTGTCTGTTCACCCCGTCTTAGTAAGGACTGTGATGTTTGCTTCCTTGCACATATATTTCCACAACCCTAGGACATTTGGAATCATCGCAGTAGAAACAAGAAGTATGGACCTCGGCACTCGCTGAAAAATTAACTAAGGAAGTCAAGGCATTACCCAAAAAGATACACACGCAACAGGCTTTCACTCAATGTTTTCCCACAAAGAAACTGCATTTGGAAGGTGCAGTGGGAAGAGGGCATTGTTGGATGTGGGGGGTTTCATTTACTTTGAAAAATCAATAAATATTTCCCCTTTTCCTTTTTAAAATTAAACCGTTGGGCAGGCGGGGGCCGAGGGCAGACTTCCACCGTGATTAAGTGATCCCATTTCATCATTTTCATTTCTCCCCAGGCTTCTATTCCATAAACCATACAGACTGCCTGGAGTCCAGTATCCACCACTGTTTTGATGGGACAACGGGAGAGCTTGCCCACGCCTTTTTCCCTCAGACAGGCGAGATCCATTTTGACGACCATGAATACTGGATTGTGGGCAACACAAGGTTCAGCTGGAAAAAGGGTAAGGGAATCACGTGTCTCGATTCTTGAGGCCGACGTCATCGTGGGTAACATTTGGTGCCATTCCTCATTTCCTCATGGAATTTACACATAGCTCTTCTTGTGTGTGATTTTGCAAGTGCTTTCCGGGTTTCTTTCTTTCTTTTTTAAAAAACAAGTTTCTAGTCCCTTTGGTCCTGAAAAATATGCATTCTTTCCCTGAAAAAATTCTGGACACTGAAGTTTTATCAGGGGTTTCTGGGACTACATTGCCCGTAGTTATTGAGAGAAAGGATGTGCTTCGAATGTGCTGTGAATATACTGTGTGAACTCAGCCTTGTCGCATACATTATGCAAATATACTCAGTCATAATAAATGCAAATACAGGTCACAGGAATTCTCAGTCACTCAGAGGCCGCCTACAATCCTTCAGAGTACACCCCCCTGCAAAAGATCCTGGGAACTGTAGCTTGTTAAGGGTGCTGGGAATTTTAGCTCTGTGAGAGGCAAATTAAAGTTCCCAGGATTCTTGGGGGCGGGGCACATTGGAATATACTTTAATCCTATAATGCATACAACCTCACTTTCTTTTCAGCGCAGATACTTTTAAAATATCGATTTATTTTTATTCTTGTTTGGGGAGGCCTGTCAGGCTCCTTACACTGTTTGGCTGGGAGTGGGAACTGTTAAAAACAGAAAGCTGCCTGCAATCCTCTTGAGTGGTTTGCTAGACAATTAAGATGTGCCCAGACTCTTCCCATGAGGAGCATCAAAGCTTTCTGATGCGTTGACCTTCGTTGGGGTTGACTTAGATTAGACAGCTTTCCCCCCCCCCCCCCTCCTGGTTCCACGTCTGTCTTGCCAGACATCAGGGGGAGAAAAATGTCTGCGACGTGAGCTGACGAAGGACTTCTGCACACAGAACGTTCCAGATTTAGGGGTAGCTGGTCCAGATTCAGTTTTCAGTGACTCAGTGGGGCTGCTGCAACCACAGTTGCACAAACCCTTCCCACCCCAGCATAGATCCAGGCAGTTGTGCTATCAGTGGGGAGAGGTTTTGCCTTGTTCCTTCCCTTGATTTCTCGTCCAAAAGAAAAGAAAAAGGGGTGGGGGAGGGCTGTTTACATTTTTGTTCACTTGGATCACCAGATTTCCTGCAGACGTGGACATTTTGTGGGCAGCAGATGCCTCCATTACGGACCGGGTTGCTCTTTTAAAAGGCTCCACTTGACATTAAATTCTAAGCAGATGGGTCTTTAATAGGGATGGGAAGTGGCTGCAACAATTGTTGTCCCCACCCCAGCCTAGCCACCTTTATTTTTTCAAACCTCCCAATTTTTTAACCCTACAACAGTCCTCACAGTGTGACCAGATGGAGAATTTGGACACATACCAGAACTTCAGGCCCTCCTAGTGTCCCTATTTTCCAGGGACGTCCCTGATTTAGAAAAGCCATTCCAGTTTCTGATTTGATCCTGAAATGTCCTGCTTTTCCTTAGGATGTCCCTATTTTCATTGGAAATGTTGGAGGGTATCCGACCCCTGAGTCATCTGAAGGCAGCCCTGTATAGGGAAGTTTTTAAAAAGTGTTTAATATTTTATTATGTTTTTATATATGTTGCTCAGAGTGCTGCGGCAACCCAGTAAGATGTGTGGGGTATAAATTATAATTATGGAATTGGGACGTCCCTATTTTCATCAGAGAAATGTTGGAGGGTATGGGACTTTAGATTGGCACACTTGACGCAGATCAAATAGCGTGGCAAATCTGCTTTTGTTTTTAAAAATTAACTTTGGCGGTTAAGAAAGCTACAGTGATATGTGTTAAAAATTCGCAGTGGGTGAATGATTAATGGGGAGACATGTACAGTGGTATCTTGGGTTACATACGCTTCAGGTTACATACGCTTCAGGTTACAGACTCCGCTAACCCAGAAATAGTACCTCAGGTTAAGAACTTTACCTCAGGATGAGAACAGAAATCGCGCGGCGGCAGCGGGAGGCCCCATTAGCTAAAGTGGTACCTCAGGTTAAGAACAGTTTCAGGTTAAGAATGGACCTCCAGAACAAATTAAGTCCTTAACCCGAGGTACCACTGTAAAAGTAAATTGGGATGAGTGCTCAGGGCTTCTTTTCAGCTAGAACTCACTAGAACTTAGTTCTGGCACCTCTCAGGTGGGTGCCATTGCCATTATAAGAGGAGGTGTTCATGGTGGGTTCCAGCACCTCTTTTTCTAGAAAAACAGCACTGAGTGCAACCGCCCTGTAAACAAATGAGAGTGAACGTGCAATAAAGCCTGGAAATAGTCTAACCGCCTTTTAACATTGGTGCAAGCAGGTCAGGATGAATGCTGGAGACAGGGCTAGAAGAGAAATATGGGTCAGACTGCATTTAAAGGTGAACTTTCCTAATTCACACCATTATTGCTAAGATCTCTCAGAGCTGTTAGGAAGCCCCTCTTCCCTTCCCAGAGCTACAATTCCCAGAGTTCCCTGGGAAGAGAGATTGCCTTGGGAATTGTAGTTCTGTGAGGGGAGATTTCGCCTCACAACTCTCCGTGTCCCTTAACAAATGACAATTCCCAGAATTCTTTGGGGGGAAGCCATGACTGTTGAAAGTAATATCACAGTGCTTTAAACTTATGGTGTGAAGGTGGCCTTAAGTTTTATCTGTTGGGAAAGTGAGGCTAACCTTTGCCCTTGTCCTTATTGCTTGCTTTGTTTTATAGTTCAACTTCCCATGACGGGGTTGACTACTAGGCTAATAGAAGACCCCCTGCTTGCCAGGCCCAAAGAGGCAAAACCAGCCCACAAAATTCAGGTCATAAGTTCCTGGGTTGTGGTTTCCAGGCATGAGGTGGGTTGCTCTGACCAGTAGAAACCCTCCATTAAAACCCAGAGCCGTGAAATCACTGGAGAGAAATGCGCTTAACTGCCGGCTCTCACATCTTTCTGGTTCCACGCACAGATTTGCTGAGGTGCCAGACCTTGTGAAATGTGAATGGCTGGCTTCCACCTCTGAAAGTCTATCTACCGGTACATTCTGGCTTGATAGGGAAGGATTTCCCATGTGTCCTGTCTTGAGATGGCTTTGCAAGCATGTTTCGTATTTAGGAGAAAATAGAAAGGTGTTGCATCACCTTGGGGTTTATTGTGCGTAAACACCGGCTGGATCTATACTGATTTGTAAAAACGCTTTAAATAAAGTTACACAGCTCTCAATGCAATGTTACACTGATGATTTTAAATTGTTCTGCAGAGCCTTCTGGTGTCACATGTTTATAACACATTTATAATGTTTTTACTGACAGTATAGATTAGTTCACCGCCATCACCACAGATTTCACAGCTCTTCCACTTTGGGCCAAGGGTGGGGGTGAATGGACATTTTAAAGATTGCTTCCTGCCAACAAGGCATCTTGTCTCCAAATAAGATTGATAAAACCCAACTGGTAGATTGTAAAAGGTTTTGCTTGGCTTGCTCTCCATCCAACTCTCCTGACTGCTTTTTGTGGTGAAAAGGTGGCATCAACCCGAACTCTGAACCCCGGTGTGTGAGCATCATTGTGATCTCAGGTTGAAATTGGATTGCACTGAGCTAGGTGGACCCAATGGTCTGTTCCGGTGAAAGGTGGCTTTGTACATCCGGTTGGTGCTCTGTTCTGTTGCCTTATTGATTTAAGGACACTGATTATTTCCCTCCACCTTTCTATCTCTCTCTCTATCTTTAGGTGTTTGGCTTACAGACCTGGTCCACGTTGCAGCCCACGAAATCGGCCATGCTTTGGGCCTCATGCACTCCCTGGACCCCAATGCCTTGATGCACATCAATGCCACCCTGACTGGGAAAAACACCATTTCGCAGGACGAGATGTGGGGGATCTTCCGCCTTTACGGTGAGCGAGAGCATTGTTGGCTGCAAGGAGGGAAAGCAAGGACTCAACCAGCAATTGCACGGTTAAGCACTGTTAGCTCTTCTGCTGCCCTGTCCCTTCAAGCATTGTGTTGGTTGCTTCATGTGCAAATTGGCCTGAGAGGTGAGAGTGGAGACTGGCTTCTAGCTCAGTGGCAATGGTGGCTCCCTGGAGGAGGGGTTAAAAAGCCCTTTGTGGATTGGGTTCAGGCAAGGGAGGGGGCTCTTAGAAGTGGGAGGCTGAAAAGGGGCTAGATGATGAGCTTATAGGGGCCAAATTATATGTTGTTTTATTTTTTAAAAATAATTTCATTTCTATCTTGCCTTTCTTCAAGGAGCTCATGGTGACATATTTATTAACTTTATATCCTGCCGTTTCTCCAAAAAGGAGCCCAGAGTGGCAAGCAGCAGATGATAAAACAATTTTAATAAAATTAACACTTTAAAATTAGAGTATGGGGCAACTGGATATTCCTGCATTGCAGGGGGTTGGACTAGATCAGGGGTCAGCAAAAATTTTCAGCAGGGGGCCGGTCCACTGTCCCTCAGACCTTGTGGGGGGCCGGACTATATTTTGAAAAGAAAAAAAAAATGAACGAATTCCTATGCCCCACAAATAACCCAGAGATACATTTTAAATAAAAGCACACATTCTACTCATGTAAAAACATGCTGATTCCCGGACCGTCCGTGGGCCAGATTTAGAAGGCAATTGGGCCAGATCCGGCCCCCGGTCCTTAGTTTGCCTACCCCTGGACTAGATGATCGTCAGGGTCCCTTCCAACTCTGCAATTCTATGATTCCTCTAGGAAAACACCTTTTAAACAATTCCAGCACACATGGCAGGCTGTATGTGGCTCCCCCCACATTTTATTCTCACAACAACCCTGTGAGGTAGGCTAGAGTGAGAGACAGGGACTGGCCCCAAGCTAGCCCTGCAAGGAGATCTTCACGGCTGTGTTGTGGGATTTGAACCCTGGTCTCCCAGGAACCTAGAGTCTGGCACTCTAACCACTACGCCAAGCTGCCTTCTTGAGTGCCAGTTTGCCTGTTTCTTGCTGCTTCCTTGCAGAAACGTGTTTACATCGGTGGCTCTCTCTCCTCTCCTGAAAGCAGCATTTATCCCTGCAGGCTTGCACCGCACGCCTTCAGTTTGGAAGTTACTGGCTCCAACTTCCCCAGATTTCCTGAGGCTGGGCCTCTGAAAACTAGTATTGGGGAGAGAAAATGATACGTTTCTGGTCCATCATAGAAATTCTGTGAAATGCTATATTTACAGCGGAGGGTGAGGTGGGGTGAGGAGAAAACGGCCTGATGAGAACATAGCTCTGGCAGCGGAGGGCTCAGAGGCCAGCCTTGTTTTCCTACAGTTTGAAAAAAGGGTTGAATTGGCATTGCCGTCGAAGGACTGCTTTCTGTGCCAAGCCTGTGCCACCTCCCCAGTCGCACGTTTCACTCCTTCTAATAAGTGCCGATAGCTGTGAAGCCAAAACAGGCCATAGCTGAGCTTGATTTTCCTTTTCTTTTCTTTTCTTTTTGGGGGGGGGGGTGTTCTAATGTATTATATGATCTTAGCCTTGCTGATGCAGCCAGGTTTATTTATTTCCTTCCCATTTCTCCTTTGACCTGGGCATCTTTTAAGACTCAGGGTCAGAAGGTAACCTGGAGGTAGGCCAACGTTCCTGCTCCGCTCAGGATCGCCAGTGCTGGATGTAAAACACAAGGAGGGGGGCATTTTTGCAGCCCCCAAGGGCCGGCATTGTCTCCTAGGGCCACCTGCCAGAAGTGGGCGGGGCCAGAGGAAAAAAGTAGGCGGAGCAATGGATGCATGACTCTTAATCCTTTGCACAGCAAGATTCTTCTTACGTTCTGGTGACCTGGCAAGTTTTCACATACAGTGGTACCTCGGGTTACATACGCTTCAGGTTACATACACTTCAGGTTACAGACTCCGCTAACCCAGAAATAGTATCTCGGGTTAAGAACTTTGCTTCAGGATGAGAACAGAAATCGGGCTCTGGCAGCGCAGCAGCAGCAGGAGGCCCCATTAGCTGAAGTGGTGCTTCAGGTTAAGAACAGTTTCAGGTTAAGAACAGACCTCCAGAACGAATTAAGTACTTAACCCAAGGTACCACTGTATATTTGTAAATATGCTTCTTCCACTCAAGCCATCCACCCTCCAAGCATGCTTTTTCAACTGTTGGAGCAAAGAAAAATTAAAGACTCGTCTGAAAGATCAGCTACCTTGGACGACTCCTGTACAAAGTTTTTCATGCTGGCTGGTTGCTACAGGAACCTTTACCCAGTAACTAGTGCCTTGAGCTTGCTTTCTTCCACCTCCCTCCCCATATCTTTTCCTTTTCTGCTCTTTCATAAGCCTGAAGGCATGGGCTGTCTTACCACTGATATCTGTAAGCCACTCCTGAAAAGCAGGATTAAAAAAATGCTTCCAATAAGTAAATATGTGGGTACAGTTCCGCTGACAGGACCAACATTGGTTGAAATCAAAGTACACAAAGTTCAATCAGCTTTTTAAAAGTTTTTATTGCCACCTTTAATGAATCTTCCTATTTCAGGCTGTAAAGATCGAATCTTCATATGTCCTTCATGGTCTCAGAAAGGCTACTGCAGAACGCGCAGGAAGTTTATGAAGAAAAATTGTCCATATAGCTGCGACTTTTGCTCAGGTAATGAATATGCTTTGCTTGGATTCTAGCATTCAAGGATATCTGCTTCTAAGAGGGATATATAATATATTTATAAGCAATAAACGCAAGGGGAGAATGCTCTTTTGCTAGGCTGATAGCTTGGCCTGTCCAGGATAATGGGCTGATATTTTATTAATGGGAGCTAATGACAGGCTACATTCTCCTGATAGCTGGGAGTCTCTCTCTGGTGTTTGGAATGCAACATCCAAGAGAGTTTAGGAAGATAGGATGCCTCATGGGAAGCGATTCATAAATGATAATATGATCATGTATTTTTTAATAGAAAATTTATATACCTTTACTCATTTTTTAAAAAAATCCGAGTGGTTTACAACAACCACTCATGAAGCCATTAAAACATTTAAGATCAGATATCGGATAACTGTTGTTTGTTAATTGCCTGCGTAAGCCTGGAGGCATAGAAGTTTTCAGCAGGCATTTAAAAGTTGAAAAACAAGGTGCCTGATGAATCTCTATGGGCTGAGTTCCCACATGACTGGGCCAATGACACTAAAGGCTGCATTTTGTGTTGATTTCAAATTAGCATCACTGATTGGGGGAACGACCAGCTATGCTCCTGCAAGTTATCAAACCAGAATATAAGGGTTCATGTGGTCCCGGAGTTGTTCAGGGCTTTGTTAAGACAAGGCCCTTGAACCTGGCTCAGTAGCAGTTGCGTCAGGGATTCTTAAGATGTGATTCCTGCATTGCAGCAGGGGGTTGATCCCTGGGGAGCCTTTCAACCCAGTGTTTTTTACACTGGCTGGCAGCAGCTCTTCAGGTTTTCAGATTGGGGTCTCTCTCAACCCTGCTGGGGATTGAACCTGGCACCTTCTGCATGCAAGGCTGATGCTCTAACCACTGAACTCCAGCCCTTCCCCAAGATTCCTCGATTTTCAAAATTAGTAAGACAACAGCAGGAAAACAATCGTGTAATCCTAAATCTGTAGCTCAACGATGACAATATATCCTTTTTGTTTTGATCCCCCTTCCCTTCCTTGTTCTGCCGGCAGAATTCCCATTCCCAACGGTGATGCCAACGCCGCTTCCCCCGAGGATGAAAACGAGGATTGTTCCCGAAGGCAGAAACGTTACCTTCCGCTGTGGCCAGAAGATCATTCATAAAAAAGGCAAAGTTTAGTAAGTAATCTCACTTGGGGGTGAGCCAGACATGCATGCATGTCTCTTTAACTTTTTGGTTTGGAATGTGTGTCTGTATGTGATCTTTGGGAATCATTAGAATTGTGCAGTTGGAAGGAAACCCAAAGCTCATCTAGTCCAACTCGCTGCAATGCAGGAAAGCGGGTTACCTTGAATTAGGGACAACCAGCACCAGGGGTTACATAGAAAGCTGACTTATACTGAGTCAACCATTCCTTGGTTCCAGTCACCCTCTTGTGCACATGTTCCAGCTTGTCGATATCCTACTTAAAATGAGGCGCCCAGAACTGGACACAGGACTCTAGGGCATGGTTAAAGGGATAAAACCTGGTGAATATCAACCTTCCCCTCTTGCTTTTCCCACACACAGCTGGTATAAAGAGAAGGAGCTTCTGGAATACTCCTATCCAGGATACCTGTCTCTGAATGACGACCACATGAGCATCATAGCCAACGTCATCAATGAAGGGACCTATACTTGTGTAGTGAAGAAAAAGTCTCAGATCCTCACCACATATTCCTGGAGGGTCAGGCTGAAGCACTAACAGGGAACCCGTTGCAAAGGACTTTGGTATAACCCAAGTAGTTCTGTCCCATGTTGGGTTTCCTTTTTTCTGCCTGTCGTTTTGTGTATCTAACTTTCAGCAATGCACCCGATCTTAAAAACGGCAAAGCCCATCCACAGGTGTGGTTTGGGCAATGTGTGGGGAGGCTGGGCCTTCCTCCCCAACAGATTACTGCTTCCAAAAGGAGATGAGTACAAAATTCATCTGGTCTGTATATTTTAGTTTTAGCAGGTCAAAGAGATGGGAGCTAGAATGGCTGTTTTGTTTATCTTGCTAGCGTTACGAAAAGAGAGTCTGTAAAATGTATTGGGGGGGGGGACCCAAAGAAAGCCCACACACCTGTGGACATCTAGGTCTGGAGAGGTCCCAACAGCTTTGGGAAGTGGAAATGTCTAGTGGCTACTAAATGGAGAATAACTGAAATGTCACCTTGGTAATAAATTCAGCTGCAATATTGCTATTGCTGCAGTTAATATTGATTTTCCTTACAAAAGTGATGAAATGATAAGATGTAGAAGCAGGTGTGGGGGAACCTTTGGCCCTCCAGTTGTTGCTGTGCTACAACTCCCTGCTTGCTGGTGCTGGTGGGAATTGTAGTTCAGCGGCACTTGAAAATGCTACGTAGCTCCTAGGTGTAAAGATCGCGTATTCCTCAGAGTAACAAAAAAGATTTATCCACCATGAGCCATCAACTCATGATTTGCTTTCTGTGATGGCAACTCAAGCAAGCTTACGAGACGCTGTTAAATTCCTTGCATATGTTGTGATGCACTTATCTGTCGGTCGAGCCTCTTGAAGAGCTGTCTACAGCTTCTGGAAAGCTAAAGGACAGTTGATCCTCTAGGAATTTCACTGGTAAATTACTGCGGTTCTCCTGTTTGAATAAAGTGCTTCCTGACTCTGCCGTCATTCTTGTCATTGATGTAGAAATTATGCTGCCCGCAAATCCTTCTAAGAGAAAACCAGGTGCCCCCAATAAATTAGGTTAAGAGAGCAACGGCAGACAGCTGCATGTTTGCGTTAAACCCTTCTTGACCTATAATTACCCCACCCTCTTGCATTTGCGAAGCCATCGAAATGAGTCGCAGTACATAATCATCCATAGAGGGAATAGCCCCCCCCCTCCAGCTTCAGTCAAAAGGATCAGACGTACAGACAGCTGGCTTCCCTCTGGCGGCAGAATATCTGGGAAATCATGGGGTTGTATCTAACGTTTTTATTTATTAGCCCCAACCCAAAGCAACTTACAAACAAACAAGTGAGCAAGTCCCAGGTCACATCCATACCACAGATCTAACACACATTTCGAGTATATAGATTCCCCCCTGCCCAAGAACTACAGTTCCCAGCAGCCTTAAGAAACAGCAGTTCCCAGGATTCTTTGGGGGAAGCTGTGTGGTATGGGTGTGGCCCTAATCAGAGTAGACCCACTAAAATTAACCAGCCTGACTTAGGTCTATTGATTTCAATGGGCCTACTCTGACTATAACGCCCAGTTTACGAGGGCATCCCTAGAGCACCCAGTGGGCAACCCTTTTCTGCCAAAGGGCCACCTGCCAGAGGTAGGTGGGGCCAAAGACAAGTGGGCGGAGCTATGAATGTAAATATTACCTTGGGGTGCAGTAGGCTGGCTTCCACACACAGAGTCTAAATTTGTGCATTTACATATTTCAACACGCCCAACGGAATGTTGCGAAGTCCCAAAAACATTTCAGCTGTACACAAGTATAAATATCTGTACATTTTCCAGCAGAGTAGCAAAACCATTGACGTTACATGAAAACACTATGTACAAGTCATGATTATATTTCTTCTGCAAAAGTACAAAATAAAAACCCCACGCTCCCCTCTGCTGGTTTCACACCCAGCAGAACACTTCAGGATCAAAACAAAATGCCTTGCTTGGTGAACGTACAAAAATAAAAGTTAAAGGAGGAATAGGAACTTGATTCTGACCAAGAGCTTCATGTGACCAAGAACATTGGCCACATCACAGTGGAGCATGCGCATACAGCACATGTTAAGACTGCATGCATAGATATGCTCAAACAGTATCATCCTTGTTCATTATTATGAATCAGATTTCTTACCTGCCTCTCCCCTAAAGTCCCAAGGTTAAGGTCACAGCCTGAGATCTTAGAAGGCAACTGCCAGTCTGAGTAGGCAAGGCTGAGCTGGGTTTGTTCTGCTGCAAGTTTCTAGGTTCCGGCCACCTTATTCTGCCACATGCAATTTCAGTAGACATTGGCCAACCTACTTCCAAGCGTTATTTCCACCGTCACAAGGACTAGAAACTCTCACACCGCTGGTGTTTTCGAATGGAAGCAGTTATCCCTGAGATTTTCAAGATGCAGAACTCTGCACCCAATTTCTTTGCACGCCGACAGCCTGGCAAATCAATTTCACACAGTCTTAGGGCAAATCTACACTGTACATTTAAAGTGCATCCCATACATGTTTCAACTAAGGTGGGTTGGATGTGTTGTGGATAAGGAGATTCTAAGAATGGCAGGCTTCTGGTTGGGGGGAAGTCATCTAGTTTTTCCAACTGTGATGGTGAAAAGGGGGGGGGGAGACCTGCGGCCTTCCAACTGCTGTGAGACCCATCAGCCCTGGCCAGTATGGCCCAACAGTCAAGAAGATGGGAGTTGAATTCCAATAACATCTAGAAGACCACATGCTCATCTCTGCTTTAAAATGGGTGTTTTTAACACTGATCAGATCCATTTCTCGTCAGATCTTGGAAGGCAACAGAGGTACCTGGAAAACAAACTTGGATCCGCAGGAAGAGACAAAAAGAAAAGAGGGTACCTGATGATATTCTAGTCCATGGGGGCGGCATAAATGAAAATTTGACAGAAATGTACTCTGCGAGCGAGTCAGCTGCCATCCCACTCTCTCTGTTTAAATACCTGCCAGGAAGATGCAGTGGAACAATTTCAATGCATTACGGTCCCCAATTACTTGGTAGAACTTCTAATATATATATGAAATATATACACACACACACCATCCTTTGCTTTCATTTAAGGACAGTTTTAACAACTGCAGAACAAACTGCCTCAACTGAACAGTCCCCAACACCTTTGGTGAGTGGGGCGAGTTGCTTTATCGAGGGACTGATATCTGCATTTGCTCGGAGAAACTTTCAGCTATACAGCTCCCCAAAGCTTTGTAACCCATGAGAGTCCTGCTCAGAATAGAGACCTATTAAGAATGAATAGACACAAGTAACTTAGGTCCACTAATTTTGATGAGTCTACTGGGAGTAAAAGTAAGTTGGATACAATCATCCGTGCCTGTCCATTACAGCTACGTGAACCCGTTTCTGTGGATTAGCAATAAAAAGTAACTGGCAGGCTGAGGCTGCTGGTCAGAGTCAGAACTCAAAGACTCCGGATGTCCTCTGCTCAGCTGTCTCTTGATGTTGTTCTGTTTGCAACAAGCTTGTGCAACAGAACGCTCCTGAGCAATCAAAGGGCATTGCACTTTGCACCATTTCAAGGTGAGCATCAAAGGTGCTTCCCTGGCAGCCCTGCCCTTCTGCGCTTGAGGGGAATAGTGGATGGAAGACAGGGAGGCAGAGAGAGAAATAAAAGCACTCATCCTCCCAGACTTTGGTGGGTTAGCAGCCTCCAGAGTAACTTAGCAGGCATCTGCCATCAATCATTGGACTGATACATGCTTCCCCTTAAACATTTTGACATTCCACTCAGAATTGCACCACAAAACTTCTGAGGAAAATGTACACATTTAAAATGCAAGCTGGCCAAATTATTCCCCTGCTGGAAATGTAATTCAATTTCCAGAAGTGAAACTGAGGAAAACTACAGCAGCGCGAAAAAGAAAAAAAGTTCTGATAATGATGAAAAAGAAGGAGGGGTGAAGATCTGCGTGCCTCTGTGCAAATCATTTCCTGTTTCCGAGTCTGGCACTAGTGAAGAAGAGTTTCCTTTACACGGAGTAAACAATTAAAAATTGTATTTCTTTATTCTACAAATGTACAAGCAAAAACAAAAACAAAAATCCCATCCAGAGTAGAAGATTTAAATACAAACAAGAGAAAAGAAAAAAGAATCATTTCCAAAACTGTACCATTCAAGTTCGTTGGGATTTTGTTTTCTTGTTTTGCCTTTTATTTTCTTCTTTTTGCAAAAAAGAGTCCTTGGCTATTCAGATTAATTCCAATCCTTGAAATGGAATCGCAGTGACTTTTTGTGCCAGATCCAGGAAGAACGTTTTTCACATATGCAGGTGACATCCTGCAAAAAACAAACACACACCCCTCCCCCCGAGAGGAGTGGATTTGCACGGCGAGCGCTTGTCGACACGCTTGCCAACTGCTTCAGCAGAAAAGCAAAGTGTTCGCTTCCCCTCTGGCTTCTCCCCGTCTCCTTCCTGCACTGCTTCGCCTTACGCTTTAGAACTTCAAACTGAAGCCTGGTCCCGCGGCTGATGCCCCTTGGTTTGTGGTCGTAAGATGGAAGCCGGTGTCCTTCAAGTCGTCGTCACCCTAGAATGACAAAACAGATATGCGAACTTAAGATGTTTCACTAGCCAACAGTCAGCTGCAGATAAGGAGATTCTAAGAATGCCAGGCCTTCTGAATGGTGGATATTTCAAAACAGACAAAAGGAAGGACTTCGTCACACAGTGCGTAGTGAACTTATGGAACTCACTCCCACAAGATGGGAGCTGCCAGTTTAAGATGACTTGAGAAGGGAATGAGGCTTATGAGTCGAAGAGGGGAGCTCATGCAACAGCTAGCAAGCTGTGATGGTTATAGGCACACACAGGTTTGCAACTGTGTACCAGTCTGTGGGAAAAGGGCAACTGTTCTCAGGCCCTGCTTGTGGACTTCCCACAGGCCATGGTGAGGAAGAAGATGATGGACTACAGAGGCCTTTTGGTCTGATCCAAAAGGCTCTATCTCATATATATTCTTTAAGCGTTCCACAAAGCAACATCGCCACCTGCTGGCAGATAAGGCCTGCGCCGGTTGCAAACCTACCAAGCCAAATGCAGCCACTGTCTGGGACTGGGGGGAAAAACAAGATAGACGGGATAGTGCCTGGGTAGGCAAAGGAAGGCCCAGGGGCCGGATTCAGCCCAATCACCTTTTAAATCCAGCCCGCGAATGGTCCAGGAATCAACGTGCTTTTACATGAGTAGAATGTGTCCTTTTATTTAAAATGCATCTCTGGGTTATTTGTGGGGCCTGCCTGGTGTTTTTACACAAGCAGAATGTGTGCATTTATTTAAAATGCATCTCTGGGTTATTTGTGGGGCATGGGAATTCGTTCTCCCCCCCCCCCATATAGTCCGACCCCCCACAAGGTCTGAGGGACAGTGGACTGGCCCCCTGCTGAAAAAGTTTGCTGACCCCTGAGATAGTGGTTGCAATATGAGCACTAGCAGTGGGCATAGCACTGAGTTTTTAACTGCTGCCAGCCATCTCTGAAGGAGAGATGAAGGAGGCGGCTTGCTATCTCTGATCCTTAGGACTGATTGAAACAGGGTTTTTTCTATACGCCAAGAGGAGTGCTCTGTCACTGAGCTATGTAACAGGCCCTTCTTCCTGTTAACAGCGTTGCTGGAGAAGGGCGATAGCTCAGTGGCAGAGAATCTACCCTGTACGCAGAAGGTTCCTGGTTCAATCCCAGCTGGCATCTCCTAGTAGGGCAAGGAATGCCCCATGCCTGAACCCTCTGAAAACTGCTGTCAGTGTAGACCAGTGTTTCTCGAACGTGGGTCTCCAGCTGTTGTTGGGAGTACAAGTCCCATCATGCCTGGCCACTGGTCCTGCTATAAGTCCAAATATCTGGAGGGCATCACACTGGGGCAAGGATGGTCTGCATAATTTGTAGAAAGAGGTGGCACATGGTGATTTTGAAAAGGGCGAAGTTGGTTCCAGGAAAACTGTGTTCCACCTCTCCTTCCTGGCTTAGGAGCACCTGGTTCTGCTCTTGCTTGGAAGGACGCAAGACGAGCGTTCAAAACTGTTCTTCCCCCCTGGTACAGCCCAGAGAAGGAAGACTGTGACTTCCTCCTCTTTAAAAAGAAAAAGGAAACCAAGCACACCCAGAGCTTCTTCACCTGGTTACGTCATCTGGGTCAAAGAATGAGAACATAAAATTGACATAACGTACAGATAAAGGGGACGCGGGTGGCGCTGTGGGTTAAACCACAGAGCCTAGGATTTGCCGATCAGAAGGTTGGCAGTTCAAATCCCCGCGACGGGGTGAGCTCCCGTTGCTCGGTCCCTGCTCCTGCCAACCTAGCAGTTCAAAAGCACGTCAGCAGGAAGGTAAACGGCGTTTCCGTGCACTGCTCTGGTTCGCCAGAAGCGGCTTAGTCATGCTGGCCACATGACCCAGAAGCTGCACACCGGCTCCCTTGGCCAATAAAGCGAGATGAGCGCCGCAACCCCAGAGTCAGCCACAACTGGACCTAATGGTCAGGGGTCCCTTTACCTTTACCTTTACAAATAAAGGGAGAGTTATGTTGGAAGCATTATAGACTTAAAGTGTACCATCTTCCACCTTGGGTTTTCCTTTTCGAAAATTTCAATAAGGTCCAGAAACCTGTTCTCTTTTAAAACACAGGCCTTTTTAGGATGATGAATTTTTACACAGAGCTTCGCCGACTACAAGGAAACTTACCAGCTGACTGTATCCTAAGCCCCCCTCTGGCGGCCGTGGACTCGTCCCACGTTTCACTCGCTGCTGTTCACTTTTTGCTGGCCATGTCGGAAACATGGATGGCTCGATGGGCAGTGGCGTCTCCTGGAAATACTCGTGCTTCAAGCCATCTTCAGCGGTGATCCTTCTGCCTGGGTAGTACGTCAGGAACCTGGAAAAGGGTTAGCACAATGAGCTGATGGGAATGACGAAGAAAATGAATTTCAGAAGGAGAGGTGAGCCAGAGTGGGCAAGTATGAACCGTAGCCACCCTGCAATGCCAAGCTGCCTCTATTTTATCTGGAAGAGAGCTCACTGAAAGCCCTTTTAGAAACAAAACAAAGCGGGGCCCAGAACTTCAAATTCTCATGTCTGACGATTTGCTCGCTGTGCTGGAAAAAAGTAGCAGGCAGCTTCGGGCAGAAAAACGCGGGTGAGCATGAAGTCGGATGCCGCCAAAGAAGATTTTTTTTGCAAATTGTTCACTTAGCACAATTTCATACACCACTTCACTCCCCACCGGGAAGAATTGCTATGGCATGGCATCTGGGGTGTGTGTGTGTGTGTGTGTAGCAATCACAATGTGCCTCAAGGTCGGGTGGGTTAGGGTCAGAACCTTACCCAAGCGGCTCAATTTTCCCTGCAACGCTGGGTTGCATCTGCCTCTTGAATGTGGTGCTATTCATAGAGGATAAGGCTATTATCAATGGCTACTAGCCATGATCACTGTGTTCTCTCTGTGCTGCCTATTTATTTATTCATTAACTAGCAGAAAGTACGCAGCATTGCTCAGGAATTCTAATAAACAAAGAAACCGCACTGAGATTCATTAACGGATATAATGCGATTTGCTGGTCTCCTGCCAAATTTGGTTAAAACCAGTCAGACCGCCATCTTGATTCAACATGGCTCCCAATAGTATCCAAACATAGATAGATCAAAACCCAGCCCTTCATCTCAGGGACCATTGTGCCAAAGCGGGTGGCGGCGTATCTACAGGTGTCTAAATCAGTGCCGTTTGAAAAGGTTCAGTCCACCATCTTGACTCAGAATGGTGTCCAATAGTATTAGAACAGAGATTGAAACCCACTCCTACATCTTAGGAACCATCACGCCAAACTGGGTGGCCATAACTTCAGGAGTGTCTGAATGCAGAGAACAGACAGACAAACAACTTTCCAAATTATACAGTATATTTCACAGCATGATTGTAATACAGTAGTACCTCGGGTTAAGAACTTAATTCATTCCGGAGGTCCGTTCTTAACCTGAAACTGTTCTTAACCTGAAGCACCACTTTAGCTAATGGGGCCTCCCGCTGCCGCCGCACGATTTCTGTTCTCATCCTGAATAAAAGTTCTTAACCCGAGGTACTATTTCTGGGTTAGTGGAGTCTGTAACCTGAAGCGTCTGTAACCTGAAGCATCTGTAACCCAAGGTACCACTGTAAAACCTCAAAGCAGTTTACTCTTGGAGGGAGCTGAATACCAGCTGCTGGGAATTACAAATAGGGAAAGTGGACTGGAGGGGCCTGATCCAAAAGGCCTCTTCTAATGTTCTAATTCATGGTTCTCTCCTTGGACAGCTTTAAAAGGGGATTTGATGGAGGACGGCTAGTCATGAAGGCTATGCTCTACCTCCTCCTGTACTGGGCTGGCCACTATGAGAACAGGATGCTGGACTAGATGGGTCTTTGGTCTGATCCAGCAGGGCTCATCTTACGTTTTTGATATTCTTATGGACTTACTTATTCATGAGATCAAATCCCTGGTCTGAGAGGAGTGCCCCAAACCGCTTGCGGAGGTTGTTGTAAGGATATTCCGTGAACGTCATCTTCTTCACTGCCGGCAGCTCGTTATATCCAGGCCAGATTTTCTCACTGGGGGTTCCCAGATCCTTCCAGAAAGAATTATGAAAAACCATGTAAGGAAGCTGGCTTAAAATGGCTCAACCCCCCTTCTCCCCTTGCCCCAGTCAGTATGATACTAGCAAGGATTGTCTGTGGGCAAAAATAGTGGAGATCAAGATAATGGAATAAGGATCGTAGACAAAATGAGAACAAAAGTTTTGAAAAACCAGGAAGTATCATCCCATTTGGGCGATATATTGTTAGGAACTTTTGTGACTTTTGGTATGCATCTGTTGCTAGTGACTCGGGCTTCTGTTACTGAAAATCCAATCTGACCTCAGCCAGCCCCTACCTTAAAACATACAACCAGTCCAGAGGAAGGCATGGTCTGTCAGCTTCTTCTTCCTCCTCCTCCTCTGAGTCAGTATGGCCTTTATAGAACTCAGCAGGATGGAGGGTGAGGACAAAACTCGAGTGAGTTGTCATTGGCTCCAGCCCTACAATACTGTTAGGGCTCCTTGCCTTACACCCTAAAAGTATCTACCATGGGGTACCAAAAGCCACCGCTCAGCTAGTAAAAAAATTAAGACTCACTGCATTTCTTTGTGCAGTTGGGGAAATACAGTAGTACCTCGGGTTAAGAACTTAATTTGTTCCGGAGGTCCGTTCTTAACCTGAAACTGTTCTTAACCTGAGGCACCACTTTAGCTAATGGGGCCTCCCACTGCCGCCGCGCCGCCAGAGCATGATTTCTGTTCTCATCCTGAAGCAAAGTTCTTAACCCGAGGTAATATTTCTGGGTTAGCGGAGTCTGTAAGATGAAACGTCTGTAACCCGAGGTACCACTGTAGTTTCCTTCTTCTGCAGTTAGTACATGAACAAAGGGGGGGCCCACTAGAAGGGTTTGCTCACCCACAAGGAATTTCTAGTTGCCTACAGCTCCCTAGTGAGTCACTAAATGCATGTCTGTGCCATCCAGACCATGTCAGGTGGAGAGCATGACACCGAAAGCCTGCCAAGCTAGTTGCTTATCAACAAAGGAAGCACACTGGATCGAAAAGCAAGCATCTTATTTTTCGACCCACTGGGGGCCAGAATATCATCAAGTGAAAAACAGGGAATTAACAACATCTCTTTAGGGGGCCTTTGCAGCAGAAAAGAGAAAGCTAGCACCTATTTTGTTTTGTTTTGTTTGGCATTACGCAAATATATGATGAGTGGCAGTGTGTGTGTTTGTGCGACGGTTTAAGGGCATACCTTGAAAACTTTGTTAATTTGGTCAATATCCGACTTCCCTGGAAACAGCGGCTTCTGGGTTAACAGCTCTCCGAATATGCAACCCACGGACCACATGTCGACGGCTGTGGAATATTCCTGGAAGGCAGGACAATAAGAAATTAAGTTAGTTGCTTAATTTTGTGGGCCACCAAGCATGGTTGCCTTGGTCAAGGCAGGTCAGTATGGTGTGGCATGCAGGTATGTGAAGATTTCTGGAACAAGGAAGGGTTTTTTGTTTTCGTTTTGCAGCATGGGGAGCGAAGAGTCCACAGCAACAATTCCGAAACTGTGCTGCTGAGTGGGTGAGGTTGAGAAGGTACCGTATTTTTCATTCTATAGGACACACCCGACCATAGGACGCACCTTGTTTTAGAGGGGGAGAACAAGAAAAAATAATTCTCCCCCTCTCTGTTCCATTTCTCCTCCCGCTTAGCTGAAGGGGCACTTACTCTTCAGTGAAGGCAACCCGAAGCCTCCGGAGCGCAGCGGGAGCTCCTGACCCCTCTCACTCTCCAGGCTTCAGCAAAAGCAACGTGAAGCCTCCAGAGAGCGGCGGGAGCACTCCCACTGTGCTTCAGAGGCTTTGCGTTGCTATCGCTGAAGCCAAGTAGCCTGCATTCGCTCCATAAGACACACACACATTTCACCTTAATTTTTGGAGGGGAAAATGTGTGTCTTATAGAGCAAAAAATACGGTAAGTCACGATGGCAGGTTATCATTTGGCGCTTGAGTCTAGCAGCGTCCATTTTCTCCACTTATTCCCCCCCCCACCGCACCCCAATATATGGGTGGGTTCATCATCTTGAGGGAAGGGAGATGCAAACGTCCCAGATTTGTGCTTTGCTTTAAAATACAGGGAAAAGATGGCCAATGGTGAATATTATAGAGGTTTATAAAACTTTGAGGTCACTCAACTTAATAAGGAAAACCAGCCAAGTGAGTGCCACTCGTCAGCTGCACGGTACATTCGGCCACGATAAATGTTAAAATGGGAATGATGAAAAATAGCTGACTTTGGAAACTCCCAGGCAGGAAAGGCTATCAGTCACAAACCTTGGCTCCAAGTAGCAGCTCAGGCGCCCTGTACCACAATGTCACAACGACGGGGGTATACGGCTTCAGAGGCGATCCGTACTCTCGGGCCAGCCCAAAGTCTCCAACCTGGTGAGAAAGAAATGGAATAGCGTAAGAACTGCCTGGACAAATGGAACCACAAGCTAAATTCTATATATGGTTTTCGGCAGCAGTCAGCTTGATTCCCCTAGAAAGCCACGAGCTTTTTGTATCACTGTCCGGGCTTCTGTTTGAGCAAGGCGCTTGTTTCTAAGCCTTTAAAGCCCTCAAACTGTCTGAGAAGAGGATCTCATAAAGATTGCATCCCGGCAAGTCCACTCACTCTGTCCGGTAATAGAGAGGTGGGCTTTTACATTGGTGGAACCAGTATTGTGAAATACAGTGGTACCTCAGGTTAAGTACTTAATTCGTTCCGGAGGTCCGTTCTTAACCTGAAACTGTTCTTAACCTGAAGTACCACTTTAGCTAATGGGACCTCCCACTGCTGCCACGCCACCAGAGCACGATTTCTGTTCTCATCCTGAAGCAAAGTTCTTAACCTGAGGTACTATTTCTGGGCTAGTGGAGTCTGTAACCTGAAGCGTATGTAACTTGAAGCGTATGTAACCCGAGATACCACTGTGCTCTTTCTGCTGAAATATCAGAGGCCCCTATTTTGCCAGCTCTTTGAAGGTGAGGGTTGTTCAAGTAGAGGCTGGACAACCTATTGCCAGGGATGCTGTAGCGGCAAGATACCTATTAGGAGCAGGTAGTGTGCTGGATAAACCTCTAAATACCCTATCAACTCTAAAATTCTGCAGTGTCACCAAATGAAGCCAGACCCCACTCGTGGTGGTTGGGTTCTCTCGCAGCTTTGGACAATCCCGTGAATGTTTTATAGAAATGAAGGGCATACAGCTTAATAAATAAATGCAATAAATACCATATGATTTTACGTTGCCTTTGGAAAAATAACAACCCTGGATGGGTCAAAATGTACTCTGCAGAGAGCCTGCCATGAACACATCTGATTGCTTGCAACAGCTTCAGAAAGTTGGCTCTTACTTTTAAGATGCCAGCGTGGCTCAATAGCAGGTTGGAGGTTTTCAAGTCTCGATGAAGAATCCAGTTATCGTGAAGATGCTTGACCCCTCGCAACAGTTGAATCATCAAGGTTTTCACTTCCCCTGAAATAAACAACAGCAGAGTTCCTAAAGAGGTGGTGAAAGAAGTCAAGACCCACCCGTGCCTTTGTCACCCTGGTAAGCTTAAGTTTATTTCAAGTCTGTTTAGAATTCGAGAAACGCCACAAACCTGGCAAGAATGGCTGTTTCATCGTTTCCATGAGGCTCTTGAGATCGTGCTCCACGTAATTCATTACAATATATATCTTGTCCATGTTGCTGCCGACGACAATTTCCTGGAAACCGAAATGAGACGCACCAGTGAACCTAAAGGCCACAGATACCACTGGATGACTGCAGGGTTTAATTCATAATTTCCTTCCTTCATTCTTTGCACTTACTTACATCTCACTCAAGTGCATGGGATTCCTTGCAGACTATGACTACCAGCCAAGCCGAGACATAACCAGATACTTGGGAAGATCTGGGGTATCAGCACACAGATACAAATTAACATATGCTAACATGTAATATGTTAACAGGTGTGGACTCTTTTTAATCAAAATGTCACTGAAGGCCAGCCAACTAGTTTCCCATCCAAACCACCCTGAATAAATTTGCTCCTCACCCCAGATCACTCCAAATTACTCCCAAATTTCCCAATGTATCCTGCTCCAAATAAACCCAGTTCAGTTTCTCCCATTCAATACCCTTTGAATGACCTCTAGATAGGGTCACTTTGAAATAGTATTTCTCCAAATCCCTCCCCTATCCAGTAGCCTGGGATACAATTTACTTATCTCCTGAATTCATTACCTACCCAGAAACACTTAGGAGAGGAATCGGGACCATGCTTTAAATGCCCTAGCGATGCCTCTGCAGCCAAGTGCTTAAACACAAGGTTAGATAGAGAAAGGCTAGATAGAAATGTTTTTCTTCCTTTCTAGAACTTATCCAGTGAAGCTGAATGTTGGAAGATTCAGCACAGATAAAAGAAAGTACTTCTTCACACAGCGCCTAGTAAATACAATGGTATTCGCTGCCGCAGGAGGCAGGGCCACCAACTCGGATGGCTTTAAAATATTATTAGATACATTCCCAGAGGAAATGGCTAAAAATGGCTACTAGCCATATTGGCTTCTGCTCTGCTTCCATGGCTGGAGGCAGTAATATTTCTGAATACCAGGTTGCTGGAAGCCACAGGAAGCGGGAAAGTGCTCACGTGCTCAGACCCTGCTTTTCTTTCAGGTCTCAAAAACAAATCAGCCATGTATCCCAGCTATGTAGTGCTAAACTAAGAACATAAAAAGCACCTTGCTGGCTCACGCCAATGGACCATCTATCCAGCCTCTGCTTGGAAGCTGTACTAGAGGTGCCAGTGGCCTGATCCATCACCCTCTTCTTACGTTTTCATAAAAGGCAATGTCCCCTTGCCTTGTGGGTGGAGGGGAAAGAGGCTTAAGTGATACGGAGCTACATATATAGGCTTCCACGCAAGGATGGTGCAGGTTTGTTGGAACAAGGGGGAAGCCGCAAAATATAACCCTGGACAATTACAAGGCGCCCAGCTAACACGTCAACAGGCGATCAAGTGCTGGTGGCCTTACCCTGACAGTGACGATATTTGGGTGCTGGGCTTTCAAGATGGTGTTGATCTCCCTTAGAGAAGTAATGGGGAAACCTTCTTTCTCCTTCTCCATCTTCAGCCGCTTCAGCGCCACAATCTCATCTGGAAAGTATTTATCATTATAATTTGTATTATTATTAACTTACCTACTTATTTCAACCATTTATGCACCGCTTCGTTATTGTAGTCTCTAAGCGGTGCCATTGCTGAAGAAACAACAAACCTGTTTTTTTGTCTTTTGCTCGGTACACCACTCCGTACGTTCCCTCCTCGATCCGGTTTAGACACTGAAATTCCTCAACGCTACGACAGCCCTAGAGAGACAATAAAAGTTGCATATGTACACAATTTCTCTTAATTTTCAAATTACTCTGCTTCTAGAAGTCAGGTGGAGGGGCAAGGAATTACGCAGGGCCACAAGACAACCCCTCTTAGGTCCTGTGATTCCAATCCTATTTTTCACATTCGTAGGGACTAGAAACTTTAAAAAAGAAAGAAATGGGGTGTGGGGTGTGGAGAGAGCCAATTCAAGCTCTATTCAAAGCACAGTGTAAGAGCCAGGGCCATCTATCAAACAACTATCCTGAGTGGAGCTGTGCTCATCTCTGGTTTGAGCTGAAATCTGATTTTAAAAAAAACCCCAACTCCAAGGAAATAAGACACTAGAAATAATATTTGATAGCAGGAGTATGCAGGAGCTTGAGAAAGACTCATAATTGAAACAAGCTAGTTACATGAGATCCAGACGCAGGATGGGGTGAGTGGGTTGTTGTTTTTTTGGTCATGTGGGATTTTGTCATGTTAATTTGTATTATTATAATATAGAAACTATATGGATATGTTTGGGTCTCTATATATTTGTGGTGTGGAGTATTGTTTTGAGGCTCTCACAGACCCAGTTTGCATCCAATGCCAAGCCAAACCATGGTTTAGTGTGAATGAGAAAGTATGCAGATACACTTAGCAAAAAATGTGAGTGCTGTTCTCCTGCCCTCTGGTCCTGCTGCTGCTGCTGCACTACGCAGAGCGAAGCTATGGTTTTGCTTAGGGTCACATCTGAACCAGGCTTACAGTGGTACCTCGGGTTACATACGCTTCAGGTTACATACGCTTCAGGTTACATACACTTCAGGTTACAGACTCCGCTAACCCAGAAATAGTACCTCGGGTTAAGAACTTTGCTTCAGGATAAGAACAGAAATTGTGCTCCAGCAGCGCAGTGGCAGCGGGAGGCGCCATTAGCTAAAGTGGTGCTTCAGGTTAAGAACAGTTTCAGGTTAAGAACGGACCTCCGGAACAAATTAAGTACGTAACCAGAGGTACCACTGTATACTGCTTCTTTCCCAGACAAACCACACGCAGCAAACCAAGAACAAACTTTGCCTGTGGCTTGTCTGGAGCAAGACAAATCATGAGCCCAGGTTTGGAAGTAATCTTAAGAAGAACCATGGCTTAGACCTGGGTAGCACAGTGGTAGGAGGGCCTGGGAAGGAGCGGAATGGCTGCCTTTTTCGATTCCAGTAAGCAGGCCAGACACTTAGATTGCCCAATCCCAGTGGGCCATTGTGACAGGTGGGTACATGGAGTCTCTGTTCATTCGGAGGTCAGCAAAAGACACCAATGGCTTGGCCTGGCCCCTCCCCAGGAAGGCCAGAGATCTATGGCAGCCCCCTAACCTGAAGGGCGGGTAGATACTTGGGCAACTCTTGCTTCAACTCCACAGGTGATGACACAGGTGAGTCAGGTAGGTAGTCGCCCTCAGTCATCGTGTTGGATTGCGGGGTCCCCTCGCCAGCGTCTTCTTCCTCTCCTTCGCTCCCCACGGAATCCCGGTCAAACCTTGACTCTGCAACTTCAAACGTAAGAATCAAATCGTGGCAGGAAGCGGATGTTGGGGGATCCTCTCCCCCCTGAAGTTCAAAAGGAGAGTGCGAAGGAAACGTCCTGCTCTTGCCTCCGGCGCTCGGAGACAAACTGCCTCTGAGTGTGGAGCAGTGTTTCTCAAGCTGTGGGTCCCGAGATGTTGTTGGACTACAACTTCTATCATTCCTAGCCAGCATGGCCAGTGGTCAGGGGTGATGGGAGTTGTAGTCCAACAACATCTGGGGACCCACAGCTTGAGAACCACTGGTGTGGAGGCTTCATTTCAATATGATGGATTGTATCTGAGTTACAGACCCACTGAAATCAATGAACCTAAGTTACTCATTGCAAGTAGAACTAAGACTAGACACGGTTCCCATGGCTATTCAATAGACCTATCCTTCCTGAATCCACCTGTTAACCATGTCTTGTGGCAGCAAGGTACACAAGTCAAATTATATACTGTGTAAAGCTTCTCCCCTTTTTGCCCTTCAAGAACCTGCAGCCAAGTCAGGCCAGGATCTATGTTCAGCGGCTGCCAAATATTTGTATCTGTCAGGGAGGAGGAAGTTCCAGTTCAGGAGTGCAGAACTACCGTATTTTTCGCCCCATAGGACGCACCTAGTTTTTTGGGGGGAGAAATAAAGGGGGGGGGGAAATATTCCCCCCCCAGGCATGGGGCTTGCGAGGGGGAAGCCCGAGTTTCCCCCGACCCCAGCCCCCAGAACAGCCTGCTATCCGCAAGCTTAGGGAACCGCGCCACTCTCCCCAGGCTTGCAGAGAGCTGCGCGAAGCCCGGGCGCGCTCTTCAACGCGCCCGAGGCTTCGGAATGCAGGCAGCTCTGCGCAACCTTTGGGAGCCCGGCGTGGCTTCCCGAGGGTTGTGCAGAGCTTCCTGAAGCCTGGAGAGCGAGAGGGGTCGGTGCGCACCGACCCCTCTCACTCTCCAGGCTTCAGCGAACGCCTGTATTCGCCCCATAGAACGCACACACATTTTCCCTTCATTTTTGGAGGGGAAAAAGTGCGTCCTATAGGGCGAAAAATACGGTATTTTTTCAGCCTGAAGCCCGAGTTAAATAAAAAATGGGCAGAGCAACAGTTGTGACTCTTGCCTTTGCACAGTAAGCTACATTGGAATCATAGAACTGTAGGGCTGGAATGGAGCCCAAGGCTCACCTAGTCCAAAACCCCTGAAATGCAAGAATCACAGATACATTCAAGTCATGCAAAAGCCAGAGATTTCTATACCCACGCAAGTAAGACACCTCACAGTACACATTCAAAAGCAAGTTAATTTAACAGGAAACTAAAATATTACCTTAAAGATTACAAAATGAAACACCAGAAAGGAGGCCAGCTGCAGAATTCACATTTAATGCAGCAAAGTTAATTTTTAAAAGGTGTTGCATGGGGAAGGGTGCGACCTGGCAGGAGTCTCAAGGGACAGAGAGGACTGGGGGCCACATTTGAGGTCCCCTATACTTGCTTTAGACTGCAAACACATGAACCAGCCTGGGGTGGGCGGGGGGAACCCTTAGTACGCAAACCGTATTTTTAGGAGGCGACTCCAAACCATCAGAGGATCACCAAGGTCATGCAACAAGCACAAGGAGAGAGAGATATTATATAAAGCCACATTTCACCATTTGTCTTCTTACCCACTGGGAGGTGGTCTCCGTTCTCCCGCTCTTCTTCTTCGCTCATTTCGTCTTCGCTCACCTCTTCTGCAAGGCAAAAAAGGGGGAAAGAATGAGACAGGCTAGGAAGACAATTGAACTTGATTGCTTTCGTACCTCTGCGGGCAGGGGATGGGCGCCATCTTGCTGGTCCTTTAATCGCTGTACGGTGCTCTGTAACTTTTAGGCACTTTTAAGAGCTGGTGGCAGCATCAGCCTATAAAACCCTTAACAACTTTAGACCTGACTTGTCTCAAGGACCAGAGGGGATGTGGATGGCGCTGCGGGTTAAACCACAGAGCCTAGGACTTGCCGATCAGAAGGTCAGCAGTTTGAATCCCCGCAATGGGGTGAGCTCCCGTTGCTCGGTCCCTGCTCCTGCCAACCTAGCAGTTCGAAAGCACCCCAAAAAGTGCAAGTAGATAAATAGGTACCACTCCGGCGGGAAGGTATACGGTGTTTCCGAGCGCTGCTCTGGTTCGCCAGAAGCGACTTAGTCATGCTGGCCACATGACCCAGAAGCTGTACGCCGGCTCCCTCGGCCAATAAAGCGAGATGAGCACTGCAACCCCAGAGTCGGCCACGACTGGACCTAATGGTCAGGGGTCCCTTTAACTTTACCTATCTCAAGGACCATAGTCTTCCATAAGTTTCCTTTGAAGCTCAGCTCCAGATCCTGCAACCTCTAGAGCAGAGGCTGACGCCAAGTTCAATTAAGGACGTTTCTGCTGCGGCTCTTTATGGTTTCACACAGGGAACATTCCCAGCCCTGCCCTGGGGATGCCAGGGATTGAACCTGGGGACTTACGCATGCAGAGCAGATGCTCTGTTGCTGAACTATGGCCTTCTTCTGGTTGCAATGGTTAAAAAGAAATCGCACTACTAAAATGGGACCATGGCTGAGTGATACAGCAGCAGTACAGCATGGAAAAGGTCCCAGATTCAAACAATGGCATCTCTAGGTAGGGCTGCAAAAGACTGGTTTCATGAGTGGGCAATGTTTTTAGACCCATGGGCACAACTGGGTCTTTGAGTCAGTGCTGTGGGTGCCACTGTTAGGATTTTTAACAATCCGAGCTGCTCCAGCTGTACCAGTGAGTGGTAATATGATTGTATACATCATGGGAGTGTCTGAGAGAGCGTGAGAAAGGAAGTCTGTATTATCTCTTCCTGAGTAATTTTGGAAGTTAGTTTCACTTCTGAGTGTGTCGCAGTTTCTGTACTGATGTTCAGAGAGCACAGACGTACTGACGGAGTCTCTGCATACAGACTGTAAATAAAGTAGTTTTAGAACTACGATTGAGTCTTTCTTCTGCTATGATATGCCAGAAGACTGGCGTGCTCTTTTCAGGAGAGGAGGGTCGCCTATTACTGGTCTCTCTGGACTGAGGGAGATTTACAGCCAGGGAGAACTACCAGAGAGACAGCCCGAAAACTTGGGAAGTTGGCAGCCATTCCCGGGCATTTTTCCAAGAGCCACCCCCTCTGCTCAGCTGCCCCAACCCTGAGAGGCAGAAAGTGTGTGCATGCGCATGCGCGCACTTCACTCTTCCAAAGAGACCACAGTAGAAACACAAATGCTGCTGTGTGTTTGTGTGTGCGTGCGTGAGAGACCGACACTTACCAGCTGACTGCTCTGTCACTTCTTCAGAGTTGCTTCCTGTCTCCTCCTCCTCCTCTTCCTCCTCCTCTTCCTCTTCTTCTGACTCTTCGCTGCTAGACTCCTCCTCCTCTTCTTCCTCCTCCTCCTCCTCTTCCTCCTCTGAACCGGATCCAGATTCCCCTGAAGAAAGCAAACACAAAGATGAAAAAATGCAAAAAAACCCAACCTCAAACTGACCTCAACTCTCAAGCTAACTACTATTGGCTCATTAAAGAACCCCTAAATTTACACCCCAACGGTTACCTGAGGATGTTTCTGCTGAGCTGGTTTTTCTTTCGCTGTCACTGATGTCCTGTAGATCCGAAAGGGGGTCTCTCTCTTCTGGCTTTTCTTCTTTCACTGTTTTTTATTTTTAATTCAAAAAATTGGGAACAGGGTTGAGAAATCCCAATTCTCAAAAGTACTAAGGGATTCTACTTGTACAATCTTGCAGTTTTTTTTCCTGCCTTAAAAATCTAAAGCAGGGGTGAGGAACCCCATGACCATCCGAAAGCCGTTGGACTCCAATTCCCATCAGCCCCAGCAACAAAGGGCCAACATCTCCCCTCCCTCTCCCTGGTCTGAAGAATGCAAGGAAAATGTCTGCCACCAAGTGGGCCAACCAAGTCAACATGCACTGAGTTGCCCTGGAAGGATGATCTATCTATCTATCCATCTATCTATCTACAGTGGTACCTCGGGTTACATACACTTCAGGTTACATATGCTTCAGGTTACAGACTCTGCTAACCCAGAAATATTACCTCGGGTTAAGAACTTTGCTTCAGGATGAGAACAGAAATCATGCTCCGGTGGCGCGGCGGCAGCAGGAGGCCCTATTAGCTAAAGTGGTGCTTCAGGTTAAGAACAGTTTCAGGTTAAGAACGGACCTCTGGAACGAATTAAGTACTTAACCCGAGGTACCACTCTATCTATCTATCTATCTATCTATTTTTAATGCAGTATTTCAGTTTGTTAACTTTAAGCCACACGAAAACACTTGGAAATAATTTTAACATGGCATCCTTGTGTTTTGTTTACTAAATAAAAGCCAAGTAAACTGAATCACTGAGCTCAAATGATATACATGGAGTGGAAACTTTCCTACGGTCCCCAAATTGTAGAACTCCCTCCCCACAGAGGTGTGTTTGGCCCCTTCAATATGCAGCTTCCAGAGGATGCTCAGCACTCACCTCTTTACCCTGGCTTTGGACACCTGAGGTGCATGTTCTTAGGATCCACCTTATTTTTATGATTGTAAATTTGTTTTTTGAAAACAAAAACATTTTAATGTTGTGCTTTAATTCTTGTAACCCACCCTGGGACTTTAGGTTGAAGGGTGGATAATAACTAAGTAGAAATAATTTTAAAATGCCGTATACTTTCGGCTAGCTCGGTGGATTCCTCCCTGGCGCAAGGAAGACACATTTATGCCTTTAAAAGTTACCTGGCTTTCGGATTTCTCCTTGTTCAAGCTTTTCTCTCTGTTGTCGTAGCGGGCTGCGGCTCCAGATCCTTACTTTCTCGTTGTAGTCTTCTCTCACCGTCCTGTGGTGTGCTGAAACTGGTCAACACAAGGAAAAAAAAAATCTGTTTGTGAGTCCTGGACTTAAATCTCCGTTCTTACGCCATGGCAATTTGCTTCACGCAAACTTTGCAGCTCTAGCGAAATGAGAATTCCTTCCCTGCCTACCGGTACTACACTGGCACATTCGAATAAGGAGAAACGTTTAATTAAGGTTCAACCATCCTTAAGTTTGAAAACACACCTCAGTGATGGGCTATTAGGGTCAGACAGACTAAGACACAGCTTTAAAATCAATCAGAAGACTCTTACAACGACTCCAATTAAACATAAAAAATAGGTACCAAGAATCAATTATTTATGATAGCAGGGAACAACTATTTCAGAAATCTATATACGACTTGATGTGGGGAGGGGGACACCAGGAAATAGCTAGACATGGAAGGTATCCAGAGTCTACACAAGGATGAACTGTGGCTAAGTGGCAGAATATTTGCTTTGCACGCAGAAGGTCCCAGGTTCAATCCTTGGCATCTCCAGGTAGAATGGACAGAAATCCTGGAGCTGCTGCCAGTTAGGGCAGACAATACTGAGGTAGATGAACCAAAGTTCTAACTCAGTGTAAGACAGCTACCTAGATAACCTCCTTGCTAACAAATCTGGGTGAAACAAGCCAGATGTCAAGATCAGACGGTGCAACCAAAGGTCAGGACTTCACCTGTTTTGAGTGCAGAAGGTGCCATGTTCAAACCCCACCATCTCCAGGTTAGGGGTGGGACAGAGGCCCTCTCTGAAATTCTGGAGAGCCACTGCCAGTCAGTGCAGACAATACTGAGCTAGATGGACTAATGATCTGAGTCAGTATAAGCCAGCTTCCTATGTGGAACTCGCCATATCATGTTGCAAATGTGGAATGGTGCTGTTCAGAATTTCAGCCACTCAGAATGGTGCTGTTCAGAATTTCACATACTGTTTTCCACCCCCAGTCAGTCAGCATTCCATGCCCACCAAGCATGCTCAGTTCTTATTGTCCAAACTGCAGCCCCCCCCCAATGAAACAGCTCTCCTAGGCCACCTGCGGCTCATGCTGCTTGCTCATTCACCTGCCTGGCATTCTGTTGTCATGCTATTGACATAGCCTACTGGGGGCTATGATGACAGTGTGATGACAGACTTATGTTTTTATACATGTAAGAAGATATATCCACTTGCAAGCCTTGGGGTTCTCCCTAGCCTGCAGACGCCTCCCTCTCCTGCACAGACAGCACCATTTTTGCTACATAATCAGTGGCACTGACAACCTGTACTTTGGAAACAAGAGAGGATAGTGACTTCCTGGGGACCTATGAGGTCTCACAAATCACAGGTCTCTTACCCTTTGCCCGTTTCCCTCAAACTCAGTATTTCCAGAAGATTAAGAGGGTGGCGGTGGGACAAAGACTTGTATGTCACAGTTGGAAGGATAAACATTCACCATCCATTACTCAACCGTCTGGAGATCTTACTTACCTATCTCCATTTTAATGTATACAATCATCAATCCTGTTTGGATATCTGTTTCAACATCCAGACTCATTGCATTTATATATGTGGTTTTTTAAGTAGGATTGATGCATGATTGTTAATGTGATCTGACATTTGTTTTCTTTTTCTTTCAGATATATTTGCAATAAAATATATACACAGACAGATAAGCACACACACACACACACACTACCAGCCCCATACTCAGAGTTTCCCAGGATTCTAAGGAACAACAAAAAAACCCATAGTAGTTTTCAAATCAGTGGTTAAAAGTAGTGGTTCTGAAAGGTTCAGTGCCCAATCTTGATTCAAAATGGCATCCATTTTGTGTAGCCAAACACAGACAATAACCTGCTCCTTGATCTCAGGAACCATCATGCAAAAATTTGGCTATGATACCTTAAAAGTGATGCAAATGCATAGCGAAAGAACCACCTCCAAAAAATATATAGCAGATATACAGATGTGTGGTGCTTTTTAATAATAATAAAAAAGATTAACCTAGAGTTCTTATTAGGTTGCTAAATATGAGTTCACACCATTCTAGGGTCCATTTAGACCCCAATACCTCAGTTTCCCCATGTGTCACACCCAAAATCACAGCAGGAGCTAGCACTGAGACACAGCAACAATACACCAGCTAACTTTAAGAGACTATGAGGAGCAGGAAATGACACTGGGGTGGGGTGGGAGAGTTTTACATATTTTGAATATACATTTGGAAATTTAAATGTGGAGGATTTAAAAAAATACAAATTATTGTGGAGAGTAGAGAAGGGAGGACTTAATGCAATCCAAACACTCTATTCCAACCCCCTCCCCCAATTTTAGCTAATCACTCCCCGTCCCCAAGCTTTCTACAAAATTAAAAAGAGTACCTGGGGGGCTAACAAAAAAAGGTTAAGCATGCCCTGTAGTCTGAGCACCAGGAAGAGGAACCGCCACCACCACCACAACCCTTCTGCTTATCGTAAGGCCACTGCATAACCAGCAAAGGAGCAGCCATGCTTGGGGGTTATTTTGCTCTCCTGCTTCCAATAACCACAGGAGCGTCTACAGAGCAAAGCGCTTCTGCATCCAACCACAGTGAAGCTGTTTTTGGCAATGCCTTGAGCTCCCATGTTCTGCCCACACACTTCCAAGCCTATCTTGGCAGCAGCAAAGGCTATAAACTCTTTTTCTCTTTTAAAACGAGAAAGTGGAGATTCCTGGAAAGCGGCAATTCGGCAGCCAGAATCAAAGCCCATCATGCCCTTCTGGCTCTTCTGTGCCCTGAGACAAAAACACAATGTTGTGCTAGAGCACACGCTGTGCTTACAGAAGGTCCCAGGCCCAACCCCTGGTTTCTCCAGGCAAGGCTGGAAAAAACGACTTGCGTCTGAAACCCTGGAGACCCCTGCAAGTCAGTGCAGAAAACACTGAGTTAGGTGCACTCAGTACAAGGAAGCTTACTATGCTCCTATTTAAATTGGCTCTTTATTCAGAAACATGAGGACTGGAACCCTACTTTTATTTTTAGGGGAAACATTGTAGCTCGGTGGTAGAGCAGTTTCAACACCCCAGCATCTCCAGGTAAGGCTGGGAGACATTCATGCCTGAAACCCTGGAGAGCTACTGCCAGTCAGGGTAGACCAGTGTGCTGGTCTCCAGCTGTTTTGGGACTACAGTTTCCATCATTCCTGACCACTGGTCCTGCTGGATAGGGAGGATGGGAGTTGAGGTCCAAAAACAACTGGAGACCAAAGTTTGGGAAACAGTGGTGTAGATAATACTGAGCAAACTGGACTGACTCAAGAGAACACAGCTTCCTATGTTCCTAGGTCTTAGGAGAAGGGCTGCTGTTCAGCGGCGGAGCATCCGTTTTGCATTAGAAGGTCCTGGGTTTGATCCCCCCTCGTGTCCAGGTGGAGTTTCCTGGAACCCCGGAAAGCTGATGCCAATGGAAAGTCAATTAAGAGGCAGTAATGAGCTTGATGTCCCAAGAATCTGATGCGGCGTAAGACAGCCTCCTTTGCCTGAGATCCAGGAGCACATCTGTGTCAAAGGTTTTCACGGTATAAACGTCATAGACGAAATAAACACACGATCCGTACCCGCAAGGAAATAAGGCTTCCCTCGCCCCGTTCCGCCCCCACCTCTGAGCTACTTACTCTCTCGTCTGGCCTCCCGTTCTTTACGCCTCTCCTCCGCTCGCCTCTCCCGTTCCTTGATCTCCCGCTGCTCTTTCTGCTGCTCTCTCATTTTCCTCTCTCGCTCCCTCTTCCGCTCAAGCTGCTCCAGGCGGTCCCTACGAAGGGTTTCATCAGGCGCCCGTGTTATTTTATCGAATTGGTTTTTGTTTGTTTTAATTAACAATTTTGAATTATATGGTCTTCTATTCCCTCTAGAAAGGTTAGCAATGTTTATTTTAAGAGCGTAGCTTCTGGCATCTGCACAAAGGCCGAATCTCCCTTATCAAGAGAGGTTTTGCTTAGCCAAGTCAGCACCAACACAAATCAGGATGTTAAGATATTTATTGACTGCCCACCCACCTACCCTGCTTTGGACCCTCCTCAAATTCGCAAGAGAGACCCCTCTTGGGAGGACAGTGACTACCAACATCGCCTCTGGCTCATGGTTCTGGCAACAGTACCATGGATGTAGTACAACTGCAGTGGGAAACCTTTCTCAGTCTGAGGGCCGATTTCCATTCTCGGCAACATTCTGGGGGCCACATGCCTGTGGCGGGTGGAGCCAGAGGCAAAAGCGGGCAGAGCAATAGGTGTGAATTTCACCTTCCTTCAGCAAGTGAGTTTCTACATTACACTCTTTATCCTTGCGTTCCAGGAAAGCCAGAGGCATTATCAGAATTCAAGGGCACATTCCGGCCAGGCAAAAAAACCAAACACTTAAGGAGAGGCGGTGGCCTGGGGAAGAGTCCCGAGGGGAAGATAAGAGAGGTCAGATGTTCTCCATCCCTGTAACACATAGCTGAATCCAATATTAGCCCTACTCAGATGCACTGAAATTAAGTGGCCCAAGTCAGCCACATGGACTGATTTCAATGGATCTGCTTGCAGCAGGGCGGACCTTGGATACAGCCCACAATTTCTTAACCATGCGCTTGATCTAGTGCCCAAATGTTCTCTCTTAAGGGGAAGGCATTGTAACATTGCTTTATGGGCTGGTAGGAGACGAGGCCTCCATGTTGGAGAATTTTGTAGGGGAGGGATCACAGACCTTGGTGGCAGAGGACTTGCTTTAGATGCAGAAGGTCCCCAGTTCAATTCCAGCTATTCCCAGTTAAACAGCAGGTAGCAGCGGATGGGAAGGACCTCTCTTTGTCCAAGATCATGGAGAACATCTGCCAGTCGTAGCAGACCAGGAATGGGGAGGCGCTCTGTCTAGATGCTGCTGGACTCCAACTCACACCTTCCCTGTCCATTGGCCATGCTTGCAGAGGCTGATGGGAGTTGGAGTCCAGCAGTAGCTGGAGGGACAAAGGTTCCCCACCATCCAAGCGGGCAATATTAGGCAAGACAGACAAACAGTCTGAACAGGTGCTAAGACAGCTTTTGTGTTCCTATGTACTTATCTGATGCCCACTGAGGTGAATCAGATATGCAGGATTAAGCTGTGTGAAATGCACGGTCCATTTCTTAAGTTGTAATATCCCTCATATCAAAGGTGGTTTTCTGAATGTTGGTCCAAATCACTACTGTACATTCCTCACCAAGCTCACATATCAATTGCGTCCATAGGGCTACAGGACTCCTCCATGGGTGGTAGGTGCAGAATGTCTTTCTTTAGCTAGATTTCTGCACAAGGAGCAACTCCTAACCCCAGCTCCACCCATCGCTCAACAGGCACACTCAAGTTAGATGCCCAAACCATGGCTTCTGATGCCTGACATAGAAGGCCGAACTTGCGTAACCTCAGCTTATTAGGTCTCTCAATCAATTAAAAGCTATGTTCAAATATCACAAAGAGCTATGATTTGGAGCCTAGCTGTTACCCCCAACATGCCCCCCAACCCTTTCCCCTCCCTCTCACAGCAGCTAAGAGGTTACGAGCTCCCTGCTCTCCTCCCACTATGCAGCTGGGAGGACTCGTGTCAGCTTGTGCTTTTGGTTTAGTGCAACTTGCCATGCCACCCACACCAGGAACTGTGGTTTGCGTTAAGTATGGCTCCTTTCAACAAGCCAGCTTCAGAAACCATGGTTTGATGGTGGCTTGTTTTTAAACCAACCACAGTCAATGTCAACCACAGTTCCATGCTCAAATGACAAGACCAACTGTGCTGAACTACAAGTGGGTGTGAAAGCTTTCAAACTCATCCTCCCAGCCACAGAGGAGGAGAGAGGGTGTGAGCCCAGGGAGCTGTTAGGCTTTGTCCGTGTCCTGTTAAGTCAGGAGTAGCTAACCTGTGGTCCTGCATCTTCTTTTTGATTCATTACAGTAATACAGCAGAGCCAATGCATTCTCAAAAAGTAGAAGTGTGCATTTTGCTCTCAGCCAAACCAATAAGTTTGCTTCCGTGGTCTAGTTCAGCTTTTCTGTGGCGCTCTCCATGACTCCAAATCAACAACTGGGAGCTGCATCAAACCATTATTCCACTGCATCTCTAGTTTCTGCAATGTTACCAAGCACTGTCCACCCACTTTTTTAAAAAACCACTCATCACAGTGATCCTATGTTTGCATTACAAGAAAAAGGTAGTCCCAGGAAACTAAATTCTTAAGTCAACAGCACAGTCTGTAGCTTTTTTTGGAACTGCTGCCTATGCGGCATCATGGAAATAATACCACATTCCAATAGCCCACACCTTTGCTTACACTGTTAAACCAGTTAAGTGCTTGATTTACACTGTTAAGCAAATTGCCACATCTCTGCAGTTCTTGTGATCACGGCCCCCAGACAGCTATTTAGTGGCAGGTGACATAAGCACAGAATCAAAGGAGGAGATGTACAGCTGTTAGACTGATTGCATAATGTTCCTAAGAAGTTGGTTCTGGGGAGGAAATGCTGGATTTTGGGCTCCGGGGCCAGGGGGGGATTTACCTCTCTCTCCGGGAATGCTCCCTAGCCAATTCCCTCCTTTTCTGCCTCTCCCATTCACGGCGGGCCTTATCCTGCTCTTCGCGGTGCCTTTTCCTACGTTCATGCTCGCGCTCCTTCTCTTTCACCCTAGCATGCTTCCCTAATAATAGAGATACAAAAAAAAAAGGCCAAACCGTTACCCCCCCTCCCAAACAGCATTCGGAAGTCGTAAAACGAGCAAAGGAACCAGATGAAAAAGAGAAGGAGAGAGAAACACAGATTATGAAAGAATCATTTCTCTTGGCACTCTGCTAAAACAAAACCAAAAAAAAACCACAATCCACCATGGCTAAGATTAGCCATCAGGTTAAACGGCTTTTTAAAATTAAAGCTGACTTCCATGAACGTTGGAACTTCTCCCTTCCTTGTGCCTTTGTAGCTGGCACTATTAACAATATTACTCTACTGACACAGGGTAAAAGCTACCCTGGCTCCGAGCTCTCACCTGAGAACGTAAGAAGCTTATTGATGTACATGGTCCAGCATTCTCCTCATGGATGCCAGCAACCAGAAGGCACCAGGTGGCCAGCAGACAACTGATAGACCCAAGGTGCATTCTCAGTCGACATACAGCAATGGTGAGGCCCGAAAGACCCAGCGCCCCACATGGACTGAGCTTACACCCTGAAGTATGCTGGGGGTGTCTCAGCAGACAACCTTACATGGGGTCAGCTCATATATTCAACTGCTTGCCATAGGCAACCAGGGATTCCATGCAGATGAATGAGCGCTCTGGGGAAGGAGGAATAGAGCGCATCAGCCCCTCCACTTGGTTCCCAGGCTAGTTGCGTAGGAAGGAAAGTCTCTTCCTCTACAACCTGCATAGAAATGCAGAGAGAAAATGAATGGCTCAGTAGAAGCCACAGCTTTTTTAAACTACCCTGTTAAGAATCCTCTGCATTTCCATGCTCCCTGAAAGGCGGAGATGGAAACAGAGGCTATTAGCCTCTAATATGAGAAGGTCCACCATTTACAGCTCATTGGTTAGCGCAACATAATGGGGTGTGGTCAAAAGTAGGAGCGGTCACCTGATGAGCAATTGAGCCAATGGCTGAAAAACTTCCCTTACCACTGCCAGTAAAAATTGCTGAGTTCTTAAAGGGCCAGCAAAAATAATTCTTGAAGGCCAGATCAGAATATCGAACTGTAAGTTAGCTAGCTGCGTTCTAAGCGGGCTGGAGGGGAGCCTGCTGGCTACTAAACTTTGTGGGCGTATATATAAGGCTGCCTTAACTGAACTCATCATTGTGTGATGGGTTCCAGACACCAACCCTCTTCCAAGGACACCAGAGGTCAGGAGACACTGAGGAGGAAATGCTAAGAAGGGACCTGAGTACCTTCTGCCGAGTGACTGCGATGACGCCGCTTCTCTTTCCTCTTCTCGTCTTTTCTGTGGTGTGCCCTCTCTTTCCGTGACATTTGCTGGGGGGGTTTGATTGCCAGGGAGTCGTCCTCTTCTCCCCTGAAGTCCACAACAATGAGGAGGAGGGAGAATGGGAAAAGGATCGTGTGTATGCAGAACAAGAGTTCATTCATTTACTGTCGTCTATCAGGAGTCACTGCACCTGGCAACAGCAGCCTGAGAGATGGGACAGTGGCAACTGAAACCAGCTGCTCATTGGCTTCTTCCCTCCCTTGAATCGCTTCTACTCAAGCTGGTAATCACTATGTCACTTTAAAAGTACATGCCCAAGGTTGCTTATTTTAACCCTCCCCACCTTGTTTTCCTCATGTAAGCTGCAGAGCAAAGACTTTTAATCTGTGCACAGTGCTTAGTAAAACACAGCTGCTTAAAAATGAGAAACGAAGTATAACACAATGCAACAGTATAGCAATCGTGGAAGGCAGAGGTGATGGTCCCAAAGACGATTACAGGGAAGACTGCCAATGAAGCAAAGCCAGCTGCGAAGGGAAGCTGGAACTAGGACCTGCCAGCCTACTAATTCAGGTGCAGCCCATCGTAACGGCCACATCTCTGTAGACCAGTAGTCTCTGGATGTTGCTGAACTCTAACTCCCATCGGTCCCAGCCAGAATGGCCAATGGTCAGGGATGGTGAGAGTTGCAGTCCAACATCTGGAAGGGTCACAAGCTCCCCATCCCTAAGCTAGACCATCACTTGCCTTTATTGCTCCCAGCCACCACCATCACAAATCTGCCTTCTTTCAACGCAGGGAAAAGGAATCTGTGGCCCTCCAGATATTGCTAGCCTCCAACCTCCATCAAGCCTAGTGTTCAAGGATGATAGGGGTTGCAGTCCAAGAATATCTGGAAGGGTTCCAGACCGCCATACACATTCCTATCATATGGTAAGTGTGAGTAATTGTAATTAAACCGTGTGTGTGTGTGAGAGAGAGTATAACCCTCCCTCTGCTAGCGGCTTTCCTACCGGTCTTCCATAGAGTCTTCCCTCCTGTAAGGTGAATTCCGGATAGTTATCTCCATGCGGTGATCTCTCAGCTCTCCCTCTTCAAGGGAATCGCGCTTCGAGTCCCGATCATCAGACTACGACGATAGGGGGAAACACACATTTTGGCTTTCAGAAATTGTGCACAGTGAAAGATTATTCGTAGTTTTACCCCCCAAAACTTTGTTACCCGATCATAGCAGAGGCAGAGAGCTTGTTGTACTATTGGAAAGAACACAGACATTTAAAAAGGGGAAACCTATTTGTGTGCTATATTCACTTCAAAGGCGGGGGGGGGGGATCCCAGGATGCTACTTGACGTGTCTTTTGATGGAATGTTTCATACAAATATTCCAGGGAACTTTGGACAAATGGGTAGAACCAAAGTATAGTGGGGAAAGAAGATCATGCAAGCACTCTTTCACCTCTGGGGACCAGTGCACATAAGTAGGATGCCACCATAATCCAACAGGTTTTTATTTACAACCTGGGTAGTGTCATGCTGCTGCTGTGGACAATTGTTTTGAACCCTCCAATCCAATTCACTTTCTTTCTGGAAGCAAGAGTTAATTGGCTGCTGCATGTGCACGTTTGTGAACAAGCTAATGAGTATGATGTCGGGGGTGGTAAGTGAATGTGGAAGTTCCTTTGCAATAATTTTGCCAGGTTAGGCAGAACACTGTGTTTTTATCCTGTGTTTGCATATGGGAAATGCATCCAGAAGACAAAAATGAATCGAGTAGTGATTTCACATGGTTACCCTCCCTGCCTCTGTTCCTTCCCACTCCCTCGCTCTTGTTCAGTTTTTTGATGGTGCGAGAACAGTCTTTAATGTCCTGAGAACAGGACATTAAAGACAGGACATTGGGAGGAGGTGAAGCCCCCCCCCCCCACAACTGCCTTAATCAGCTGTGGAGGATAGTGCTGAGTACCTTCTTCGATGTTGGACATTGTTTTGAGAAAGTAAGGCATTGGGAGAGGGTGGCTAATGGATGATCTGCACGTAGTCAGTCTTGGAAGCCACACAGAATTGGACAGTTTGGGCAGAGTTTCTTTGAAGCTCGTGCATGGACTGATCGGCTGCAGGGCCATGCAAACTAAGGCTACCTGGGGGAGTCGCATTGCTGCTTCTTGAGGGCTTCCTACTCACTTGTGTATTTTGTATTGCTTCTGAATCTCATTTTAAAAGAACCACCTTGCCTTTGGCAAGACAGTTTGGTTCTGTGAACCGCCCTAATATCTTGTGATGAAGGGCGGTATATAAATGTACCATATTTTTCCCCTCCAAAATGAAGGCTTGCGGATAGCAGCCTGTTCTGGGGGCTGGGGTCGGGGGAAGCTCGGGCTTCCCCCGCCCCAGCCCCGCGGCTGGGGGGGGGGGAAATGTTTTTTATTTATTTCCCCCCCAAAAAACGAGGTGCGCCCTATGGGCCAGTGCGCCCTATAGGGCGAAAAATACAGTAATAAACAACAACAACACTGAGGTTTGCAAAAGTACAAACCTGCTGTACCTGGAACTGGGTGTGGAGAGTGCAGCTAAATGGGACACAGCTGCGGGCAGCCTGAGGAAGTATCATCCCCCTTGGGCCTGCCCATAAAAAGCAAGTCTAGAGTAAGAGACTAGGGCAATGTCTGCTGTTTGCAGGAACTCTTCTTGTTATGATACTTTTATGGTTGAGCTGAGTGATTGTTTGGACCCTGGGTGAGAACCCGGAGGGTGTGGCAGGAGGAAAATGAACTGATGTATAAGTATAGATACATTAGTAATTTTATATCATTGTAACATTTTTATATGCAACTGTGTATTGTTGTAATAGTTTAAGGTGCCTGTTGTTGCTTCAGTTTTCTGTACCCTGCTTAGAGATCTTTTTAATTTATTAGGCAGTATAGAAATTAAATAATAACATAAAAATAAGCAAAATAATATTTAGGAGGAAACCTGCCCCCCCCCCGAGGAGATTACGGTTATTACCTGCCCTTCACCAGCAGGTCCCGGAGCAGGTTATAACAACCTATAGAACGCTTTCTCTTTAATTAGAGGTGGGGGAGCAAAGTTTGGGTAGTTTTCTAAACTGCACAATGTCAGCATGAGAGTGGTACTCGACTAGCACAAAAGACTTTCACCAGACATGCAATCCTATGTGTGTGAACTTGGGAGCAAGTCTCAGTTACTTCAAGCAGGCGTGCACAGGACTGCTGCCTGAGAATACCAGAAGAAGCTTTGTTCTAATTAGAGAGAGGGGGAAGAAAATGAGGGAAAAGAAAACATACTCATGTCCCTTATAGGCACTGGCTCTAGAAGGGCAGCTTACATTTTTGAGGCGCTTTATGTCTGCTTTCTCCTCTTGCTCTTTGCGACGTTTCTTCTCCTGAAGAATTTCATCTAACGTTTTCACTTTCCAAGATTCCTTTTCATCACCCATTTGTGTTTAAAAAGGCACTAAAAGAAAAGACAACCAACAAATGAGGCTGCTGCTACCCTATCATGGAGCCGGCTGTCCACATTTTAATAACGCCGAGAGTAATAATAATAATAATTTATTATTTGTACCCCGCCCATCTGGCTCGGTTTCCCCAGCCACTCTGGGCGGCTTCCACAGAAACCAAAAATACACTAAAATCACACATTAAAAACTTCCCTGAACAGGGATGCCTTAAGATGTCTTCTGAATGTCAGGTAGTTGTTTATCGCTTTGACATCTGATGGGAGGGCGTTCCACAGGGAGGGCGCCACTACCGAGAAAGCCCTCTCCCTGGTTCCCTGTAACTTGGCCTCTCGCAGTGAGGGAACCACCAGAAGGCCCTCGGTGCTGGACCTCAGTGTCCGGGCAGAACGATGGGGGTGGAGACGCTCCTTCAGGTATACTGGACCGAGGCCGTTTTGGGCTTTAAAGGTCAGCACCAACACTTTGAATTGTGCTCGGAAACGTACTGGGAGCCAATGTAGGTCTTTCAAGACCGGTGTTATATGGTCTCGGCGGCCGCTCCCAGTCACCAGTCTAGCTGCCGCATTCTGGATTAGTTGTAGTTTCCGGGTCACCTTCAAAGGTAGCCCCACGTAGAGCACATTGCAGTAGTCCAAGCGGGAGATAACCAGAGCATGCACCACTATGGCGAGACAGTCTGCAGGCAGATAGGGTCTCAGCCTACGTACCAGATGGAGCTGGTAAACAGCTGCTCTGGACACAGATTTGACCTGTGCCTCCATGGACAGCTGTGAGTCCAAAATGACTCCCAGGCTCCACACCTGGTCCTTCAGGGGCACAGTTACCCCATTCAGGACCAGGGAATCCTCCACACCTGCCCGCCTCCTGTCCCCCAAACCACCGTTAAGGTACTCTGCCTGCAGCCACCTCTGAAAAGCACTTGGAAACTATAATTATCCCAAAACAAACTGGCCAGTTTGCTAGCTGGATTGGCATCATGAAAAACATCTACTGTATATTTCAGAAAGTTGCTCGTCTGCTGCCTATGCATTTGGACACTTCCTAAGATATTGCAACAAAACTTTTGAAAGAGCAAGGTTTTTGTCTATATTTGGATACAAGGCCATTTGAACTCAAATGGTGGATTGAACCATTCAAAACTGCACTGATTTTAATGACTGGTTTCAACAATGAACTGGTTTTGGGTTGTTTATACAGTGGTACCTCTAGATATGAACGGGATCCGTTCCGAAGCGGTAAATGTAACTAGCGATGGCATGTCTGTGCAGGCACGCACGTGTCGCTTTTCGCTGCTTCTGCGCATGCACGTGACGTCATTTTGAGTGTCCGCACATATGCAAGCGGCGAAACCCAGAAGTAACGCGCTCCGTTACTTCCGGGTTGCCGAGGAGTGCAACTCAAACGCTCTCAACTCGAAGCATATTTAACCCGAGGTATGACTGTATATAATTTCCAAGCAACGCTGGGTACAAGGCTGCTAGTATAATGTAACTGCAGCATTCATTTATTAATAGGGTCATTGAAAGCTGCCTTGGAGCACATCAGTCACCTGATTCTCCTAGCTCAGCTATTGTCTCCTTTGAACAGCTCTCTAGCCTCTCGGGAAGAGAGAGGTTTCTCCCATCACCTGCTACCTAATTATTTAAACTCAGACACCGGTAACTTTTGGCCCTGTAGGCATTGCTGAACTACATCTCACATCAGCCCTAGAAAACACAGCCAATGGCCAGGGAAGTTGGGTTTTGTAGTTCAACAACATCTGTAGGACCAAAGGATTCCAACACATGTTATAATAGCAAGGACAAAGGTTTAAACCTGGGGCTTTTGGAACGTGACGCACACAGCCCCCACTCCTTCAAGCTGTTTCCTCCCCATATATCATCGACTGGTGGGCAACAGCCTCCACAAGCAGTTTGCCCCAAATGCACCATTGCTAAAGGTATTCAGAAGGCCTGGCCCCTGCGCAGCTGTACTAGAGCTAGGAATTTCAGCAGGTGCAGTGACCATGAACAAACCACACCATCAAAAGTTCCTTAAAAGAAAAAGCTCACAGTCCACAAGCTAGCCTTTGAATTTTGCAGCCTTACGCACACACAAAAAACCCAAAACCCCATATAGCATCGTATTTGTAGTGATGGCACAGGGCAGGACCAGGAAGAGGAAAAGCTCGAATTGGGGTGGATGTTATTGTTTGGTTTTGTCATTGTGGCTATGCCCTTTCACGTTTTTACCTTGTAAACCGCAATTTGACCCTTGGCGAAGGGGCGGTACATAAATTTAATAAATAAATAAATAACGGTATATAAATAAAACACCCGCTCAGCCAAGAGCCCTAACGGGGGCTCCGGACTTGAATGAAGTGAACAGAACTTGAATGAAGTGGGACGGGGTTGGACAGAGAAGGAAGTTCCGAGCGTCTTGGGGGGAAGCCAAGAAGAAAATCTCCAAATCCTAGTAAAATAAGGAGAGCTCGAGAGGACGCCTCACCGCCACCCGCTGCAAGGGAGGCCTAGCCCCACAACACGCCACCCCGGCAAGGCAGGCCGCCCGACCACGGCCCACCTTCCCCGCCACAGGAAACCCCGCTTCCCTCCCCTCTGAAACCCGGCCCCCGGCCCCGGGGGAGCGGGGAAGTGAAGGCGGCACACCGCAGCCGCAGCCTCCCCGCCTTCGACCCTCCCTTACCTTCCCTGTCGCCCCTACCGCCACCGCCTCCACGACCCACTTGCCGGGGATGCAGTGCCCGGAAGCGCGACGCGTGGCGCACGCATTTCTTCCGGCGCGGGTCCGTTACGTCACCGGAAAGGGGGAAGTTCCCGGCCCGGCCCGGGGACAGTTAAAGGGAGAGGCCCATCCGCTTGTGGACGTTCGCAGAACGTCAGCCGGAAGCCCGTAGACTTTCGAATAGACCTATGAAGGGGTAACGTACTTCTGGGTCCACTAAGCCTCCCAGCTCCAAGACGGAAATCAAGCGTTTTCTTGTGGACATCAATGCACAATTTCTATAGAGATGCATAAAGTGTGGACTTATAAAGGCTCCCTAACTTCCAGGGTGTTGTTTTTTTTATGGCTCCCCACTCCAAATAAAACCACCCCCAGCTGTGGAATTAAGGGAGAACTGCCCACGAAAATCAATGGATAAAATAGTATTGTTGTTGTTCAGTCGTTTAGTCGTGTCCGACTCTTTGTGACCCCATGGACCAGAGCACGCCAGGCACTCCTGTCTTCCACTGCCTCCCGCAGTTTGGTCAAACTCATGCTGGTCTCTTTGAGAACACTGTCCAACCATCTCGTCCTCTGTCGTCCCCTTCTCCTTGGGCCCTCCATCTTTCCCAACATCAGGGTCTTTTCCAGGGAGTCTTCTCTTCTCATGAGGTGGCCAAAGTATTGGAGCCTCAGCTTCAGGATCTGCCCTTCCAGTGAGCACTCAGGGCTGATTTCCTCAAGAATGGATGCGATTGATCTTCTTGCAGTCCATGGGACTCTCAAGAGTCTCCTCCAGCACCATAATTCAAAAGCATCAATTCTTTTTTCTCTGGGAAGAAAAAAGGCCTGCAGGTATTTCAAATTCAGGTTCTCTCTGTGTGTACATGTGGCTTGTTCCTATTTTTAAGTTGGATGCCATCCTATGCTTATTGGCAGCTCAACAGTTTGTTTTGCTCTCTCGTTCAATTCTCCCCTTCTTTCACAAAAGAATGCTTCAGAGGGAGATTCCTTTCTAAATTGTAGGGAGATAATTTTACTTGCTAATGGATAGGGATAACTATACTACCTTAATTTTGTTTCATAAGAACATACAAAGCTGCCTAATGTGGAGACCATTGATCCATATAGCTCAGCATTGTGTACACTGACAGGCTGCAGCTCTCCAGGATTTCAGACGTCTCTCTCCCAGCCCTACCTGGAGATGCTGGGGGAACTGAACCTGGGCTAAGGTTGACACCTTTGGTTTGGGCAAAATTGAGACATATCAGGGGGGTGGGGATTGAGAGGCACCCACCAAATCCTCCCACGCCCTTTGTGGAGGGAGGGTTCCCCACATTTGGCCTCCCGCCTCCCTCACCACCCCAGCCCTGCTCTTTCCCTCAGCTCATGTAGACAGGATAATTAAACAGAGAGCAGCACATGGTTTTGTTTTTATTTACCAAAGGAGAATTCTTAGAAGATACAGTGAACAAAAACAGGATTATGTACAGTTACAGGTTTCTTTCCTTTAAAAACAACAACATTGCAGCTTGTATTTTTGCCTCTTACGCAGGTAGCAAAAGCTCATCCACAGGATCGGTCCATTTGGAGACTTTAAGCGGATGTCACAGTTACATTAAATTGGTTGTGCTTGAAAGCAGGTTTATAAAGCGGGTGGACGTTCCACATTAAGTCAATACTGGAAGAGTGAACATACTCAATTATGTATTGCATACACTTTTATTTTCATATTGGTATCCCAATATACTTAAAGTTTGGCCCCGTCGCAAAAACAAACAAACAAACAAAAAACACCCATGAGAGATTGTGTGTTCAAGTTTCTGCAGGAAAAAAAAACATCTTGTCATTTTCTGGGTAACAAATGTGAACTGTTTATCTAAATTGCAGGCATTTCCCAGAAACATCATCTTTGATTAAAACACCGTCAAACACAGACTACCTTAGGGGTCCTCAGATCCTGCTGGACTACAACTCCTATCATTCCTGGCCAACTGTGGCAGCAGTCAGGGACAGTGGGAATTGCAGTCCACCATCAACTAGGAACTTAGTGGAAAAGCACTGTTCCACACCACAGACGTAAATTGGTTTGATGGCCATGAGGGGCTTAACTGTCACTGTTTTCCTGGTAGACTTGGAAATTGTAGCTTGACAAGAGGGCCGAGAATTATGTCGATTCTTAGAAATTTGTTTCTTGGAACTACCTTTCCCGTGATTGCTAGGGGAGGTATCTGTGGCTAAACCAGTTTTGTCTATAGCTAGGCTGTGCCTCTTTCTGGGCAGCCCAGAGGCTGAGGCAGGGCTCGTGGGATGAGGTATCTTATAGATTAGTACAACCATCCTGAACCTGACCATTTGAGGCCATTCTTATTGCAAAGCCCATGCAATGCTGAAACACAGACATGCTGTTTATAAGGATTCGTGCTGGAATGCTTAGTGATTAAACCACCAGTTGCCAACATGACACCCGCAGGCATCATAGGGCTCTTGAGGTCTTCTGGCGCCCAAAAGCCTCTGAGCCCCTTGCCCTATCCACTCACTGTTTCCTCTGTCACAAGCTGGTGAGGGTGGTTACCTCCCCCCCCCCCCACTTTGAAAGATACATAGAGCTGAAGGAGGATGCTGATAGAGAGGCACTCTTTCCCACTTCCTCTTTCAACTCTTTTCAAGGCTCTACTACCGGATTTGATCTTTACAGAGCCCTCAGAAAAAAAACAAAGTATGCAAATACACACGTTCTCTATTTCTGGCCCTTGAGGGCAGGGCTGAACTGGGGAGAAGGTGACTGGAGGCAGTGGAGCAGACAGGCCTGAAAAAGTTGGCAACTGCTCGACCAAACATTCAGTTGTTAAATGTTTAGTATCAGTTAACTGATTTGCTTACCCAACAAAAAGCTTTCTGATAAGTTTTTTAAAAAAAGTTCCCCCGTTCATCGCTAATTAATTAGCGTGGCTAATTAAAAACACACACAACTACAGCATAAAATACTGATAACACACAAAAATATGTCAGCATGAAAGAGATACTCCTATTTCTCTTACACATGGGAGTGAACACCCCCTAAAGTGGCACCTACTGTGATATGCAGGTCTAACATCTGTAATGGACAAAATGCTTGTCTTCACAGCTATGGTTGCGTTTCACTTTGGCAGCAATCCTATACACACATACCTGGGAGTAAGCCCTGAATAACTCAGTGAGGCTTACTTCTTAGAAGGCGTGCATAGGATGGCGATGTTAAACTAGCTGGTGATTGGCAGACTTGGGTAAAATTTTACCAGTAGTGTCTGGTAGGGCAGAAAGCAGGGAGCCCAACAGTAGGTGGCGCCAGAGCCAATGGCACCCAGAGCCAGCCAATTCTAATTTTGTCTCCAGAGGAAACACTGAGAATGACAACCACTGCCACCTCCTGGTCTTGCTGCGAGTAAGAACGCAGGCAGGTGGGGGCCGGCTGAGGTTGGTGGGGCAACACGCCCAGATGGACCAGCCTCCATTGAGCTGTAGCAATGTGGCTGGTGTTCTTGTGGCTCGTGACACACAGCTTTTTTCTTCTTTTTTTGCAAAAGGGCAGGTGTCCCTGCTGAAATGTAACACAATACTAAACAGTATTGGGCAGCGCAACCCTAAAGTTAAGCCTGTTTACTCTGCCATTTGCAACCACATCTCTGTGGGCCAGGGAGATCCTAGCTTATGGGCTCTCTCCCTCTTTCCCGTTCTATCCAGAACAAAACATAGATAGCAAAGACCTATTTTAATTCATTCTTACAGGCTGCAATCCTATACCGTGCCTACCTGGGAAGAAGCCCCACTGAATTAAGGAAGGCTTACTTCTGAGTAGACCTCATTAGGACGGCACCGTATATAACTTATAAAATGCCTTTTAGGGTGCAATTGTCCTTGCAAGGCAGTGTACAAAGTTTCATGCAAACCTACTCAAAATCATGCCAAGTCTTAGACCACTGGTCTATGCTGGCCTGCTGCTGTCTACTTGTGAGTTCGCAGGCAGAGTCTCTGTCCTGTCCCCTTCTACCTGGAAGGATGCAGCTCAGGTGTTACAGCATCTGCTTTGCATGCCTAAGGTTCAACCCCTGGAATCTCCAGGTAAGGCTGGGAACAGTCCTGTCTGAAACACTGGAATTGCTGCCGGTCAGTGCAGACAACACTGAGCCGACACAGTATGAATCAGCTTCCTTTGCTCCTATGGGCTGAATCCAACTTTAGCTCTACTCAGAGAAGACCCAGTGAAATAAGCGAGTCCTGCTTATTAACTTCGGTGGGTCTCCTCTAAGTAGGGCAAGCAGGGGCTACAACCCACCAGCCTCTGCTTCCTTCTCAATGCAAACTTCTGGCCATGCAAATTGCTGACTTAGCCATTTACCCAGGACAGAACCCGAAAACCCCAGTGTCCCCACCACCCCCACTGTTACAACCTTGTGAAATAACCTGAAACCTCACGAGAAGGTAGGAACACCTCTGCCATTTTTTCCTTATTTTTCTTTCTTCCGTTTAAAACAATAGGGACCCTGCTTCTCCCTCTTTTGGTTCCCAATTCATAATTCTCAGAAGCAAGCTTTGCTACGTGTATCAAGCTGGTACCCCCACATTTTCCAAGAGTCCATTATTTATTGCCTACCTACACAGTCTCAAAACTGAAGGTGGGGTGAGATAAGACGTTCAAAGCTGCCCACCTACCTGACCTCTAGTGCAAAATATTTCCCAGCCATGCTTTTAATAACGTACATTTCACTTCAGAAGGCACCTAGAAATTAAACTTGGGGTGTGTGTGTGTGTGTGTGTAAAAGAAGATGGCTACCAAAATTTTGTGTGTGTGGAGGATTGCTATCAGAACTGATGATATCATCTCTTTGATGGCTGAAAGGTCTCTGGAAGGTTTTGCCAATAAGAGAAAATGAGAGACAGTGGTATCCCCCCTTTTCAGTCCATTGTGTGTTTGGGGCTCGGGGATGATGGGGTGCACATCTGTCACGCAACATGCTAGTGGTTAAGAATCCCCGCAGCCCCAAACCGGTCCACCTTTTGCTGGTTTTGAATCTCCAGAAAACAACGCTCTTGACCATCTTGGGCTTTTGGGCTGAAGTGGTGGCTGACCTTCCCCTATCCCAACTGACCGTTGCTTCATAGTCTTTTCGAAACACAGATATTTCAGCTCAAGTCTCTGCAACGGATGAGATGGGTCGGCGGCGCTGTCCCGATGATGGGGAAACTTGCTGTATTTCACATTGCTTTGGTGGAGGCTGGGCCCCGAACAACCGCCTGCATTTTGCACGCTCTTTAGACAGAGTCAAAAGTCCATACGTTTCCATTCTATACATCCACTTCTCAAAGAGCTCTCTCTCTCTCTGTGTATGTTGACATGCAACTCATTTTTCTCAACCGCAGAAAAAAGGCCTTGCCCCCAGCAAGTGCCCACAGCCCCGTTAATCGCTGGGATTGTATACTTGACACCCCACCCCCAGTAAAAACACCCCATGCTTCTCTGCAGCAAAGTTGTGGCAGAGGGACAGAAGGTGGCCTCATTCGTAGGGCTTCAAGTCCTTGGGAATCAGTGGTTCGGTGTCTTCGTTCAAGCTCTGGGACGCCTGGGGAGGAGAGGCTGCTGCCAGGCTCTGAATGGTCTCTTGCTGGTGCTGCTTGGCCTTGTTATAGAGCAGAACCCCAATCGTCACCAGGACAGTCCCGATGGCCGAGAGGCTGGTGATCTTGTTGCCAAACACGATGATGCTCAGCCAGATGGACAGGGCGTGCTTCACTGTGCTGGCAACGCTGGAAATGGAGAGGAAGATGGAGTGAAAAACAAGGTCAGAAAAACAGAGCTAGGCTCCCAGAGCATGTCAACAGACTGGGTGAGACAGAGAACTGCAGGGCTGAATCCATCACATTGCTTTCAACAGTCAGGCCTTTCCCCACCAAATAATCCTGGAGCTGTAGGTGCCGAGAGCTGTTAATAGACCCCCTTCCCCTTGAGGGGGGACCCCGGGAGTCCCACAAATTGATAGCCTATCGCTTGAAGAAAATGATGATGTAATGGGAAATGTTTCTATGCATATGATTGGAAGAAATTGGAATCCTTTGTGTAAGAAACTTATAAATGGCCTCCCAGGACGACGTTCAGATTTTTGTGGATTACCTGCTGAACCTATTGCTTGTAAAGTAATAAATCATGGGACTCTTATCTCCTCCTGGCTCCTGAGTTTTATCGGCCAGACCCAGCAGTTTACAGCCATTTATGGCTTTCTTCGCCCTCACAAAGGTGCATGACCCAACGTGGTTTATTAATCAATCCTCCTTCCCAGGATATTCTGTGAAGTGTAGTTCTGTGAGGAGAATAGGGCTCTCCTAACAACTTACAGCACCCTTTGCAAACTACAGCTCCCAGGATCCTTTGGGGGAAGCCATGACCGTTTAAAGTGGTATAGTGGTGCTTGAAACGTATGGGGCCTACATTATGTTCTGGGGAGACTCATGGGGTTGTATGCAATGCGAGACCTACCTAGAGATGCGATGGGGAATTGAACTGGAGACCTTCTGCTTCCAAAGCAGATGCTCTACCACTGAGCTATGCCCCCTCCAGTCCCCCACAAGGGCCAAATTAAATGTTTGCATTCAGGAGTTTTAGCCCTGGCTTTTCTGCTCCATGACCATTGTTAAGCTTCAGCTTCCAATATAGGGAAGGGCTAATCAGCAGGATTGTGCCCACGGGCACCACGTTGGCAGATCTTGCACCCCACTTTCTTGCTTGTTAAAACAGCAGGTAAATAAGGAAACCTTTGCCCATGTACTGCAAATTATCCAGCAACCTATTATTCTTCGCTGTTGGTATTAACAACATTCATCAGTCACTTTATGCTGAAGACAAAACGCCAGAGCAACTTGACAAGATAAACTACAACAAAATTAAAGCAAATTAGAACCAGAAAACTTTTAAAACTTTCAAAACCCATAAAACACTCATCCAGTTGCAAAGTCCTACCCACTCTACGAAAATACGAACTCCACCATGGGAGACTGTGTTAATTAACCAAAGACCTTAGTCTGGCATCTGCAGATAGACAAGGATGGCTCCAGGCGGGTCTCCCTGGGGCAAGCATTCCACAGACGGGGAGCCACCACTGAAAAGGCCACCCTCCACACCCTCCTACCAGGCGGTAGATCTCAACCTACTGCCAGTGGTCACCTGGTGTAAGGCGCCATAAGAGACCAATCTCTGGTCAAAAAGGCAAGGAGATCCATTGTTTAAATATATGCACACAAATCTTTTCTTCAAAAAAACCCAAGACAAAATGCAAGGGGGATTCTTAACCTGAAAGTCACAGGGGAAATCTTCCCCATCAAGGCATAGGCTGTAACACTTTGGAGATGAAACAGCACTCCGTCTATCAGAAGCAGCACGACGACATCCTGGTTGTACTGGAAGCTCTTCCCGCTTCTCCCAATTACTGGCACGTCCTAAGAAGAAAGGAAAGGAAAAGAAAGAGGAAGATAGATGAGAGGCAGTGAAGGCTTCATTAAAATGCACAGAAAAGGGATCGCTGAAAAGTAAGGAAACACAGGAAGCTGCCTTGTACTGAGTAAGACCATTGATCACCTAAGCTCAGTATTATTGACTCTGGTTGGCAGCAGCTCTCCAGGTTTTCAGATTCTGGACACTCATGTGCGTTTTTCTTACATTATTCAGATTTAGATGGTTTCCATTATGTGAAGTTGCTTCCTGTATAATTCTCCTAGGGACAGATTTCTCAAAGGGATGTTTCAAAGACGGTTTCCTTTTTGAACGGCAGGGAGAAAAATTGTGGCCTGCTGATGGATGCAGACAAAATACACCGCCTGTAAGGTTTCATATGAACACACAAAGCTGCCTTGTACGGAGTCAGACCATTAATCCATCTAGCTCAGTGCTGTCTACACTGACTGGCAGCAGCTCTCCGGGATTTCAGACATGGATCTCACCCAGCCCTACCTGGAGAGGCCAGGGATTGAACCTGGCACCTTCTGCATGCCAAGCCGATGCTCTGTCATTAAGCTCTGGCCCTTCATTGCTAGAAGTCAGAGTCCACAGGTTCCCTCCCCATCCTTGCTTTATGGCGATAAAGCTTTATGCTTTATGGCGAGCCCTTCACGTACAGCATGTTAGTATAATCCCCACAGCAGCCTACAGTGGTACCTCAGGTTAAGTACTTAATTAGTTCCGGAGGTCCGTACTTAACCTGAAACTGTCCTTAACCTGAAGCACCACTTTAGCTAGCAGGGCCTCCTGCTGCTGCCACGCCACTGGAGCACGATTTCTGTTCTCATCCTGAAGCAAAGTTCTTAACCTGAAGCACTATTTTTGGTTAGCAGAGTCTGTAACCTGAAGCGTATGTAACCTGAGGTACCACTGTAATACAAGCTGGCATTCTTCTTCCCATACTGCTGATCTGGAGGAGGCAAGTAGAGGCCGGGGGACCCTAGCTTGTTTACGGCTGCTTAGTAACAGAGGCAAGATTTGAATTTGGGTGCTTTGAAAATGGAGCAGGACTCTTCGTTTATAGCGGGGTTGGAGGGGGAAGAATGCACAAAAAATCTCACCATGAAAAAGATCCAAGCTGGAATCAGCATGATCACTGCGGCTGCACTGGTGTAGAACTGAAGCTCAGGAGCGCTATGGAAATGGTGTTGGTTGGGGAGAATTAATCAAGTGAAATTAGCATTTTGCATGGGCTGCAATGGAAATAACAGTCAGAAGGACGAAACGGGAGACACCCAAACTCAATACACTGCTGAAACTGGAGATGATATTTAAAAGCACAACAAAACCGGCTGTGACAGAGCGATGAAGGGTTACCCACAGCAGTGGTCCATACGTATGGTTCCTTACCCATCATACTTTTAAAGCGTGAAGTGTGGTTAGTTAAAGGTGCTGGGAATTGTAGTTCCGTATGAATAAACTACAGTTCCCAGGATACTTTTTGAGGGGGTGGGGAATGTGCTTTAAATGCATGGAAGGTGAATGGCTCATGCTGGGCATCAACACATACAAAACGCTCCCACTGCACTATTTACAGTAGCATCATGCCAATTTAACAGTCATGGCTCCCCCCAAAGAATCCAGGGGGCTGTAATTTTTTATGGGAGCAGAGAGTTGATAGGAGACTCCTATCCGTCCCCCCATTTCCAGAGTGGCACTTCCCAGGGAATTCTGGGAATTGTTGCTCTGGGAGGGGAACAGGCCTCTTAAGAACTCTCAGCACCCCTTAACAAACTACAGTTCCCAGGATTCTTCAGGGAAAGCCATCACTGTTAAAAGTGGTACAGTTCCCAGAGTTCCCTGGAGACACTCTGGGAATTTCAGCTCTATGAGAGGAAATAGATTGTCGATCACTCTGAAAACGGGATGCCTTTGGAGCCTGCTTTCAGAGGGGATTGAATGAGTGACCAAGCTTCCCACATGGAAAAGTGTCGTGCAGCCAATCCAGATTTGTCTCTCCCTGCCTCATATATGATGTCAGGTGGACACGCTTAGGGGAAATAGCCTTGGGTGCCAAACTGAGACCCTTACTAGGCCCCGTTTAGGTCATGGGCTGGAAATTCCACACCCCAGGCTTAGAGACCTGCTTAATTCTTTTAGATACAAATCCTGCTAAATGAAACAAAATTCAACACAGGAACAAGCAAGCTTCTTTCAGAGGGCAGCTACAGCCTGCTTTGCAGGCTTATCTGATCACGTCCAGTAAATCAGAGGTCAGGGGAAGCTTGAATGGCCCTGGGCGGAGAACCAAAAGGCCCTTTGTCCTGTAACAGGCAGCTCAGTCCAGAAAAAACACAGATGTTGGTCAAAAGCGTGAGAGATAAAGAGGGGGGAAGAAGCTGCAGTGTCAGGCCAAGTGGCCCATCTGGTCCAGCATTCTGTTATCACAGTGGCCAACCAGATGCCTCTGAGGAAACCCAATGGCAGGAACTGAGCACAAGAGCAACTCTCGCCACTACTGATTCCCAGCCGATTCAGAGGCATTCGAAAGTGAAAGCAGAACAGAGTCATTGCTGATTTGGTGGAACGCTCTGTCACAAGAGACTAGGGCCCTGCGGGACTTGACATCTTTCTGCATAGCCTGCAAGACAGAGCTGTTCCACCAGGCCTTTGGCCAAGGCACAGTCTGACCCCCTCCTTTGGCAATCCTCACAGAACTCTAGCCCAATGGTTGCCATGAATTTGATTTGAATTGATTTTAGAATGAATTGATTTTAGAATGCTGTGTTTATTGTTGTTAGCAGCTCTGAGCCCGGCTTCGGCTGGGGAGGGTGGGATATAAATAAAATTTTATTTTTTTTATTATTATTAGCAGCCACGGATAGCCTTCTCCTCCCTGATTTTGTCTAATCCTCAATAATCCGTGCTGGCTTGGGCTGATGCGAGTTGGAGTCCAACGGCACCTGCAGGGCATCACATGGAAAGCCCTCGCAGTAACCCAAACGTTGAGAAGAGTCCCAGCCCTCTCACATGCTAGGAGCCAAGGAACTTGCCAAGACCTCTGTGAAGAAAGAGATGGATTTAGGACGGCTCTGAGAGTCCTCCTAAACTGGCTGCTGTCCTCTGAGGGAGCTGGCTAAACAAGAAGGACTCGCCAACGGTTCATCAACGCGGAGGGGTTTTTGGTTTCCGAAATACGACAGGTACTTACGAGAAGCGATACTTGTCTCCGCTGAGCAGTTTTTTGGAGAAAACGTTCTGCAAGCTGCAAGGGGGGAGGAAACCGCACGTTTGTTTATGAGAAGCAACATGGTTTGTGTGTGCGTGCAGGCATATCTGTGTGTGTGCGTGGAATGATTATTATTATTTATTAGACTTGCTGCTACACAAAGGTCTCCGACCGAGTTGCACAACTCAGGGTGGCCTGAGGCCTGCCGCTAATTCTCAGCCTAACCTACCTCATAGGGCTGTTGCAAGGAAAACTATGTAAGCCACATTGAGCCCCTTTTGTGGGAAGGTAGGATATAAATGCAGTAAGCAGATAAATAAATTTAGGAACAGAAACAGAAATACATTACAGGTGCACCCCCCTCCACTTATGCACACCCCACTCACGCATGACTATTTCACATGCCGTGAAATAAATAACTAAATGAATATATGGGCCTTCCCTCGCTCAGGGCTCCTGCCTGGAAGTCACTCGGGGCTGCTGCTGGAGTGAGGGAGGGCAGGCTTTGATCAATCAGTGGCACGGGGCGGGGGCACCTTTTCTCTGCCTCTGCCATGCAGATGCATCCTGGCACCAGTTTCGCTGGGCACCTTTCCTGGCCCTCCCCCTCCGTGGCCAGCCACAGCCGCCGTGTGCCCTGGCTGCCCTCGGGGAGGCAGGCAGGTTCGGTGCAGGCCGGGCAGTGGCCGCAAGCAATTTCCAGTGTGAGTCTCTCTCTCTCCTCCCCATGTGCCCTCCCTATTCAAGTGGGGTGCTCCCCACTTTACACGATTCCACTTTCTAGGCACGCAGGGGGCCTGGAACGTAACTCCCGTCGTGTAAATGTGGGGGATGCCTGCATACAATGAACAGAATTAATGGAATTATAGAACTGTTAAGAGTTGAAAGGGGCCTAAAAGGTCCTCTGGTCCAGCCCCTATAACTCATATAAAACACCTGTGATTCATATCTATATCTACTACACACACACAGACATATGCACATTAACAGCCACAGGAAACACTGTCTATCTCTCTCTCTCGGTCTGCCTGTCTGTCTCTCTCTCTTTCTTGTATACACACACACTCATCCCACACACTTCTGTCTGCAGTCTCCAATATACCGTATTTTCCCATGTATAAGACTCTATATTTTCCTTAGAAATAACAGGCCATAATTGCGGGTCATCTTATACACGGATAGCAGAGGGGGGACGAGCGATTGGTGGCAGCAGCCAGCAGGAGATTGGCAGTGGCGATTTGGGCAATCCCCCCCACCCCCAATTATTATTTTTTGTGGTCCTAAAAAATAGGGGTTGTCTTATATATGGGGACGTGTTATACATGGAAAAATACGGTACTTACCAGTCCATGATGTTTGTAGACAAAGCTGCCGAGAAGCCTAGGACGTTGAAGCTCAGCTCTGTCGCAGTGCACAAAGCGAGCCCTCCCATGACTGGGAGAAGAGACAGGTTTACAAGCAATCCTTTGTAGGGGGAAGGGGTTGATCAGAGAGGGAGGGGGAAGGAGACAAAGAGGGGAAAAACAGATCCAAACAAAAGCAGGTTAAAAAAAACCCCACAGCATTTTTAAAAGCAATATTTCCAAAGCTGCTTAGCATTTGGGTCATGGTTATGTAAGCTCAGGGACCAGAGATTGGGCTGACCTGTTGAGATTTAGGATGGACAGATCAGGACAAACAGAAGGGAGCCCTTCGCCACACGTAGGATTTGCCGCCCCAACGGCCTGGCTTGCAAGTGGATTTGGCTGGTGGTCTGGAGCCTTATCTCCCCTTGTCCCCTGCTGGTTCCACCTGGGCAAAGTTTGACAGGTGGGCATATCCCAAAGACAGCAGGCGATCCTTTCTCGCCTAGCACCATGCAAGGGGCTTCGCAAGAGCTACCATTTCCAGAGTGGTGTAACAGACAATTCCCTGCTCCCAGGGAACTCTGAGAGTTGTAGCTGTATGAGGGGAATGGGGGCTCTTAACACATAGCTGTCAACTTTTCCCTTTTCTTGTGAGGAATCCTATTTGGAATAAGGGAATTTCCCTTTAAAAAGGGGAAACGTTGACAGCTATATCTTAACACCTCTCAGCACCCTTAACAGAGTTCCCAGGATGCTTTGGAGGAAGCCATTACTGTTTAAAGTGACGTGATACAGCTTTAAATGGATAGTGTAGATGCGGCCTAAGTTTCAGCAAGACTTACCTGTGTACTCTCCTAAAATCATTCGGGACATGATGACAGTAAAAATGGGGGCGGAGCTTTTCACTGTCTCAGCAAAGGAGACCGCTACGTTCTTCAGACTGACTAGGCCCAAGACCACAGTTGCAAACCTGAAAAGAGAAGAGGGGTAACAAAGTTTTGTTTTGTTTTGTTTCTGTCTGTGTGTTTATAAAAGCAAAACACCCATTCTCAGCTGCTTACAACATGTTTAGATATGCACACTTTCAGGAGGAAATGTATCTTTAGAAAGGCAAATTTTTGAGAAAATATATTCAGAATGACATATTTAAATAGGGATTGAAGTATGGATTCTCATGCAATTTTAAAAAGAAATTCACAGACTGACAAATGAACACATGCAAAAGTGAAGCAGACTCGAATCTGTTCATTCCAATGCGAGAGATAAAGTAGCCACATTATTTCATATATATATATATTTATGAACAAATAAATAAATGACAAGCACACCTCTCCTTAGGGGTCAGCAACCTCAGTCTTGCAGGCCAAATGTGGCCCTCCAGTCCTCTCTATCTGGCCCTCAGAACTCTCTTCAAGCATTTTTGCCTGGCCAGATTATGTCTTTGAACTCTCTTAATTCATAATGCCTTTTTTGTTGCCTGGATGGAGGATAGTGTGTGTGTGTGTGTGTGTGTGTGTGTGTGTGTGTGTGTGTATGGAACCTAGCTTAGTGGGGAAAGGTAAAAATTTACATGTGTTGCCCTGGCCACTTTTTTTTTTAAACTTCTGGCCGCATCCACCCTTAGCATGAGGCCCTCAGAATGTTGCCCATAAGTGAATATGGCCTTTAGGATTAAAAACAACAACAAAAAAATCCCCATTCTTGCTGCTCAGGTGGACATTCTCCTTTGCATTGAAACAGAGGCCCAGATACAAGATCTGAGCTGAAAGAGTATGTGTGACCTTTTGATTATTGCATTTTTTTATTACTGATGAAAGATTCCACCTCCTTTTTAGACACTGGGAAAAGGAATGGTGGTTTCCCCATCCCTGCCTTAGAAAGATTTCTAGCCACTTCTTACCTCATCAGCCCGACAAACAACATGATCATGAGGAAGTTGGGAGGGTATGAGACGCGGGTCTTGTGTTGGTAGAGGCAGCAAGGGACGAACATTTTGACACAGCCGATGAAAGTGGTAGACAGCATCTGAACGGCGCCTGGGAGGATCAGAGCCAGAATGAGACAGATCCTTACCTCCCCCTGTTGCTCTCCCTCCCATTCAAAAAACCTGCATGGAAGGCTTGGTTATGCTCTATGATAAATATGGGGCTTGAACTTTCAAACACCCCATAGACCCTGGGTCTCATCTTACTGTTTTGGTGGGGAGGGCTCAGTAGCACAGCATCTACTTCTCATGCAAAAGGCCCCACATTCAATCCCAGGCATCTCCATGTAGGGCTGGGGGAGACTCACAGAGCTTCAGTTCCTAGAGCGGTTTAATCATCAAGGCTTCTTCCCAGGGAATTCTGGGAATTGTAGCCCTGTGAGGGGAACTGGGGCCTCTTCAATGTCTCTCAGCACCCTTAACGAACTACAGCTCCCAGGATTCTCTGGGGGAGGCCATGAATGTTTAAATGCTGCTTTAAATATATAGTGCAGATGGGCTGTTGTCTGGATACAGCTCAAGATATATATCCCACTGTTACTCAAACACACACAAATAAACCATGTATACTGGTTGAAACCGTCAGCTTGGCACTTAAAAGAACAACACACACAAACACATGCATAAAGGTTTGCTCCAAACTATGTTAAGTCAGGCTGTAGTAGTACCATGGACATCAAGTGAGCAGGCCTGCTCTAACTCCAGGCCCGTTGGTTTCAAAGGGAGTAAAAAGTTACTAACTTTGTCTAGATCCAACCCATTTTGTACACCAGGGATGGGGAACTGGTGTCCCCACAGATGCTGAAGGAGTCCCTCAGCCCCAGTCGGCATGGCCAACAGTCAGGGATGATGGGAGTTGTAGTGTGGCAAGATCTGGAGCTTCCCCACCCTGCCCAAAACTGTGTATACAAGGTGTGGGGAATATTTTGCCCTCCAGATGCTGCTGAACTGCAACCCTCAGGATGATGGGAGCTGTAGCTTGGCAACATCTGGAAGGCCAAAGGTTCCTTAGACCATTTTCACAGAGCCATAGGATCGTAGAAGAGGTAGCTTGCAACTTACATGCATTTAACTTGGGTGCATTCAGCTGGACAAATATTAAAATAAAAGGGGGGGGAGAGACAGGGTGGGCGTCTGAGAAAAAAGAGTTTAGCAATCCCACCTGCCATGGGACCTAAAGTGTTTTGACCATATGTGGTTGTGGCTTTGTGCCCTATCCCTGGAATGTAACCCCTGAGTTAAGTTGAGAGACGCCTGCATTGTAGAGCAGGAAGGAACCCAAAAGGTCGTCTGGTTTGACCCCCTGAAAGAAGAAGTAGTTACCCAGCATGCTCGGCTCCCCTTCCAGCAACGAAAGGATGTACTTGTTAAGAAAAAGTGTGCAAAAGCTGAAGAAAAACCACAAGGTGAGGTAGATGAGTGCATGGGAGTTCCAGATGCCCAGGTCCGACTCAATGACAGTGGTTTCAGTGATGGTGATCTTCAAAACGTTCTCCTCCGGGACGCTTTCGCTCCTGGCGATGACGTACTTCTCGTTCCGGGAATGGAAGAAGGAGCCAAGTTGGAAAAACCCTTTGCTTTTGGGCTTCTCCTCCAGGAGAGAAGAAGCGGCGGCGACACCGTCAGCATTCTCCAAATTCTGGACGCTTGCAAGGGAGGCCATCTTGAGGCCCCAAAACAACAGCTGGTTGTCTGGGCCCAGAGAACATCGGCCAAATGCGAAGCTCTGCTTAAGTGGGGAGAAAGGTTCAGCGCCTCCAGCAGTCCACACAGGCTATCCTCCAAAGTTGTTCTTGCTCACAGGGAACTTCAAGTGCTCTTTCCAGAGTACACTTCCATTCCCTGCATTAAACAAATAAATATATATTTTTAAAAATAAAATTTTAAAAATAAAATAAAATAAACACCCCTCCTAAAAGGTTTGTGAAATTTGATTTCACATTTCCTAGGGATTATGATTTCAGAAGCTAGTCTAGTCATTATTATTATTATTATTATTATTTTACTGTGCTCCATAAAATGTGTTCTTATAGTTGTACACCGCCCTGGGATCTTTTCATAAAGGGCGGTCTATAAAACTGAATAAATAAATAAGAAATACTAGTCCACAGTCAGTGTTGTATACTGGTTAGAGTGTCACGCTAGGACCTGGGAGACCAGGGTTCAAATCTCCCACTAAGCCATGAAGCTCAGTGGCAATGTTAGAAACTGAGATAGAAAAGCTAGGAGCCAAATAGCTTCTGGGACCTGGGTTGTGGGCACCAAAACAGAATGTCTAGTCACCTCTGGGGGCGGGGGTCAGCAACACTTTTTATTTATTATTTTGATAAGAATGAATTGTCGTATTTTTCGCCCTATAGGGCGCACTTTTCCCCTCCAAAAATGAAGGGGAAATCTGTGTGCGTCCTATGGGGCAAATACAGGCTTTCACTGAAGCTTGGAGAGCAAGAGGGGTCGGTGTGCACCAACCCCTCTTGCTCTCCAGGCTTCAGGAAGCTATCAGCAAGCCTGGGGAGCCCGCGGGACTTCCTGCAGGGCTCCCTAGGCTGCGGATAGCAGCCTGCCGCCCAGCGCGCGGGGCGCCCTGAAGCAGAGCGCCCCACGCGCCGGGCAGATATCCGCAGCCTGGGGAGCCCTGCGGGAGTTAAAAATGAAGGGGAAATCTGTGTGCGTCCTATGGGGCAAATACAGGCTTTCACTGAAGCTTGGAGAGCGAGAGGGGTGGGTGCGCACTGACCCCTCTCGCTCTCCAGGCTTCAGGAAGCTATCAGCAAGCCTGGGGAGCCCACGGGAGTTCCTGCAGGGCTCCCTAGGCTGCGGATAGCAGCCTGCTGCCCGGCGCACGGGGCGCGCTGAAGCAGAGCACCCGGCGCTTCGGGCAGACATCGGCCAGCCCCACAAGCTCGGGGGACAGCGGGGAGGCGCAGCGCCACCATCCCGCTGTTCCCCGACCTGGTTTGGAGGCTGGCGCTAGGGAAATTTTCCTTTATTTCCCCCCCAAAAAACTAGGTGCGTCCTATGGGACGAAAAATACGGTAATATGCAATTCACATAAGTGACCTATTGTTAATATCACATTTTTAGCAGAAACTGTTAATACATGTATATTTTGGTCTTTACGGTAAAAATACTGGTACCATACTTCAGTTTTCAAAACACTCTACTCTTTTTTGTTAAATTCCTTAACATATTCAAGATTCAGATAGGTAGCCGTGGTGGTCTGACGCAGTTGAAATTTTAAAAAAAATTTTTGAATTGTCTAGTAGCACCTTATAGACCAACTAAGTTTTTCTGGTATAAGCTTTCGTGTGCGTGCACACTTCTTCAGATACAAACTTAGTTGGTCTATAAGGTGCTACTAGATATATATATATTTTTATTCCTTAACATATGGTCTATCTTTAACATATACTTCGAGGCTTCAAAGCACATCTGTTTCAGTAATCCTTGAGTGTCAGCCGGGCGCAAAAAAATGCCACCCAGACTTTTTGAGGAGAATCTTTAGGTGCAAAATGCGCCTGGCGCCCTGCTGTTTTCGAACACTGCTCACTGGGTGCCCTTGGGCCAGTCAGGGCCTTTTGGCTTAACCTACCTCAAAAGTTTGTTGTGAGGATTAAACACAGAGGAAAGAGAACCATGTATGCCACCATGTAAGGTGAGATATAAATGCATTAAATAATATAGATTCTCTTAAAATTCTCTGCTAAATCTGTGTTGATTTTCAGTCCCGCCCCCCTAAAAAACACACACATTAAAATGCACACAATGGAAGTATTTGCCGTTGAGTTGCCATTCTTAGAAATGTTTACAAAAATTCCAAGTAACGCTTCACAGCTGTTTGAACAGACTGGTCTATAGCTCTATAAGTTTTACTCAAGAGTAGACCCACTGAAATTAATGGTCCTAAGGTGATCATACGCAAATTGGGCAGTGTGTTTAAATCACAGTATCAGCATGACACTGTGCAAATATACTTAAAAAGTACAATGGGGCTTCATGCCAGTTAAACATGTATAGAATTACAGCCTAAGATTTATTTCTTCAGCTGCTTACACACACCCAAATAAAATATTTCGGTTCAAATCCTGAAGGTAGTTGGCAGGGGAGCGTATTTTGGGAATGCAGGGCCTCTTGGGGATTCGAAGCCTCTTGGCATTTTAAAGCCGTTGCACAGATCTCGTTCCAAGCGCCAGCTCAACAAAACCACGGCGGGTTGACTGAAACTGGCTTCCAGACAAATAAATCAAGAGGTAATGAAATATTTACCCTCTAACCTCCTCAGCAATTTTGCAAGAAGCTGGAAAATGGAACAGGGAAGACGGCTGCCATAAGAACTTTAACCAGTTGGCTGAGCTATTAAGTTGGCATCGAGACAGATGCGGGGGAAGGAAAGAACACAGAACAAGCCAGTGATTATATGCCACGTATTTTGGAAATTCTTTCTCAGCCCCCAATCTCACTCTCTGCCAGAATGTATGTCTGCATTTTCAAAAACAACGAGGTCGAAAACAATACTTTGTGGTCACTACAGCGGCAAAAAGACACCCATAACATTTCGAACTATTTACCCTGGAATAGAGATGGAGGAGGGTCAGAGAGAACCACACACACAGGAAAATATTTGAAAGTTCTGTTAAAGGGCTCTCCACCCCACAAAGTGAGTGTGATGTGATCCTGCTGTGCAGTGGGCAGTGTGGCACAGTGGTTAGGGCGGTGGACTGGGAAGACCCAAGTTCAAACCCACCCCCACCCCTGCTGGGCTGTGATGTTAATGGCGTGACCTCAGGCGACAAGCCGCCAAATCTGAGCCAAACCTACCTCACAAGGTTGTTGTGAGTATAAAAGGGGGGAGAGGACCATGCTTGCCTCTTTGAGCTCCTTGGAGAGATGGTGAGGTATAAAATGTAATAAAGTAGTAAGAAATAAATGAAATGTGGGGGATAGCAATTGATTAAATTGTAAATTGCTTCAGGGTGTCCCATGGGAAGCAATTCATACATTAAATGTGCAATAGCTTATATTTTTGGAAGCTTATAATGTTGGAAGCAGTGTTTAAGGGGGCTTGACCCTAAAAAGGAACCAAGTAATAGTAGACTGGCCATATCTGTACAGTGGTACCTCGGGTTAAGTACTTAATTCGAGGGCACATTCCTGGAAGGAATAAAAGCAATTTACTCACAACAAAGTGCTAAATTAATTATTAATAATAACTTAACAGAACCCTTTGAAATCTTGAAAGGTACTAGGCAGGGGTGCCCTCTGTCACCTCTTCTGTTTATTATGATGTTAGAGATAATTACAAATAAGATAAGAAAAACTTCAGAGATACGCGGAATAAAAATAGGAGTGAAAGAATACAAATTGAAAGCTTATGCTGACGACCTTATGTTGTCTTTGGAGGATCCAGAAGAGAGTGTCAGTAAGGTGTTAGATCTGTTAGAAGAATTCGGAAAACTATCTGGTTTTAAATTAAACAGAACAAAAACTAAAATGTTGATTAAAAATGTAGAAGAGAAGGTAAAAACCACCTTGAATCTCAGACTGGAATTAAAGTAACCAAAAAGTAAAATACCTTGGAATCTGGTTAACGACAAATAACATTAATTTGATGGAAGATAATTATACAACCGCATGGAAAGAAATAAGGAAGGACTTAAATACCTGGAATAGAATAAAGCTATCCTGGTCGGGGAGAATGGCGGCAATAAAAATGAGTCTATTACCGAAACTGCTATTCTTATTTCAGAATATACCAATAATCAGGGGAACATCAATATTCAAGGACTGGCAGAAAATACTTTCTAAATTCATCTGGCAAGGAAAAAGGCCGAGAATTAGATTCAAATTACTCACAGACCAAAGAGATAGAGGAGGATTCGCAGTCCCAAATTTAAAGTTGTATTATGAAGCCTCATGCCTCTGTTGGGTCAAGGATTGGATTATTATAAAAAATAAAGATCTGCTAGATTTAGAAGGATTTGATTTAAGATTCGGTTGGCACGCTTACCTATGGCGTAATAAGGGAAAGATCCATAAAGGATTTTCTAACCATATCTTCAGAGGGCCATTACTGGAGGTGTGGGAAAGAAATAAAAATTATTGGAACAGAATACTCCTTGGTGGCTTTCGCCAATCGATATCCTGACAATAAAAAAACAAATATCGAAGGAGAAAGATGGACCTACGAAGATTTATTGGTAAAAACAGAGACCGGTTGGAGGATTAGGCCATATGAAGAAATAAAGAACAAATTGACAGGTTGGATCCAATTTCATCAAATCAACTCTATCTGGACCGAGGATAAAAAAAATGGGATAAGTGAGAAAAAATCTAGATTCCAGACTGAAATATTAGAAAGTAAAACAAAACTCCTATCTAAAATGTATAGCCTGCTGCTCAAATGGGACACCAAAGATGAAGAAGTAAAGGAGGTAATGGTGAGATGGGCAATGGACTTTGGGTATAACATAGAGTTTGATAAATGGCAGGCACTATGGAATAAAGGTATGAGATTCTCGGCATGTACAACACTCAGGGAAAATATGTACAAAATGATGTACAGGTGGTACGTAACGCCTGTAAAACTGGAAAAAAAATATAAAACTGGTGATAAATTATGCTGGAAGTGCAAGATTAAGGAGGGCGATTTTTATCATATGTGGT